GCTGAGCACCTCCAGCAGCGCGATGAGCCGCAGCCCGTCGCTGAGGTCGCGCTGCAAGTCCGTGAGCCGCTTGCCCACACACTTGAGGTGCTCGTTGCACCAGCGCGTGAAAGTGTTCTGCTGGATCTTTTTCCACGGCGCGTCCTCCGCTAGGTCCTTCTCGGTGGACGGCATCTCGTCCGCCTCGTCGCCCAGGCCGAAGCCGGCGGGGTCGGCGTAGCCGCTGTTGTTCATCATGCTGGCTGCTGCGCGGGGCGCTGTCGTCGGGGCGCGCGGTGCGGGAGGGCGATTGTCGTCTGGGCTCTGTCCGGCGCTGCGGATCTCTCCAAGTTCTCGGACGGCCTGGCTCGATGGGGGACTTTGGCGGGGACTCGGGCTGCTGGGCCTCTCTCCCTCTTTCTGCGTCTCTCCCTCCGGGGGCAGAGCGGTACTGGCGAAGTGCAGGCCAGGCCGGACGGGGGGTTTAAGAAGCCCCCGGGGCCGCCGCCCCCACCTCCCTCGCCAGCGGCTCGCCCGCGGCCCCCGCTCCACGTCAGAGCGCCGGCCTCCCAGGAATGCCGCCCGCGCCGCGGCGGGGGCCGCCCCGGCCCCGCAGCCCCGCCTCCGCCCCGCACCGCCCCTCGGCCCACGGGAGGGGGCGGGACGGCGGCGCTGGGCCCGAGCCCCCTCCCCTAGCCCCGGCTCCAGCCAGGGACTTGAAGAGACAAATGGGGATGCTGAGGCCTGGTGTGGATCGAAGAATCTGGACGGGTTGCTTGGCAGGGGGCGGACTGTGGACCTGGGCCTGAGAGCCCTGGCTGCTGGGCCAGGGTATTGTCCACCTGTGCACAGGGGAGGAAAATGTGTGTGCGCTTGTGCAGACATGGCCCGCCGCTAGAGAGAGAGAGAGAGAGAACAGGGCAGACATGGCGGCCACCCAGGCCAATTAGGGAGCAGGCTTGGGGGGCGTACCCCAACCCCTACCATGGCTTCGCTTCACAGGTAGAAAAAAAACGAATCCCTGAACTCTGTGCAGTGGGGGAGGAGTGGGGGACACGGTCCTGACTCAGTGTCCCTGTCACCAGCCTCTTGTCGTTAGACTCACGGCCTCAGAACGGAGCCGAACTCAGGGACAGGTAGCCGGTGAGTCACACGGAGTGTGTGTCATCCCGTCTCCAGGCATGACTCAACCAAGGTGATGAGAGGCAATGAGGGGACCCCCCCCCCAGTAGGTGCTCCCCGTGGAGAAAGGGTGGGCTGTCCAGACAGATAGGCAGCAGTGGGGAGAACCCAGCCACTGGGGAGCTTTGACTGGGTGACTGGGTGGGTGGAGTTAGCAACCAAGCTGGCAGAGAACCCATCAGGGTGCCCAGGCCAAGCTGGGCTTAGCCAAGGGTGGTGGGAAGCTCAGGCAATGGTCCCAGTAGGGAAATTAGCCCTCCCCCCACACACCAACAACAAAGGAGTGACCTGAGAGGAGGAGGAGGAGAAAGCTAGGGGCTACATAATGGGCATGTATATTGCTTCTGTAACATCTGTCTGCTCCATGCCTCCTGTCTACCACAGGCTGCTCTTCTAGACCCTGCAGGTGTTAACTGGTTGGGTTACACCTGCAGCCCGGATCCCCATGTCTAGCCATGTGACAGCTGCAGTATGCAAAGGTCAGCCTGGACCCTTCTAGATGAATCCTGCTTTACTAGAAGTCAGGACACTGGGCATCTTTAGCCAGGCTCTCTCTCTTTCTCTCACTCTCCCATGGTCAGACCTTGTTGGGCAACTGAGAAAGAGCTGGTCAAGGTTTTATGGGGGCTGTGTTTATGGCGACAGGGGTCCACCAATCCTTTCTCAGGTAATGAGTTTGCCTGGTCTTTAGGTCAGGGAGGTGGGGCAGGAGGTGAGAAGGGGCCAGAAACAGAAGAGGGACCTGACGTGCGTGGCTGGAAGGGAGCGGGACTCCGGGCAGCCTGGTAGTGACAGGGGAGGTATAAATAGCTCGGGCCCTGCAGCTCATGTTCTGTCACTGCCTGTGACGAGCTGCTCAGGAATTCCACGTTCCCCCTGATGAACCCCTCTCTCTGTCTCCCTCTCCTGCCGCCCCTCCCCATCCCTCCGGCCATTTCCATCCTACGCCCAGGAGGCTGGCTGTCCACCTGAGGGATGCCCTGCTATGGGACACACAGGCTGAGTCTTAAGAGGGGGTTGCGTGCCTGTTCATGTGTACCCGCGCATGCGTAAAACGGCAGGCTTCTGGGCAGCAGCCAGAGGTGCCAAGGCTCTGCATTCAGCCATGTGGCCTTTTAGGCCCTAAAGCAGAGATGGAGGGCTGGGTTCTAGCCTCGGCTACTGCTGAGGGCAACGGCAAAGTAGGGGTCCCTTTACACCCACATGGCTCAGCTTTTATATGCATAAGCCCACCCCTCTATCCCCGCAGTGGTCCATGCAGGGCCACAGCAAAGGTGGGAGCGTCCTGGGGGAGACAGAGCACCCCCAAGCTAGCTGTTCTCGTGCTCTGGCCCTGACCATTGTCTGGCTTCGGGGGAGTGAGTGGAAGGGTGCAAAGTGACGAAGGATGGTTCCCGTCACTGCTGCTGGAGAAACCCGAGCCTGCTGCTCTCCAGGATAAATTGGGGCCTGAGTCAGGCCTGCAGCCACTCACAGGCTGACCCCGGGCTCATGCCGGTGACTCAGTCCTCAATATAGCCCATGAGCAGCGGCTCCGGGCCCGGCATTGTGGGTCGGAACGGACCGTGCGCAATGCTGTCCTGGGGCCTGCCAGCTGAACCCCTTCTCTGAGGAGGAGGGCTGCCCAAGGGGCTTACAGGGGGGTTTCATCAGCCCAGCGTGTGCGGCGGTTGGTGCCGGCCAGAAGCACAGGCTGTTTATAACCCCCTGACTCACCAGCAGCTGATTTCTCTGGGGAGACCAGGTTGCTTGGCTCTTCACCTGAATCTGCTCCGGCCATCAGGGGCACTGCTCATCAGCCACCACCATGCGCCTTATTTAATGCTGAATCAGCAGCAGCAGGTCTCAGGTGGAAAATCCTATTGTTGTGGAGTGCAGCCAGTGATTGCTCCTTCACCTCTCCTTGCATACTCTTCCCCATGTCCCCCATGTTGAATGCAGATGAATCCAATTAGGCTTTTTAGCTACCAGCCCAGTTCCTGTTCCTGCCCTTTCTGGTCAGGTGTTACCGTTACTTGACTCTTGGTTGAGCCAGGACAGGTAACCCCCTGAGCATGGTCCCTGTGTACTGCTTAGATGGGACAATGGATATATTAGCACTGTTTCTGGTTTGCGTACTATCAGGAGGCCTGGCAGAGGTGGAATGTGGGCAGAGAAGCCAGGGAAAGGTGAATGTCTATAGCTTTGTGTGTCCAGGTTATTCATTGCATGGCTCTTAGGGTAACTTGTAAGTTGGGGAAGCTGGGACATAGGTCTTCAGTTTAAAGGATGGACTTCAGGGTAATGGCCATTTGTTCCCCTTTGGATTATGTTTGGTTGGATTGCCATATGGACTTGTGATCTGCTATTTTTAGTGTGTTCTATTATCGCCAAGTTTGGTTGATAAAAATTCCTTAATAAAATCTTAGACATGTCTGATGTGATCTCGTTCGCATCCCGTAACACTATTTTTTTTTTTCTGGGACCAGTGCCATGACATGGTAGGCTAAGCCTCTGTCTGAAGTACTGCTATGGGTGCCGGTTTGTATCCCGGTTGCTCCACTTCCCATCCAGCTTCCCGTTTATGGCCTGGGAAAGCAGCTGAGGATGGCCCAAGTCCTTTGGCCCCTTAATCCATGTGGGAGATCAGGAAGAAGTTCCTGGCTCCTGGCTTTAGATTGGCTCTGTTCCTGCCGTTGTGGCCATTTGGGAAGTGAAACAGTGGATAGAAGACCTATTTTTCCCTATAAATTTGCCTATCCAATAAAAAAAATAAATCTCTTTAAATTTTATTGGAAAGGTATATCAGATTTACAGGGAGAAGGAGAAACAGAAAGATCTTTGTCTACAGGCTCCCCAAATGGCCATGACAGCCATTGCTGAGCCAATCTGAAGCCAGGAACCAGGAACTTCTTCCGGGTATCCCACATGTGCAGGGTCCCAAGGTCCTTGAATGCTTTCCCAGGCCACAAGCAGGGAGCTGGATGCGAAGTGGAGCTGCCAGGGATCCCAGTGCGTTCAAGGTGTGGACTTTAGCCGCTAGGCCACGGCCCCAGGCCTACCTTCCTGCATCTTAACACTCTACCTCCCAGAATCAGAACCATAGAGATGTGTGTGCCATCTCTCAACAGCAGGTGACTGGTGGCTAGAGTGGAGGCGAAAGCAGAGGGTGCTGGAGAAGAGGTAGGAGGGCGGTGGGCAGGGAGAGGCTGCTGATTGGGTTGGGATCCTAGACTTCATCCCTGCCTGCCTGTGCTTTCCAAGAGAGCTAGGAGACTGCAGTAGATTTACAGTCCATTCCTCCTTGCTTTTTACATGGTTTTGTATTTCAAGGAAAGGAGTAATCTTTAGAAGACATTGCTTATAGTGCATCAGTAAGACCAGTCTGTACCAGGGGGAATTCTAACCTGAGCAGAGATGGGGAGAGGCTTCTGCCAGCTGCTCTGGCTTCTACACTGAAAAGCTGGGCACAGCAGTTGGTTCACTACCTGTTGGTTCACTCCCCAAATGGCCTCAGTGGCCAGAGCTGAGCCAATCTGAAGCCAGGAGCCAGGAGCTTCTTCTAGGTCTCCATCATGGGGGCGAGGGAGGACAGGAGCCACCTCCCACCAGAGACCCCAGTCCATTGTATTTCTCCATGCTCAGTGGAATTCCTGGAGATAAGCAGAGACCAATCCGTGATCCATACAGCTCACAGCACAGGGAGCCGGCCTCACTTCTGAAGTCACCCGGAGGGCAACAAACCATGCCCATGAGCAGACCCCTGTGTGAGCGACCTGGTTAGAGAACTGTTCTGTCCTTTGTCTGGGTGGGAGGTGTCAAAGCGCTTAGGAAATGAAAAGTAACGCAGTCTCAGGTGATCTGGTTGATGTTTAATTACAAGGAACCCAGGTTCTTAGACAAGGCAGGAGGTGGGAGCCAGGAGCTCCCATAAGCCTGAGTGACTGAGGCTAAGGAGGGGGGCACACATGGGACACACAGCTGCGGGAGGGGCTCTGGCACAGTGCATCCTGCCCAAAGGCGAACGTGGCTGCTGCTGCTGCTGCTGGAGGTCTGCCTGGTCCACGGGCCCAGGTGTGCCATCACTCCATGAGGCAGAGCTCTGTCTCCTGCGGTCTCATGCTGGGTAACACATACAGAGCCGCGGCCGCAATAGCCAAGAACACCATGGGCTTCCACATCCCAAACATGTTCTGTGGGGACCAAAGCGAAAACGTGAGTGCCCAGCCGTCCCAACCCTTCCCTGAGTCAAGCACCAGCTGCCTACTGCTGCCCGAAACAGGTGCCCTGGGAGCACCGTGCATCAGCCTCTTACCTCCTGGGCAACCATGACACAATGTGGGCTCCAAGTCCTGACCCCACCAGACTGATAGCATGGCACACACCGGAGGAGTCCCCATGGCTGTGGCTGCAATTAGGCCTCCGCCTTCTCCCGGGGGAGGGGAGGATGGAAACAACTCCTACGCGTGGAATGCTCAGACTTCAAACAGGTGCAATGAGAAAGGGTAGGTTGCCAATAGGGCAACGGCGAGTCCCCTTAGACCCTTGAGAAGAGGGCTCATTGGCGTTATAAAGAAGGAGTTCAGAGGGAGGGGAAAGTGAAGGAAGTACAGGTCAGTAGGAGTTCTTAGGTGGTCCAAGCTGTTGCACCAGATGCAGCCAGTTCAAACCTGTTATTGGCCCTGGGTCACTGAAACCCCCCCATTCACAGGTGTGTTGACTGACTTGCTGGTGCATGTGCAAGAGTAAGGCTTTCCAACTGAGGGCCATGTGGGGAACCCTGCCGATCCATGGGAAAATGACAACACCATCAGATGATACCCAGAACAGCATCCTCTAGGAAACACCCATGTGGGGAAGCAGTTCCTGTTATTAGCTTTGTAACGGTCTCACTTGGATTCTGAGTCGTGAACTATGGCTCAAAACAATTTTAGGAAAAGGCAGAGTAGGGCCTTGTTTGCGCTAGAAACAGAATTTTTCAGAGAATAACTGCTCCGAAGAGAGGCTTCAAGTCAACAACCAAGAGCAGAGGACCTCCCAGATGTGGAGACCAAGTGACCGAGAGGAATGGAAGACAGGCAGCAGAAAGCAAGCAGCGCTGGAGGTGGGTGCTCAGGGTGGCTCCGAGAAGGGAGCTGGAGCCAAGACTTAGCCTCCCACAGGGCGAACGTGGCAGCGTGGTGGTCTCATGGCAGGAAGGGCAGAAAGCCACCTACGAGCATGAGTGCACACGCCACAGGTAGAGGCCCGAGTCTAACACAAGATGAGCAGCGGGAAGCTTTGGGATCCTGAAGGAGCACGTCACACCCAGGCTTGGACCACAGCCATGGAAACCATGCCTGCAATTCCACCCAGCTGTTTGATAATATTGGCCATGAACTCTGCAGGTAATATGCAAGATAAGAGCAGGAAGACAGTGTGGTCCTTTGTACGCCCTGTTAGGTGACCAAGGAGCTCAGTTAAGAAGCTGGGGCAACCTCACACAGGAAACCTGTTCCCCACTCGCACCCTGGATAAGGACAAGGAGGCGTGCTTGTCACCCCAAAGGACAATGGGAATAGTCTGAAACCGGAGGTCAAGGTGGAAACCTCTCGTAAATCTTCATAGGAAAGTTTTGTCAATGGATCCCAACATCGAGTCAGGGGCAGAAGGGGCAGAGGATGCACAGGGGCTTCCTAACCAACACAGCAGGATAACGAGTGACCCCTCAACGCTGACGGGCTGGTGTTGCATAAGCACAAAGGAGGCGTCTGCCCAGTGTGCAAAGCAAGAGGGGGTGCTTGGGGAGCCAGGATCAGAACTTCATCGGTAGCTCGGCTTCAACTCTCACAAGCCGACTCTCAGCTCTGTCTATACAGGGAAGACGCCTGCAGCGGCAGCTTGCTCGCAGGGCTGTGGCGAGGAGTAATTGGTTAATGCCTGTAACGTGACTGCAAGCACCCAGCTTTATGCATTATGAAGGTGCATGCTCTTTTCATGATTGTGTAGTGATTTGTAATCTACAAAATGCTTCTGCATACATGAACTCATCTGACCCTCCCAACAACCCCATGAGGAGAGCAGAGCTTACGCATCTTCCGCTGACATCTGAGGAAACTAAGGCTGAGATGATGCATTTTGCTCACAGGGGTGGAGCCTAGAAGATTCAGACTCAGCCCCCTTGGCATCTCAGCTCAGCAGGCTTCCTGGGCAGGGCTCTGCGGAATGTAGTACCCCCTTCACCAGCAGGTCTCTGCTCTCCCCATGACCTGGACTGGGAGGGGAGGCGCTGCCCAAGACATGTGCCAGTGACTGTACAGGAGAACCATAGGTAGAGAGAGAGCCCTGTTACTGAAGGGGTTAAAGATCGCCCACGAGGAATAACAGGAATGCCTTAAAAGCAAAAAGGAGAAGGGGATGCAGGTGGGCGAGGTGACACAAAAGAGGATAGAAAAGGAAATAATGGAAAGTGCTAGCAACAGATATCTCGGGAGTTGCCACTCTGAGATCAGGCACGTTCAGGGTGGTATGGCCGTAGACGACACGGGAGTTGCCACTCTGAACCCTACACTTCCCATGAAAATATAGGGCAGGGATGGAGTGGAGGGGCAGCAGGGGAAGAACGAGAGAGGAGTCAAAACAGGGCAAAGAGAGGCTAGCTTATGGGTTCCAAGAGACAGGCAGAACCCTAGGGCTCTCTCTGCCTTAGGCCACAAGACTAGTTCTGCTTCCTGGATAATAACCTGGTGCCAGAGCAGACCCCAGGAAGGAGGCCAGAGGCATCGGCCCTCTCTTCCACTCCGCTCCCCAGCAGTACCACACACGCTCCTGGGAAACCAAGCTTGAGATGCCGATTCAAATGGAGTTTGACCCCCAAGAGGAATAAACCAACTATGAAATACTTTCTGGCATTCTGTTCTGTTCTCTGGAAGCCAGGCGTCCTAGACCAAGGAGACATTCAGGACCAAATGTCTAACACGGTGGACGTCCTGTCTGTTTCACCGAGGCTGAGGGTCACAGCTCTGTGGAAGATCTTTCCTTGCACCCAGCGGCAGAGGGAGTCACCTCTGCCCCTCCAGCAGCAACAGAGGGCTCTAGAGTTAAACAAAGGCAAGGAGCCCAGGCCAGCCCTGCAGACAGATGTCAGCTCACTGGAAGCAGTCAGGCAACTCTAACAGTAGCAACAGTTGCTGGGAGTATCCTAGTTTTTCCTAGCCAGGGATAGGAACTCAAACCGTGCCTCTGGGAAGCATATTCCAGATCCCTGAGACTTGGGAAGACTCTCAGAGAAGTTACCAGGCTTTGCAGTAGCCCGAGGAAAAGCCAGGACTAAAACTCAGCCCCGAGCACCAGCTCTTGTCCAATGGCAAAAGAGGCGAGCAGCTGAGAGAAAAGGGAAAGAGGGAAGCGATACCAGTACCTGTGTTAGGACGACGTCTCAGCCCACCAGCACCAGAGCAAAGCCGAGATGACCACCAGACCTACAAGAGGCAAGGAGAAGATGGGGGGCTCGGGGACAGGGGGTGGCTGCAACACGTCAATGAGGAAGAGGCACGAGGAGGGACCAGGAGATGCAAGGTGGCATAAGGACATAAACACACGAATCCAACAGAGAATGAAGATGAGAAACAAAGGGAAAGAGAAAGCAATCCACAGGTTAAAACCAGATAGATTCCAGCTCTGCCCTTGGGCCCGGGGCCTGGTTCCAGCTCTGCTCCCAGCTCTGCTCCCTGGGCCCAGGGCCTGGTTCCAGCTCTGCTCCCGGGCCTGGAGCCTGGTTCCAGCTCTGCTCCCGGGCCTGGAGCCTGGTTCCAGCTCTGCCCCCGGGCCCAGGGCCTGGTTCCAGCTCTGCTCCCAGCTCTGTCCCCGGGCCCAGGGCCTGGTTCCAGCTCTGCTCCCGGGCCTGGAGCCTGGTTCCAGCTCTGCTCCCAGCTCTGCCCCCGGGCCCAGGGCCTGGTTCCAGCTCTGCTCCCTGGGTCCGGGGCCTTTCGACTGGTGGCCCTCAGGGGCTGCCAAATGGAAGGGGCTGAGTAGGTGCTAGGTCCAAATCAGGTGGCGAGTTGGACTCTCCATCTTGTACACTTCTCACGTCTTGTCCAGCTGCAGGCACCTGCTCCTAGACCATCCTTGTGGGTCTATCATGCTGGCAAAGCAGAGCTCCAGAAAGCAAACTGGGCTTCCGCCAAGCAGCACTGCACGCCCTGCTCCCTGGTCACTCTAGTACAGCCGGGTTTTGCGCCAGGCCACCTGTCCAGGCTAATTTCCAAGAGTCTCAGTATCTTGACCTCTATCTAGGTCCTGTGACCCATCAGGAGTTAATGCTATCACTGTGAGACAAAATACATTAAAATAAGCCAATCAAGGAGAAGGGATAATTCTTTGTAACAATCTTCCAGAGAGAAACAAAATGTGCAGGTGGCAACAGGTGTGTGTAGAAATGCCTTAGGGCACGGTGGGCGCTGGGAATGCCGTTAACCTTGATGTACAAAAATCAGGTCTGGCTTTAGAAATGTGGCATGCACAGTAAAAATAAAACCGGTGAGGCTCTAAGCCAGGATGTAGTTAAATATGATGGTTTCAAGGAAATCCATCTCAAGGGGAGCGTCCCTGTTACTTTGCCAAAGTGAGGCTCTTTGGCCGCAGGGTAACAGCAAAGTGCACACAGGGTCCTTGGCCATGCTGCTTGAATTGCTGGAAAATTCCAGATATCCCTCAAGTTGATGGGGTAATCCCACCACAAGAGAATTCTTTTATTTCCCTGTTATCAGAAAGAAGCTGCATGGGAACCAGGGACTCACTCAGAAAGCTCTGAGTTGGACTTACTCAAACTCCTACACTCAGTTAGCCCCAGGGTTGGAAGTCGGCTGGTGCACGTAGGCACAGAGGTAACAGCTGTTAAAACACGGAAGCACTTCTGAACAGGTGGCACATTACCCTTGCCATCTGGGGACCTCTCCCTTGACAGCCTCCCCCCAGTCCCTCAAAGATCCAGCAACTCGAGGGTGGGGGTGAGGCTGGTCCCCTCAGATTGGTCAATGTCCCTGCCTGTTGGACAAAGACTTTGACCATCATTCCTTGGCACTTCCAGTCTGCGTGTTCAAGTCCTCAAGTCTACAAAGGCACTGCCCGCCTCACCACACCCTTCATTGCAGTGACAAAGGTGAAACTTATTTGTCCAGGATGCCCAGAAGCACCCTGAGGGCCTCAAGTTGTCACCGTCCCTCCTTCAATGCCCTGTAAGAGAACCCTCTGAACGAGAAAGGTGTAAGTGAAATGACAGACTCCAACGAGCCACCTCGGCTCTGCTTCTGCATATTGGTCTACACTGGCCATTTCCTACAGAGTGACTGTCCTTCCCAGCTGCCCTCTCCGTGCCCTCCTGCCCAGGGGCCATCCTGGGGAGTGCTCTGGCCTCTTCTCCTGGGCCACCCCTCCACACCAGGGCACTGGAGCCTAAGGTCGTTTCTTCCCACCTGAGGCAGCCTTCGGCTGTGGTTACCTTTTTACTCTCAGAAAGTCTGAGCGGGTTGTCTTCCTCGGATGTCTCAGGGCGAGAGTCGCTGCTTTCCTCATCTTCGTCATCTTCTTGCTTGTCTTCCTCTTCTTTGTATTCTTCGTACTCCTCCTCCTCCTCGGTTGGTTTAATCTTAAGATCCGCTGGCTCAGTAGCTTGCTTGTCTTGGCATTCCTTTTTCGCTTTCCCTTCCAGTTCTCTCTTTTTATCCTCCTCCTCCTTCTCTTCTTCTTCTTTTGCTAGCTTCTCTAACTCCGACTGGCTGACCTTGTAGTATAGCACCACCTCCAGACTCTGTGGGGTGGGGGCAGGGGAGCCTGCTGTCACTTGGGAAGGGTCCTACTCTATCTAGGGAATGCTTCCCAGCAGTGAGAGTCAGAGTTAATGTCCTTAAACGTGATGGGGCATCCCCAGGCCTGGCCTCTTGGGGGACCTGGGCAAGCGCTGGGGGTTAAGCCACTCAGTCGCTGGAGCGGAAGGTTCTTGGGCTCTCCTCTTCCCATCCCTTCTCTCTCATTTATTGGTGCTTTTCTTGGGCAGATAGTAGGTGAGCGGGGAGCGGAGCCCAGCACAGGGGCTGTGGTCTTTTGGGACTGGATCCACACTTCCCAGGACACCACAGGAAGAGGGCACAGCAACTTTCCATGAAGATAGAGCTACTGTCAACACGTGACTGAGATTCTGGGACCTTTGCTTACAAATGCCAAGGGTATTCAAAATGGTCATAAAAATGAAACTGCGCATGGATTTCAAAAAGCAACTGGCACCAAACTAAACTTGTATTTTCCCTCTATTTGCCCACCAGCTGTTTGAAAGTCCTTGTACCTCAGCTGGCCATGGCAGTGATGGAAGGAGCTCTGCTTGTTGGCATCTGCCCTGCCCTCCTGCCTATCTGGCTGCCAAGTTGACCACTCACCTTTCTGGTCTCAAGGTTGTCCTCAGAGCTGTCCGAGCACGCCTTGGGCACCTTTTTAGTCTTAACCCCACTGGCGTTTTTGTTCACATTCTTGTTGCTGCTCTTTCCCTTGCTCTCCTTGGGCACGGTGGGCTTCTTCTCTTGGAGCCTGCCCAGCTCTTCCTGGCAGCACTGCAGCTGCCCCTCCAGCTGCTCCTGCACGGCCAGCAGCCGCCCCTGCTCATCCATGCTAGCCTGGTACTGCAGCTGCAGCTCCCGCAGCTTGGTCTGCAGTTCTTTGATCTGTTGGTAGTGGGGAGGGTGGTGCCCAGTTACCCAGAACTGAGTCTGGAGTCCAGGCAGGCAGCCTGGGCCCTGCATGAGTGTGTGTGTAGAAATCTTCCAATGAAAAAAAAAAAAAAACCCTGAAACTGCAGAAGGCAAAGCTCTGACACAGTGTTGCAAAGAGCTTTCCTCTAATTTGAGGCACCTGTTGATTTACATCTAACATGATTAAAAGAAATAGAGGACTTAAGTGATGTTATTTTTTACCAGGAAAAGAGCTATAGGGCTGCTAACCACCTCTCAACCCCGGGGATTTATCAATAACCCTTGTAATGGGGATTCTTCTCTCAGCCTGCCCATCTGTCTGTCTCCTGCAGGAAGTGTGCCGCGCACTCCTGTGATGCTCTAGCTCCTGCATTGCCTGGCCAGGGCAGCGGAAGTCACACCCAAGGACCTGCTCATCGGTCTGGGCTCCTGTGTGGGCTGCCATTTGAATACATATACACAGTGCCCCCCGCTATCACTGCTAGAGACGGGACCTTCTGTGCCCTTCCCGTGGGGGTGCAGCACTCTGCTTGGCACTATATGAGGCCACAAAGAAAGAAGCAAAGCCCCTGTCCTTGGGGTGTTTACAATCTGAGGAGACAAGGAAAAACACAAACATCGGCAAGTGAAAAAAGGCTGCTCTTCGGAAGTGCCCTGGGACTCCAGCAGGACAGAAGAGGCAAAGGAAAGAAGCAGTCTTGATGTCCAAGGCTGGTGGGCACGAGGGGACCTGGCACCTGGCCTTGGCCCTGCGCAGGTGCAGCAACCGCTTCCTAGGCTGTGGTCTGCCTGCTCAGTGCCCGAGCTCCTCTCGCTCTAGGGGCTCCCGGGGGATGCGTGGGGGGAGCCCTGCATCTCCAGCTCTAGGGGCTCCTGCCGGAGGAAGCCCTGCATTACCTCATTCTTGTCACTCTGGGAGGCCGAGGGCTTTTCCAGGCCCTCCATGCACTCCTGGAACTCCTTTTCGCAGGCATCCAGTTCTTCCCGAAGTATTCTCTGCTGTTCCAGCAGCTTGTTCATCTGCTCTTGCAGCTGGCAGTGCTCCTCCTCGCTTATCTGGCCCAGGGCCTGCACGGCCTGCAGCTTGGTCAGCACCTTGGCTACCGACTCCTCAAAGTGCTGTGGAGGGTGGATGGGCAGTGGCAGCACCCTGAGAGTGACCTGACCTCCGTCCCACTCTTAGGGAGGCCCTTCCCTGGATATGGAACTGGAGCTGTGCAGGGAGATGCTGTCTTTTCCCCCCCATCAAGAGCCCATGACTGTACTGATGAAGACCCCCGAATCCCAGGCCTCCAATCAGTGGGGGCTGCAGGGGCGGCGGAGCCGCTAAGGACAGAGGGGTCTCACTTCCTGCCAGCGGTCTCCCAGCTCAGCCCTGTTCCCCTTCCACCTGGCCCTGGTGATGCAGTTCATTGTCTTCCCCTGCCTGCCCTGTCCTGTGGCGCCTGTTACCTCCATGTCTTCAGACTCAGCCAGGTCCTCACTGGTGGTGCTGCTGCTGGCGTAGCTCTTGTGGTAGGTGTCAGAGCTGTTGTTGCTACCGTAACTCTTCTTGTAAGAGCTGTTGCTGCTGCTGCTGCTGGAGCGGTAACTCTTCCCGTAGCCCTCGCTGGTGCTGCTGTCATGGCTCTTGAGGAAGTTCTCGCTGCTGGCCTCCACGCTGTCATAGCTCTTGTGGAAGTTCTCGCTGCTGGGAGCCACGCTGCCATGGCTCTTCTTGTAAGACTCCAGGCTTGCCTTGGCAGCCGGGGACTGGTCTTGGAGTAGCTGCATCTCTTCCAGGCAGAACTGCAGGTCGGCCTGCAGCCTCTTGCGCTCCTCCAGGAGCCTCCCGTGCTCCTGCTGCAGGAGCACCTGCTCTGCCAGGCTGTCGCTGTACATCGCCTGCAGCGCCTGCAGCGCGTCCCTGAGTAACTGGGACTGCCGGGGTTAGGGACAGGGAGACAATACCATTACTTTGCACGTTGCAGTGAGCTGTGCTTCTGCCGGCGCAAAGGCCTGCGAAGTGCCTATCCCTAACTGGAGGGGTCAGTCTGCTGCCCATCAGGGAAACCCCCCAGGGCAGACATCCCCATTTCTGCTGGCTCCGGTATTGTGCTATTTCCCTCTGTCCTCACAGGAGCGCTGAGCAGGTCTCATGAACACCCTGGATCCTCACCCCTCAGCTTCTTTTCGGTCAGTGGACCCCTTAGCCCAAGCTTTAGGGTCAGTCTTCTCCTGATCCCAATTCTATAATCAATTCCTCGAGAGCAGAGGCCTACAAAGAATCCCTCCTCAGGAGACGTGGGTTCGGCGTTGAGGTCCTCTCTGAATCCCTACATCTCTTGCTCCAGCTCTCAGTGTGGCTGCTGGGCACGTCTCCCAGACCCCTGGGCCTGGCTTCCTGGCTCTGGATGCTCAGGGAACACCTGCTCAGCTCAGCAAAGACGTTGTAACTGGTGCCCACTTGCACTACGGGGCATGCAGCCTGCACGTCTGATGCGCTGCAGCAGGGCAGGCCTCACAGTCCTGGCGGCTGCTGCTCCCTGGCCCGCCCGGCTTGGGCCAACTAGCTGCATGAGCAGGTTGAGCCTCAGCTGGGACCATCTAGCTGCTCCTCCTTGCCAACACTGAGGCTCAGACTCACCTGTCTGCGGATCTCTGCCTTGCTAGTGTTTGGATGTACCCATTTCCTGGACTAAGTCTGACCTGGCTCTGTCACAGCACCCAAGTTCCACCCAGGGGAGCATGATCTGTCTGAAGAGACACTCGTGCATGGGAACTCCTCCCTTGGAAATGAATGGGCCCAATCTACCTCATGTAGCACACCACAAGGTCACTTCTCTGCTTGTAAGGAGAGGACAAGCCGTCCTGAGTCAGAGCACAGGAATCCCAGCACACATTCAAAGCACGTGCAGCTGATGGGACCACATCACCGGAGCAGAGCTCCAGCCCTCCAGGCCATCGCTGCTCCGCCTGAGTGTCCCCAGGGCATGGCCTCAGGTGAGCTCCACCAGCTATAACTAAAGCCGCATCTCAGGGAACCCTGGCTGGCGGAGGGGAGGGCTTTAGCCTCGTGCTACTGCTGGCCACACAGTCCTCCTAAGCCAGCCCCTCCTGCCTGGCCCCTGCAAGGCTGCCGGGCTCAGGGCTGTCCCCCTACATCTTGCCGGAGTTACCTTGTTTTCACATTTTGAGGATTCAGACCATTTGGGGTCATCAGGATTCTCCGTGAACTGTCGCAGTGCTTTGTGCGTCTCTAACTGCTCTTTCAGTATGCCTTCTTGGCTCTGGATCAGTTTTTTCTGCGCATTCTGCATGCCTTGGTAGAGCATCTGCAGTTCGCAAAGGTCCTGCAACTTTGTGAGTATATCCTGACTCTGTAAGGTGGGGCGGGAGGAAGGTGTTGAGGTGGCTAAGCAGCAAGCCCGGGGCTCCTGTGTCGCATCCCCGCTGGGAGCCCTTCCCTTCCACAGAGGAGGCTCTGTGCTGGCTGCGCCCCATCCGGGGCCTGAGCCGCTAACGGAGCAGCCATGACCTCTTCTGTCTGGATGTTTACAAAGGGCTTTCAGGTGCATCTTCTCCAAATGGCCAATATCTACAATATGAGATGCTGCACAGATTCCAGAGGTGAAAAGCCCTCATCGGCTCTACTGAGCTCTTTGGTTTTGGGGAGATCATTGAGAAAATAACGAGTGAGTGGTTGAGACAGGAAAATCGGTCAGGTCCCACCCTCTCACTGCCCCAGGACACCTACATGTCGACTACTTGTTGGAGCGGCCGCTGGGCCAGCAGTCGCCCTGTGGCCGCAGTTACCTTCTGGAGGAGGCCGCTTTTGGGCAGCGGGAACATGAGCTTGTGCAGCTCCTCCTGCAGCTGGCCCTGCTCCTCCTGCAACCTCTTCTGATCCTCCAGGAGCTCACACTGCTCCATCTGCAGCTGGCCCAGCTCCTTCTGGCTGGCCTTGAACTTCTCCTGCAATTCTGTCAGTCTGGACAGCAGCGCATCACACTGTAGGCGTAGTGAAGGAAGGGACAATTATTCTGTGGGGTGTACCTCCACAGGGGCCGGCCGAGTGCGTCTGCTCTCCGGCTGCTCGCGGTTCGCTAGGTCCCGGGAGACCCAGCTGCTCCGTTCACCCCAGGTGTACCGTGCCCAGGCAGGCCCGGGCCTGGATACTGAGGGTGGGAAATGCCACAGGGCGCTGCACTGCCACCCCTCCTGGGGAGGGCACTCAGGAGGGCTGTTTACAAAGCCCTGCTTTCTCAGCCCTCTCCCGTTCTAGCACTTTCCTTGGATGGCCCATTTTCCTACTCTGCTAAAAACACAGGCACCCATTACACTCACTCTCTCCAGGTGTTTTCAGTCCACATTGCGCTCCTTACTAATAAGGACTTAACAGCATCCTAAGTTTTCCTATTTTTGTTGTCTTTGTCATCTTTTAAAATCTTTTGAACAGTATCAGTGACCCTGCATACACGTGGGAGACCTGGAAGAAGATCCTGGCTTCAAATCAGCTCAGCTACGGCTGTGGCGGCCATTTGGGGAGGGGTAGTGAACCAGCAGATGGACGATCTTTCTATTTCTCCTTCTTCCTATACATTTGCCTTTCCAATAAAAATAAACAGATCCTTTAAAAAAAATTAGTGACTGCTGAATTTGAGTAGTTAAAATGAAATCATCCCATAATTCCCCAAACCTTCTAACATATCAGAAACAAATTCCAGTGGTGCCGTGGGCCTGGAGCCAAGCCAGCCCTGGGCGACTGCACCTTCGCCTCTCCCCAGCTGTTCCCACGAGGAGAGAGGGGATGAGCATGGGCCCTGGGCCCCCACGTTGAGTGAGAGCAGAGAAGGAGGGCCCAGAGAGGCAGCTGAGTGCAGAGCACCGAGGTGCTCATGTCCCCAGGCCTCTGGCCCAGGACGGCCTGCTGCTGCCGGCTGGGGGAGCTGCCAGGGGTTCCAGCACCACAGAACCAGCTCTGCCACCTCCAGAGACCCTATTGCCTTCTCTCCAACCTGCTTCAACGCCTTTCCATGTCCTGTTGGTAGCCAGGAATGGAAAGTGCTCAACAGGGTGTGAGAGAACAGCTTTTATGCTCTACAGAGAAAGGAAGTGCGAGCAAGGCTCTACTGATCCCTACCAGCATTTATTCCTAACAGGAAGTGACAATAGTGTGTTCCGCCAAAGATACAAGAATCAAGCTTCAAAAACTGAACTACTCCAAAACCATAGAATAAGTCCTGGAAGAGCTTCCTTAGAGCCTCTGAACACCCAGCCAGCACTCCGACCGTGTGACTGCACCCAGTTCCCCCAGACACCGGCCCCTCCTCCTAGCTCCAACATTCATGGGTGTGTCCTGTCCTCTCCACAAAGAGTTAAGCTCACCAGTTCAATACCAGCAAACCAGCATCCACACAGACTCACGTAACGGACTGGGATCCACAGCTCCCACATCTAATCAGCTGTGGCTCTGGCTCAAAGTCAAGGTCAAGGACAATTGTGATTACAGGTAGCAGCAAGAGGCTGTGCCAGCTTCCTGGCTCAGGAGCCCATCAGGCCCCCTGGTGGGGCGACTGCCTCTCCTGCCCAGGAGCACAAGTTACCTTGTTGGCACAGGGGCCGTGGTCCGCGGGGAGTGGCTGGGTGCTCTTGAGTTCGTTCAGCTCCAGCTGGCAGAGCAGGTAGTCCTGCTCCAGCTGGTCATAGATGTGCTTCTGCCGCTCCAGCTCGTCCTTGCTTTCCTGGTACAGCCGCTTGACCTCATGAAGCTGGGCTTGAGTCTCTGCGTTCTGGGCAGGGGAGGCAGGCCTGGCCATCACAGGGCGGCAAGCCACCGCAGCTGTTCTCCTCCCAGGCGGGGGACCAGTCCACCCCACGGCCCCTCCACTCCCCAGCCCCCATCTTTGTCTCAGCTCCAGTGTCGTCCCAGCCAGGGATACCCAAGCAGAGCCATCCTTATGGGGCTTGGAACAGAGAATCCTGGGCGCATGAGGACGGGAAGGGACTGCCTTTCTATACACGACGCTGGCTTTCTGACTTGAGAGCAAAGGTCTCAAGAGCCCAGGACACCCCGTGATTACCTCTCCACCCTTTGGCTACAGCCTCTGGTGCAGCTTCTGTACCTTTTGCTCGCTCTCCCGGAAGCAGTCCACCATGTTCTTGAAGCGCTGCAGCTCTGCCTCGTGGCACCGCAGCTCCTCCTGCAGCTGCTGCTGCGCTTGCAGGAGCTTCTCCTTCTCCTTGGTGCTGTTCTGATACTGCAGCTGCAGCTTCTGGACCCGGCACGCCCACTCCTACGGGGGAGCAGGGAGCCCGGGGCAGTGCCGCTGCTGCCCGAGCTGGCCAGCTGCTGATGGCTGGGGGCGTCTCTCCTCCCTGCCCTCCACCTGCTGTGGTCTTCTCTTGGATGGCCGGAGGGTGCTGTCGTTTTAACTCTGCTCTCACCCTCTGCCTCCCATGACCCTGGGGCTCCGGGTGCCCTAGCTGCCCCCTCACCTTCTCGGCCTGGCTCTCCATAACTGTAGGTGTTGCAACCTTGAGCTGCCGGAGTTCACTCTGAAGCTGCAGCTGCACTTTCAGGAGCTCCTTCTGCTCGTCCTGGCTGGCATCATACTTTTGCTGCAGGGCACACAACCTGGTCTTGAGCTCCTCGTTCTGTGGCAGGTGAAGGGCATGGGAAGAACCATCACTCTCCAGACACAGCAGTCCACACCCTCCCACACCAAAATGGGGTTCTGTCCAGGACAGACATCCCAAGGGGCTCCCTGGGTCGAGCGGGAGGCACCCCCTCCAGAATGGCCACCATCCTAGTGTCGTGCTGTAGGGTTTTTCTCTCCCAGGGTTCTCCAGGGGGCTGTGGCCATGGCAGTGGGCTGGGAGCCGGTAGGGGAGGCCTTGGGCTCTGTCCCATCTTCTGGGGAAGGAGCAACGATGCGCATGGCTCACTCACCTGGACAAAGCTGTGAGAGGTCTGGAAGCGGAGCACCTCATTCTGTGCACACTTGAGCTCCCGCTGCAGCCGCCTCTGCTCCTCTTCCCCGACCCGGCGGTGATGCTGCAGCTGCAGCAGCTCAGTACTCAGTTCCTTACACTGTCGGGGGAATGGAGCACGAAGCTTGGTTAACGGCAGGTGCCACACACACTGCAGGACAGGCATGGGGCAAGGATGCATTCCTTTGATTGGAATGCAGTCATGGGGCTCTCCATGCCAGCAGAGATGTGTTCTGAGAAACACACAAGGCACACCCTACTGCCTGCCTAGGCGACCTGGTTTTCACATACACATGACTTCGTCTATTGGCCCTAGGCTCACAATAAACAAAACAACATGAGCTTAAATCTAGCACAAGAGGAAAACAATGAGATCCAGAGGTGAAGTACACACAAGTTGCCTGAGGCTCCACGACTTATAGCCAGCTCTTCTGCTAGGGAGAGGAACTCACTCTAAAGTCAGTACATGTGCAGGCAACACAGCCATTGTTTGTCAGTAGCACGTGCCACATACTGCACGCAACTGCACTGCCACCCCTGCGTGGTGACTGCAGGGCAGGAGGTCCATCCACAGCAACACTGCCACGAGCTCTGGAGGGACGTGTCTCCCGATGAAAACAGGATGTCTACAATGCCCCTGGGCAACATCTTAGCTCCACCAGAACCTCACGGGTCACCCACTATAGGTGCAGCCCACCGCTCACCAAGCACCGCCACACGGCAAGTTGGCGAGACCCCTGGCTACTCTCTACGGCCACATCCATCAGGGCCTCCCTTCAGCGCTGTGTCTACCCCAGGCCAAGGGAGGGTAGGAGAGGGAGAACTGGGAGGGGCCCGCCTGCTCTCCTCACCTTGTTCTTCATTCCATACACCTGCTCCTCAGCACCCAGGAGCTGCTGCCGCAACAACTGTAGTTCAGGATCCGGCTCTGGGAAGTCTACTTCGAAAGTCTGGGATTCTGTTGACATCATGGTCTTCAGCGGTTGGGACTCCAGCCACCTCTCGGTTGCTCTTCGTGTCCTGAAATCCAGAGTCCCAGAGCCATGATCGTCGGGAACCCGAGCTGGCATCACCAGCTGAGTGGGCACTGATGCCTTCAGCTTCAGCCAGGAGAAAAAGGACCCTTTCGCTATGATTTACCTCTCAAATAAACACTGAGAAGATGACAGGGCCTCCAGGACCCCATCTGCAGAGGCACGTGGGCTTCGGAGCCTCAAGGCTAGGTCTGACATCAAGCCAACTGCAGCCTGGCTCTACTAAGCCATTAGACCTAATCAAGTCTGTGTGGACAACACAGGAATCTCTTCTAAATGTACTCTCACACAATGTAAAAACAAAAACCACCTATCAATAATGGGAGAAATCTAACTTTGAAAGATAAGAGTCGCAAGGAGAGAGGGAGAGTCAGAAGGAAACATCTTTGATTCACTGGTTCACTTCCCAAATGGCTGCAATGGCCAGCACTGGGCCAGGCCAAAGCCAGGAGCCAGGAGCCAGGGACTCCATCCAGATCGCCCACGTGAGTGGCAGAGGCCCAAATGCTTGGAGCCATCTTTTGCTGCCTTCTCAGGTACATTAGCAGGGAACTGGAGCAGGGAGAAGCTCAGACTCAAACTGGTGCCCACATGGGATGCCGGCATCACAGGTGGTGGCTTTACCCACTATGCCACAATGCAAGTTCCAAGAAAGCTAAGGATTAGAACCCACTCAGCTGTAGTGTTGGCTTCCTATGCCTATTCCTAGGTGGCCTCTGTGGCCTTTGGGTGCCATGGGAAGGACTGGGTCTCTAGAATCAAGCACCTGCTCTTAGAGATGCCCAAGGCAGTCTTGCAAACCCCCAAGCCCTGTCCCCTGGTTGTACCTCTCGCTCTCGAGTTCCGCAAGCTGCCCTGTGAGGCTGCTGTTGCTCTCCTGCAGGGCCCGGTACTCCTCGTTCAGGAAGTGGTAGCGTTCCTGCAACTGCTGCAGTTCTTCTGTGGAGGACAAGCAGAGCAAGACGAGCCCCTTGTGGGAGTGGGGGGACAAAGCATCGACAAGCACCCTCCCCTAGGGCCTCCTGCCTGGAAGCCTGAGCGCTTGAGTCACAACAGTCTCACTTGCTTTGGAAAACAGGCCAGAGGTCCCACTCACAGAGGCTTGGGAGACAGACAGAGTCTGGAAAATCCTGATGTCACAGGCTGGCTTCCAGACTGGCCCCAACAACAGCAGGGTCTTAAGTTTTTAGGGCCTTTGGGATTTTAATTGGGTGACTGCATCAATGCTTGCTGTCTGATTCAGTGTGTCTGTGTTTTCAAACAAAAAGCAGAGACCTGAGCTCTGCTGACACTGGTGCCTGCAGACACCCGGTCCATGTTGGAGCTGCCCTTCTTCCTTTATCACTAGATCCACTCTTTGGTCTTCAGGTGGTCAACAATTCATCTGAATTATTTTTTTAAATAAATGCAAGCCTTATTTTTTTTAAAGATTTATTATCTAAGGCAGAGAAAGACAGATTTTCCATCTGCTGGTTCACCCCCTAGAGTCACAATGCCCAGGGCTGGGTCAGGCCAAACCAGGAGCTTGGAATTCCATCTGAGTCTCCCATGTGGGTGGCAGGGTCCCAAGTACCTGGGCCACCCTCTGCTGCTTCCCCAGGCCATAAGCTGGGAGTTGGACAGAAGCGGGGCAGCCAGAACTCAAACTGATGCTCTATGGGACGCTGGTGTCACAGGAGGCCGCTTAGCTTGCCGTGCCACGATGCTGGTCTCTCCAATGGGCCTGCATTCCCCGCATATCACCCCAAGCTTCAGGTCAGGGGTAGCAGAACTGCCCCACCGACCCTAAGGACAAGTTGGTGATTATTTTTTAAATGCTGTCATGAAGTGAACATCCCTATGTTTTGTTCTCCCATGACTAAGAACTATATCTCTTAGAACACTAATTCTGTTTATGAAGCAAGGCCTATCTTACCCGAAGGGAAAATCAAGACTCTTGATGTCATTTCTAACTTCTCCTTTTCATTCCAATCAGAGCCCTTAGGCCACTGCAGATGACCACACACGGGAGGCAGGCCACTGATGTTTAACGGAAGCCAACTGTGTGACGAGCACACCCCTCGTGATGTCAGCCTCCGCCAGCTGGGTGTGACTGCTTGCAGTGTGCCAGGCTGGAGGACTCAGCCCTCCAGTCAGCCCTGGAGCAGCTTGCTTTCTTCTTCTTTCTTTCTTTCTTTCTTTCTTTCTTTTTTAAACAAACTTGGGGTTGTAGAATAACTTTACATTTAGGAAAAGACCGCAGATAGTGGAATTCTCTGAGAGTCCTCTTGTGGCTTCCCCAAGTGTTAACATCTCACATTATTACCCTGCTACCTGTTCCCTAACTAAGGACCCAAGGTTTCACATTACTGTAAACTGTGGGCTTGATTCAGGTATCTCTACATTTCCCCACAGCCCTCTTTCTGTTCTAGAATGCCACCTTGCCGTAAGGGTTCAGTAACCATATTTGAATTTCATACTGCCTCCGCCCAGATACAGAAGTGGAGGCTCCAGGAGAGGTGACAGCCACACTAAGTTCATTCTGTTGAAGAGTGGCGCCGTGTTTCTGTGTTCAAGCCAACTGTGCTCTGGCCCAAGCCTTTCCCGCTCGCCAGCCTCCATGGCCCAGCACCACCGGCCAAGGCTCTTCTGGGAAAGCTTGAAGGTCTTTGAGGCCTTGTTGACGGCCTCTGCCTTGACCTGGCCAAATCCAGGGCCTCTATTGTTCTCAGCTCATAAATCGAGTCCCAGCAGAAAGGCACACTCACTGAAATAACAAATCCTAGCAACCAGCTGGGAGGCTCAGTGGCTGCAAGCAGAGTGCAATGCCATGACTGCCTGGAAGACTAGAGGCCGTCTTCTCCCTTCCAGCTTCTGGGTACTCTGCTCAGTTGCCACGGAAGCTTTCCTTGGCAAAGGCTCCAGCAGCCTAAGAAGGAGCACTCTGGAGCCCCGGAAACAGGATGTGGCCAGGCAATGTGCCACGATGCCAGAGCAGCGGGAAGGTTCCCAAGGTGACTGGTCTCCCCACCCCCACCCCAGACCTGGACAACATCCCGGGAAGGCCTTCCCCGTGATCAAGTCAACCAAGACACATTGGTGATGAATCTGTAGAATCGGAGTGCATTCTCTCCCTTAGTGTCTCAAGTTCAACCTGGAGGGCGTCTTCCTAGAGGTTCCCAATCCATCGTCTAAAACCACCCCTCTCCCCACCTCCCTCCACGCGAGCTCCTCTCTCCTGCTGGACCAGGAGGAGGACTTGCTCTCATACCTTGCAGCCCAGAAAAGTCAGAAAGACTTAAGCTGTTGGAAGGGTCAGAGCCCTTCATCTCCATTTCGGCGCGGAGGGTGGCGATCTCCAGCTCGTAGTCTCCCCGGATGCGCTCCATGTCATCAAGTTCATTCTGCATCCGGCAGAGGTCCTCCTGCAGCGACGCCATGTCACTTTCATGCTCGCTCGCTGAATCTGCTGCTGCCTGTCGTAGGTTATGGATCTCAGCCTGGGCCAGATGTAATTCCCGTTCTATTGCCTTAAGCTCACTTTCTTTCTCTCGCTCTAACAGGGAAATCTCCTCCCGCAGATGTCGCAACTCGCCTGTAAACCCAAAGATGCAGACAGTCAAGAGGACAAGGCATCTATCACCCTCTAGATGCACAAAGCTAAAAGCAGACTCTTGGATTGTCTGGCTAGGAATAGCAGGAACAGAGTGACTACATGTAAGCCATGGAAGGAACAGATTTCAGAGAGAAAAAACAGAGACAGATCTTCCATCGGCTGGCTCATTCCCCAAATTCCCGTCACAACCAGGGCTGGGCCAGGCTGAAGCTGGGAACCCAGAACTCCATCCAGGACTCCCACGTGGGTGGCAGGGACCCATGTACTTGAGCCATCATCTGCTCCCTGCCAGGGTATGCATAAGCTGGAGCAGAAACAGAAGACCAATGACTTGAACCGGGTACTCCAACTTGGATGCAGGCATTCCAAGTAGCAAGTGAACCATTACATCAAAATGCCTACCTTGTGGGACAAGAGTGGACCAGCCTGCTGCACATACTGCAGTGTATCCAGGGCTGGGGGTGGGCCTAGTGGGAGTTATCGGGGGTTGCTCTGACTAGGCTGCAGTTCCTGCTGGTGTGTATAATGGCAGAGTATGTGGTGCGCAGGGTTAGGCTGGACCACAGCATCCACTGATTTGAGTATGAAATGAGACTGGAGACAGAACTGACCAGGTGACTGTAACTACCAGTATGTGTGTGCAGGCTGATGTGGGTGATGAAGTGAGTCGGACCCCACACTGGCCGGCACACACAGGAGTCAGTTCTGGGGTCACCTCTGGCGAGGTTTCTTTGGGGACTCCCTCCCAATTGGATCCCTGGACTTAGACTCCAACCACAGGTAAGACCACAGGATCTATGGTCTGATTGTGGAGTGCATGTGTCAGAACTGGGTCTCCTTGGTTGCTGAGGCCTGTGCGGTGGACAGCATGCCCATTTGCTCATGGGGGTCATGACAACCAGTTCATTGAGGCCTGCAGCTGATGTCTAGTAGCATAGAGGGCAGAACAAATTGGACAGCTCTCCTGGACTGGTATCTGGGCAAATCAAGACTTTAAGGTGGACTATGTCAGTCAATGGACCTTGGAAAGATTTCCTCAACCTTGGAGTAACGAAATCAACAGCATTTCAGAACTATCAAAACCACTCACGCAGTATGCTCAGAACATGCTCCACCTTGGGGGCCACGGAATGACATCAGGTGGGCTTCCCCCATTCTTGGGGTTGCTGGGAGAAGTCCCTCCCCTGTTCTCTCTCTAATTTCCCCAGATACCAGAAGGAAAAAGAGACTGGAAGCAGTTTTCTCATTCACTTTCCCCCATTCCTCAAACTTCCGCACCCTACCTGGAAGTCCACATGGGCATGTATCTCTCTCAACCATGCAAACATCATCAAAAATAAAATGAAAGTATTAAAAATAATTAAATGCCTATCCCTAATTTACAGTATGTTACTGATGCCTGAGTTCTTTTAAAAATTCTCTAGCTAGAAAAAAATTCATGAAAATGATGTTCACCATTTCAAGGTGGTAACTTGGAAATTACAACAGCTCAGAGATCCCATGAACTTTCCATGTCAGGACAAGATCCAGAACAATCCCAGCACAAATCCAAATGTCACTTTATGATGACCAAGCACTGAGTAGTCACCTAACCGCCAACTGGGAATGATTTTTAGAGAGCACACAGTCTCAAAGGAGAGTGGTGGGTCGGTACTGAAGTTAACGACATGTCACATAGACGGGAAGACGAGCTGTGGGACCTGCGGCATTCTCTAATTCTTGCCAAAGGTCTTCTCATGCGAGGTACAGAACACACACGCACAAACAGACCTGGGAAAGACCTGCCCCCCAGCCCCCACGGGCCTGTTTCTGGGGGGTGGAACAGCACCAGATGGAGGGTATTTTACTTTCCCCATCTTCTTGATCTGCCCTGTTTGAATGCTGACAAAACCTGTATTTCAGAACATACAGAAAAGTTGCAGAGAAAAATGCGTCTGAGCTCTCTATACGAGCAGCAGCTCAGGGCTTCTGCCCATCTGGGATCGGCAGACCCTCCCAGCCGGGAGGGAGCAAAGGGCACAGGCATTAACTAACAGGAGTCCTGGATCTGGGATCCAGGCGGAGGTAATCGGGGGACTGGCCCTGCCGGGAGGGACCTTCCCACACACCACACCAGGCGCCATTCTCCTCAGCCCCTGGCCCCAGGCTCCGCCCACTCTACTTTTCCCAGCTTCTTGAGGCACCTCCTCAAAACACAAGCTAGGGCCTCTGTGGCATGCTCTGCCCTGGCGCCTGGAGCTCTGTGGCGCAGGTGCAGCCACTCTGCCTGCCACCTGGGCTGCAGGCTGTAGGGAGGCGGGTCTCTCGGCTCTGCTGCTCATCACCAACAGCTCCAGGACCCGGTACTGTGCCAGGTGGGTAACCTCCAGCCCAGCAGGCTCTTCCTGCATTCACTGGTATGCATATATTCAACAAACGGTGACTGAGCATCTCCACGTGTCCACAGTGCATGCTGGGCATTTTTTCAAAAACTGGAAAGGAACAAAGACGCTTGAGAAGGCCAAGGCATACCCAGGCAGCGGACGGGGTATCTCAGGGTTAGAGTTAGGGTTAAGGTCAGGTGTTGTTGTGCCCCCATGTGTTTGGCCAAGCCTTCCTAGCTACCACCGAGCACCGGGCCTCCTCTCCTCCGGATATGCCACAGGCAGGAAAGGTTCTGACTCCAGGCCAGGTCACCCACAAGGCCTCTGGCTTCCTACTTGAAGGCCAGGAAGTCCTCACTCTGCGCCTACTGCTGGGCCAGGCTCGGGGACACACTGGTAAACCTGCCATTCGGATGAAGACCTCCGATGGAGGGTCTGACCCCGCCCAAGGCCCTGCTGCCGGGAGTTGGGGAGGATGGGGGGTGCCCTAGTCGGGGTTCCGAAGGGGCTGGCGCCGGTTGGGACCCATCGGCGCAGCCCAGAGCTCCGCGGTCGGGCTGTGGGACGAAAGGGGTGGATCTACTCACTGGTGATGGCCTCCATGTCCCTGGCCCCCCGGCTAGCGGACTTGGGGGGCCTCCCACCGGCCGGCCGGTCCCGGCCCCCGAGGGGCTGTGGCGGCCCCAACCGCCCCCGACACCAGCGCCCTCTGGGCCGCGCGCGTCCCTGCGCGGAACGGGCACGGCGCGCGCCAGGGGGCGGGGCGCGGAGGGAAGAACGACGCTGGGGCTCGGGCAGGTGGCTCCTACCTGTCTCTTGTTCGGACTTCCAGCCTACTTGAAAGGAAGGGTGTACCTTTTGGAGTCAAGGCGACTGCTTTTTCTCCTCCACGGGACCCTCATTCTACAGACAAGATCTGACGGATTACCTTGACAAAACCAGAAACAAACAAAAGCTTTCTCCTGACTCCGCAGTCTGGAACTTTTATTTCTCCACCGGAGTTGCCTGTACTCACCTAGGTTTCTCCTCTTACTTCCCCTTCAATTCCAGTCCCTCCTGTCTGCACTGGAGTCTGCAGAGAATCCTCTGGTCAAATTCCACCATCATCTCCTTCCCTTGTCATAGTCACTTTGGACAGTGCCGTGTCAGTGTCCAGCAAATGTTTAATTCGCTGTTCATCTCTCTTGGACCGCTCCTCCCACCCCATGCCCAGGGGTCCATGTGACAGTGTGGTCATGTCCCGTGGAGTCCAGTGCTGCCCGTAGGCTCATGGATCTCAAGTTGATAGCCCCAGCCAGGTTCTTCCCTGGTCTACATTTGTAGATCCAATTGCCCCCCTAGCACAGCCACTCGAGGGGCAGATGTTTGGCTCAGGATCCAAGATGCCCCTCCTCACAGGGCCTGGGTTGGAGTCTCTGCTCCGGAGTTCAGCTTCTTGCACACGCACCCCTGGGACAAGCAACGGCTCAAGCAGCTGAATTTCTGCCATCTGTGTGGAAGACCTGGGTCCAGCTCCTGGATCCTGGCTGTAGCCTTACCCTGCCCCAGGGCATCTGGGGAGTGAACCAAAAGATGGAGAAACCTCTTGCAAATGAGTTGGTTTTTGAAAAAAAAATTTTTTGTTGTTTAAATAATTAATTTTTTAAAAATTCTAAGTCAGGCTCAGTGCCTAGTGGCTAAAATCCTTGCCTTGCGTGCACTGGGATTCCATATGGGCGCCGGTTCTATCCCGGTGGCCCCATTTCCCATCCAGCTCCCTGATTGTGGCCTGGGAAAGCAGTGGAGGATGGTCCAAAGCCTTGAGACCCTGCACCTGCATGGAAGACCCGGAGGAGGCTCCTGGCTCCTGGCTTCAGATCAGCACAGCTCCGGCCATTGTAGCAGCTTGGGGAGTGAATCAACAGACAGATCTTTCTCTCTTTCTCTTTCTCTCTGTATATCTGCCTTTCCAATAAAAATAAATAAATCTTTAAAAAAATTCTAAGTCACTTAGGTGTTCACAAAACATTTCAAACTCAATAAAAACAATCTTAAAGCATTCCCCTAGTTCCCACGTTCGTTCCTTGCCGAGTCCTTCCTGACCCAGTACAGGACACCGCCACCCGGCCAAGTGTTCAACATAAAAGTATCTTTTGTGCTTTTGTTAGCCTTCTATTCATTTCATCAGCAAGTCCTGAAGTTGCCACCTTCAAAAATATATATCAAGTCATCTCAGTGGATACCGCCTGGATCCAAGTGCCCCCCTCCTGAGGAATGCCACAGCCTGCCAATCGAACTGTCTTGCTTCTCTTCCAGCCATCCAGTTTCCACACAGTGGCCGAAGAGAATGTAAAACATGGCATGGTGAGGTACAGTCCATGAAAGCACTGCTTGGGTACCTGCATTGCACAGCAGAGTGCCTGGGGTCAAGCCCTGCCTCGGTGTCCACCCAGCTCCCTCTAAAGCCTGCGAGGCAGCAGACAATGGCTCAAGTCCTTGGGTTCTTGCCAACCCATGTGGGAGAACTGATGGAGTTCTAGGATCCTGGCTTGGGCCTCATCCAGCACGGGCTGTTGCCAGCATGTGGGGAATGATGGATGGAAGACTTCCCTTCTGGGTCTGTTTGCCTTTCAAATAAGAATAATTTTTAGAGGCCAGCACAGTGACTGAACAGGCTCATCTTCCACCTGTTGCACCAGCGGCCCATATGAGCACCAGTTCTAATCCCGGCTATTCCACTTCCAATTCAGCTCTCTGCTTGCGGACTAGGAAAGCAGCAGAGAATGGTTCAAGTCCTTGGAGCCCTGCACCTGCGTGGGAGACCCAGAAGTTCCTAGCTCCTGGCTTCAGATCAGCTCAGCTCCAGTCATTGTGGCTATTTGGGGAGTGAAACAGCAGATGAAAGATCTCTCTCTCTCTCCTTCTCTCTATAAATCTGTCTTTCAAACAAACAAAAATAAGTCTTTTAAGCAATAATATATTTTTTTTCCATTTTTAAATGATATAAAAAATAAACCCAATTCTATCACTTGGACCCTGGCCAAGGCCCTTGATGGCTTTCTACTTAATGTAAAATGCAAGCCAAACGCTCCCAGCCGGCCTGCAGGACCCATTCTACTATCTGGTCTCTGGCTGCCCTTTGCAATGCTCTTGACCAGGGTGCTCCAGCGCACATTGTCCCCTTGAGAAGTCCACCTGAATTCAGTTGACTCACTGCTGGCCCATTGCTGTCCTTTCTGCCTGGTGTGCAGCACACACGAATGGCTGGGATGCTACTTGTGGCTCAGGGCTTCGCTCCAGCGCCAGCTAACCACCCTGTTCACGGCGAGCATCCGTGCCAGCCCCTCCATCTGCATCATTCCAGAATGCTGCTGTCATGGCACTCTGGGTGCCATGTGCATTTGTTTGCACTTTTCTGCGCTTCCTCATCAGAACGCTCTCTTCACTGGGGCAAGAACTGTCCTTTTCTCATTCCTACCTGGCCCTCCAAGTTCAAGTGCACTGAATAAACCTGTACTAGCTAGCAGACAAGCAACTGATTTTCAGAAAGAAAAAAAAGCAACTTGCCCAGCTTTGTGCCCCTCAGAGTAGGGGTGATCTGAGACCAATACCTCTTGGCTCCCTCTCCCTGGCATTTTCTCGTTGTCCACCTTCCCTGCTTTTGCTTGCGTCACTGTCCCCTTTTCAACGCCTTTGCTTGCCCCTCTCCAGGATCGCTTCCCGACCTCCCTTTTTTCCCCTTTCATTTACCCGGCTCTTTCTGGCTTGATCTCACTTCTCCCTGTGGTGTGCCTGCTGTTTTCTAGGGCAGCTCCCCTAAACTTTCCGAGGCCCCACAGGAGGAACAAAGGCTGCTGCTTTACTTAGAGGTGCCAGCTGGTTTCCAGAAACAAAAGGATGTGGGCCTAGGAAGAAAGGGGCTGTTGGGGGGGCAGGCACAGGTGCACATCTGAGACAGCCAGAGAGAAGCTCTCAGTGGTTCCTTTCTAGGCAGCACGCAGTCACTTCTTGGCAGCTCATTGCTCCTTCCTGTGATGCCCTTGGAAGGACAGGTGAAAGGAAGCAGACTCAGAAGTCAATTCCAGCTACCCACCCTTGGCATGGACCATGGGCCCAAAGGACTGTGGGAGCTGTGTGAAGGGGAAGGGTGAAGGAGAGAGAGAGGAGAGAGAGAGAGAGAAACAACAGAGAGGAACGAGACAGTAGCATTGGGCTGTTTTCCTTTGCCATGCTTCAGTTAAAACCCAAAGAGAGAAGTTCTCGATTGACCAGGTGGCTGGCCACTGGCCTCCACATGAGTTACCTTGCAGCTGCTGGATCTGCTTGGTGAAGGCCTCTGCCTGCTGGGCGCTGGCCAGCCGCTCATCCTCCAGGAGCCCTGCAATGAGAGGGGGCCAATCAAGTTCCGATCTTGGGGATGCACTGAGCCTTTCGTCGGGGGGTGCGGGCACGTGCTCACCCTGCAGCTCCAGGGAGTCGTCCTCATGTTGCCCAGCCAGCTCCCGGGTCTCCTCCAGCTCAGCCACCAGCTGCAGCACCTGCGCCCTCAGCTCATCCAGCTCAGTCTCGGTGAGGCTCAGGCCCCGGTGCTTGCTGAGGGACAGGGAGCCTCCGCTGCTGCCCTTCTGCACTTGGTCAGTCTCTTCCTCCTCCTCCTCCTCCTCCTCTTCCTCTTCTTCATACAGTGCCGGCAGCAAGACCTCTCCTGGGAGACACCCACCCCACCACAATGCTAGACCTGGCTTCCTTGCCAAGGCCATTCCAGAGGCCTATGGCACCAGGGCACAGATGGAAGGGCAGTCCCCCTTGGTGTACCCTCCACCCCAGGAGCCTCCTGTGCCCATGATGGCTCCTCAAGCATAAGAGGCAAGTTGGCAGGTACCCTCCCTTTCTTCTCCCCTTCTCAGATCCTTCTGGACCTACGGCACACGTGGTGGCACCTCCCCAGTCCCTATTCCAACCTGTGGGCAAATCATCTGTGGGCCCAGGGAACTTGCACAAGCATTCCTGAGCCTTTTCCAGTCTGTTCTCTGGGGGAGAAGATGAGTGGGCAAGGGGATTATAGCCACTGAGTATGTCTTTAGGCCAAAAATTGGGCCAGAGTTGGAGGGTTCGCCATGGGTCTCTGCCTACAGTACCTGCAACTCATACAGGTGCCGGTTTGAGTCCCAGCTGTTCCAATTCAGATTCAGCTTCCTGCTAATACCCTTGGGAAAGCAGCAAAGGATGACCCACATTCTAGGGCCTTTGCATCCACGTGGGGACCTTAAAGAAGCTCCTGGCTTCTGGCTGCAGACCAGCCTACCTGCAGCCATTGTGGCCATTTGGGAGTGAGCCGGCAGATGCAAGATCTCCCTCTCCTTCTCTCTGCATAACTCCATTTTTTTCAAATTAAAAATAAATAAATTTTAAAAACACTATCCAGGTGGCTTGTGCAAAATTAGCCTTTCTATAATAAGAAAGTCTTCTCTATGAGTAGTTAGAAAACATTGAAGAAAATGATTCTAAATGTTGTGCTGGACAAACACCAGTGCCCTTTCCAATGATACTTTCTCAAATATCTTTTTGAAACTTTCTGCAAGGCCCCCTTGCTTGGCCCTGCTGGCTTCCCCTCCCCGAGCAGGACTTGGCCCCTCGTCCCTCGTGACTTCTCTTCCCTGCAGTTTTCAAAAGTCGCAGCTTGCACTTGTGTGCAAAAAAGCAAACCAGTCATTTTCCATGCATGAAAAGAGAACAAAAACCCTACCAACAAGGGTTGGGTGCCTGGTCCCCAGCCTCTGGTTGGCAAATACCCCCTCCTTCACTGCAATGCAGCTCCTGCAAATAGCAAAAATCTTATTCATCTTTAACCCTTGGAAACTCCACTCTAACTTTGTGTGTGAGTGGCAGCCCAGGGCTCCTTTGAGACGTCTGCTGTCAGCTGCCCCTCTTCAAGGTAACAGTGTAACCCACGCTGCATATGCAGAGGGGACCTGGGGATATCTCCCAGAAGGTCCTGGCTAACACACCAGCCAGCATCCATCCAGGGGCCTGGTGCTGCCGGATGTGCCAAGTCACATGGGTGTGACGAGCATACACGTGCACTGCAGGCTGGCCCCACCTGCCCTGGCAGAGCCTGGAGAACTGAAGCCCCAAGAGTTCGCTTTGAAGCAAATCGTGATGGCCCCAGAAAGACCAAGCCTGGGCCCATGGCTTCGCCTTTTCAAAACCAGAGACAGCTTGGGATCTGGGTCGCTGGCAGTGAGAGCAATTCCCCCTCCTCCAAGGCTGCTCCAAAGCTGTGTTCACAGAGGCCACTTTGTCCAGCAGCTCCCCTGGGAGAACACACAACCCAGCTAGCTGTATTGTCATGTCTCCCCACCTGCAGGGATGCACCCTGAACTTTCCCCAGCACCTGGGCCTTGGGGAGGACTTGAGTTCAAATCCACAGGCAGAGGGCCCGAGGGGAACCAAGGGAAGGATTTCGCCCTGGCTCAGAGGGTCAGAAGCAGGAAGAAGGGCCAGGAGAGAGGCCCTAGGGGAGAACTCACCCTCCATGGCCTGCATCCCTCGCCGCTCCAGGGACCCCCAGCGTTGGCCTTTCTTCCGGTCACAAGCTTCAGACACTTCAAAGGAGCCTAAAGTGGTTACTGTGGGTCCTGCGGGCATGGAGACAGGTTGCATTGTGGGGCATGGGTGCAGGGGGAAGCGGGAGATGTGCCTTCCAGCACCCTCCCCACCCCAGCCCTGGCAGCTGCAATTCCGGTGGAGGTGCCTGACTGCCCAGCTCTAGGACTACCCTGCGGGGACCCTAGCTCAGCCCTACTTGCTCCCCTCCCCCAATTTGGCACTCCCAAACCCAAAACACACCCTACTCGATTTCAAGCTATTCCAGCCCCTGACACTGGCAGAAAGAGGACAAGCATACGTTCAGCGAAGGGGACAGGGAGAAGAGCCGGGATAGGAGGCAGAACAGCAGCCAGTTGAGAGGTTGCAGTCAGAGAGAGAGCTGACGCGATGGGGGCGCATGAAGGGGTCCAGGTGGGGACACCCCCTGCCCACCTCGCCAATCTTTGCCCCTCTTATTCCCTCCTCTCTTCGGCCATCCTATGTTGCCGGGTGTCCGGGAGCTCCCAGGGCTGCAGGGGCTGCAGGGGCTGCAGGAGCTGCAGGGGCTGGAGCCCACCCTACCCCATCCCTACCCCCCGGGACAGAGAGGGGAACGCCCCGGTAAGGATGCAGCTGCTGTGCAGATGCCCTTTGCCGGAAAGATGGAGACCGGGCCCCAGGGAGGGCGCGGATGGAGCGAGGAAGGCTGAGGGCTGAGGGGTGGGCAGAGGAGGGTCGGGGCGCCCGGGGTCTGCAGCCAGGCATGCAGGAGAGGGAGGGAAGAAGGCGGGGAAAGGGGGAGGGAAGGAGGCTCTGACCTGGGCCGGGGCAGCTCCAGCCCGCGGCTCCCGCGCCGGCCCCGGCGCCCGCCTCCATGGCCGCTCTGGAGCCCAAGCTGCAGCCGCAGCTGCGGGGCCGGGACCCGAGCGAGGCGCGCGGGGAAGGAGCGGAGGGCGGGCCGCGGGGAGGAGCCTGTGTCCGGGCCACCTGACGACGCCGCCTCCCGGAAGCCCTCCCTGCGCGCGTTCTGGGAGCCAGTGCTAGCTGGAGGCCGCGCGAAGGTGAGCATGCCACGCTCGGAGAGCGGCCGGACTTGGACAGCACACGCACGCTGCTCCGAGGTGGAGAGGCCAGCTCCACCTGCTGTGTTGATGGGCAGGAACCTCAGTGCAGCCCATGCCAGAGCCAGATCCTCTCCCAGTGACTGACGGAGGGAAGAACAAGGACGGGTCCCTCTCTTCTGTCCCCATCACCGCAGTGAGCGAGGCCCACCCGACACGGTGACCCCCTCCAAGCTGTTGCTGGGCCTCCGCGGTCTCCACACTCCTAGCAGTCAGAACCCGGGACTCTCGCTGGGGCCCCAAGGTCCCCTTGCCTCCCGGCCCTGCCTCCGGTCGAATCCCCCGCGGTGGTGGAGGCCGCCCGGCTGAAGCTGGCGCTGCCAGTGTGGAAGGGGGCATGCAAAGAAGGGGTTTTCTCTTCCTCAACTCATTCCGGCATCGGTGGATGCCAGCAGCTCTCACCTCTTCGCGGATCTGAGTCGCAGAGGGTGTACTGGGTTACCTGTGTACAGCGCCACGGCTCCCAGTTGCCAGAAGTCTGGCTGCCCAATTTCTTCAAACCTGGGCAGTATCATTGCCTGACTCCAGCATGACAAAACCCTGGACAGCCAAGCTATCTTTGCCCTGATCTAAGGGTCACAACCTGGGAATCCAATGGTGCCCACGGACAGTCACGTTGTCTCCCTGCACGGCCCTCCCATTCCCTCTGGCTTGGTCTCCCCAACCTGATCTTGGGGGTGTGGGCATGGAGCAGGTGTTTCTTGCACCTGCTGCCCAGAGGCCAGGATTTTGCCCCAGACCCTCCCTAGCATCAAGTCAGGAGGAGCTGCAGCCCTTGCCGAGCCAGTGGGGCACAGGGTGCTCGTGGCAGTGCTGGGACTTGGGCAGCACACAGAGCCCTTGGGTGGGCATTGCAGGGCTGTTCTGGTTCTGTCTGAGCCCATGGGATCAGGCTAGCTTCCTCTGGGCAGGTGGAGGGTGAAATGGGAGGTGCAAGTTGTCCGTTGTGACCTCCTCAGGGATGTTCTTTTTGGGGAGCCCTGATCCCCAGTTAGGACTAATCCCCTGCTGGTTCCTGAGGCTGCAGATCACCAAGCGAGTCTGGGAGCATTCAAAACAGAGTCATGTTCTTGGAAACCTCCTTTTGGCTCTTGCGGTGCTGGGCTGGAGGGGGAGAGGTCAGGACGCTCTCGGAAGGGCTGGGGTGAAGGTAAGTAGGTCAGCCGGTGATCACCTTATGGGATGATCTGTGTTAAGCCTTGTAATCCCTGGGACTCGGGCCTGCCCGTCTCCTAATCCCATCCCAGCAGATCATCCTCTCCAAGGGCCTGTGCTGCCATTTATCTCCCGGTTCTGAAGTAGCGTCACGTTGTTGCCTTAACCCTTGCTTCATGCCCTTGAACTGCTCTCTCACGTTTCCTGTCACCTTTCCCACCTGGTCTTACCAGCTCAGATCCTCTTTCACTGAAGCTTGAATTATTATTAGATACCTCACCAACCAACACCACATTTTCCATTCAATTTCTTAGTGTTGTATTTATTCATGTATTAAATTCTGGGGGCCTTAGTGATTATTAATTTTTTCCCCTCCATGTCTCCCCTGTGGATGCAGAGCCCTTGGGTCATCCTGTACTGCCTTTCCAGGCACATTAGAGTGCAGCAGCTGGAACCTGAGCAGATGTCCATATGAGATGGATACGCCCACTGCACCACAGTGCTTGCCCCTGGAGCTGGGCACGGAACCCTGGCACTCTAACATGGGGAGTTTAACCAGTGTCTTTAACCACTGTACCAAATATTGAGCTCTTCGTTTACTTTTTAATTTATTTTTTGTTATTATTTTTAAAGATTTATTTATTTTTATTGGAAAGTCAGATATACAGAGAGAAGGAGAGACAAGGAAGATCTTCCGTCCGATGATTTGCTCCCCAAGTGAGCACAACGACTGATGCTGCGCTGATCCAAAGCCAGGAGCCAGGAGCCTCCTCCAGGTCTCCCACATGGGTGCAGGGTCCCACGGCTTTGGGCCGTCCTCCACTGCTTTCCCAGGCCACAAGCAGGGAGCTGGATGGGAAGTGGAGCTCCCAGGATTAGAACCGGGGCCCAGATGGGATCCCGGCACGTTCAAGGCGAGGACCTTAACCAATAAGTTATCGCATCAGGCCCTACTTTTTTTATTTTTTAAGAATTTATTTTATTGGGAAGGCAAATTGGATTTACAAAGAGAAGGAGAGATAAAGATAAAAATCCTCCATCTGCTGGTTCCCTCCCCAGATAGCTACAATGGCTGGAGCTGATCTGATCTGAAGCCAGGAGCTTCTTCTGGGTCTCCCATGTGGGTGCAGGGTCCCAAGGCCTTAGGCTGACCTCGATTGCTTTCCTGTGCCACAAGCAGGGAACTGGATAGGATGTGGAGGAGCCAGGACATGAACCAGTGCCCATAAGAGATCCTGGCACTTGCAAGGCAAGGATTAACCACTAGGCTACCATGCTGGGCCCCCACATTTAGTTTCTTTTTTTTAAATTTTTATTATTTTTTATTGCAAAGGCGGATATACAGAGAAGAGAGACAGAGAGGAAGATCTTCCGTCCGATGATTCACTCCCCAAGTGAGCGCAACGGCCGATACTATGCCGATCCGAAGCCAGGAGCCTCTTCTGGGTCTCCCACGCGGGTGCATGGTCCCAAAGCTTTGGGCTGTCCTCGACTGCTTTCCCAGGCCACAGGCAGGGAGCTGGAAGGGAAGCGGGGCTGCCGGGATAGAACCGGCGCCCATATGGGATCCCTGGCGTGCAAGGCGAGGACCTTAACCACTGCGCCACCGCGCCGGGCCCCACATTTACTTTCAAACTTCTATTTTCCTCAGTATCTCCATGTGCATTCTCAAGGGTGCTGGATGAGGAAAGAGCCATGTTAGTGTAGTGTGTTGCGGTGCCAGGCATTCCCTGTAGATTCACTCATGTCTGGAAGGGCCATGGCTGCTTCTGATGGGATCCAACAAGTTTAAGCAATGAATAGCGCTCTTCCTGTTTCACCAAGGAGAAAGCAGTTTGATCTCTGATCCTACTGTTTGGACTTGGAAATCTGATGGCTTTCCAACTGGGATTTCACATCCGGAGCCTATCTGTTCTTTATTGTTGTTCTTTGATGCAATTTAGTTGGCACTGGGGTCTCCTTTCCCCCTCCTGAGTTCCCTCCGCTCCCCTCTGTTCTCTCCTCCAATCTCACAATGGGTGTCTTTTGTGAATTTTCCCAAGTCCATCATGCTGCTGCTGGAGTGTCTCCCAAGCGCGTAGGTGACTGTCAGTGATTTCGTTGGCAGTTCACTCTTGTAGCCCAGGCTCCTAATGTAGATACAGTGAGGACTAGGTCTTCATTATTTATGGACAGTAGCAATAACAGTGATAAAGGGACATTGACCATCTCAGGTAATTATAAACAGTCTCTTGTGGATGGCTGATTAATGATTACATCACAGGATCTTATGGCACAAGGTACAGGTAAGTATGAAGTGACGTAAGGTAGGATTCATGTGTAATATCCCTAGATTTGACATTATGTTATGTTATATTAGAGCAAACATATGAGCTTATCTGTACTTGACCTTGACTCAGAAGCCACCATCAGGCTGTCCTCTGTGCCAGTCCGTTTGGCCTCAGTGGCTGAGACAGCACTTGCAGTCAGCTCACCTGCACTCCTGGCTCCCAGCTTCAGCTTCAGCTTGGCTGTCGTGGTCATTTGAGGAGAGAACCAGTGGGTGGAAGCCCTTCAGCCCTACAAGGCGTAAGCAGCATGCATGAAGGTATACAGTGTGAAATAAAAAGCAGGGCTCGTCCGGGATTTGAACCCGGGACCTCTCGCACCCTAAGCGAGAATCATACCCCTAGACCAACGAGCCACAGAAACTTACATGTTGCCAGATGTATCCTCCTTGCCACATGCGGCAGCAGTAATTTGTGGTTCCTAGAAGTGGCCCCTCCTCTGCTCCAGGCTGGCTCCCAGCCCAGGCCGGCTAGGCTCCAGCACACACCTCGCCTCACTCCTCCCCAGTCCACTGTGGGACCACACAGTGCCCAGAGCCGGGGCGGGCAGGGGAGGGGAGGGCAACTCCAGGCTGAGCTGATCTTCCCTGGAACCAGGTGGGTCTTCCTGGCGTTGTTACCAAGGTAGGCCGGGTAGTCATAGCTGCTGCTGGGGAAGGGCAGGGAAGAAGTTGGGGCACCCCTGGGCCAGAGGGAGCCTGTCTGAGACCTCTCACACCAATTCAGAGCCACCCTTCTTTCTCATCCCATGGTGGAGCCACATACGCCACGTGGGTCCAAAAGCACCACGAACCGCCAGGTGCCGTGTGCGGCTGGAAGGGGCAGCACAAGTTAGGGCGATCAGACCTTCTGGGAATGCAGCTGTCATACCCTGTGGGGGTGCTCCATGCTTTACAAAGGTTTTTTTTTAAAGCCTTTTTATAATCCTGGGAGGATTGGTGTTCCTCCCACCACGAGAAGAAAGACACCTGCTTAAACTCAGCTTCAGTGTCATGCTTATCTGAATGCAAGGACTGTTGGGAATGCAGAATCCATTGAGAACCCACACTTGCTTGAAAAAGCTGGAGAGGATGTCTGCAAAGACCTACCCTGACCCTCTCCCAGCCTGCCCCTGCGTGTCCTGCCAGAGTGCAGCAGCCAGCTGGGGGAGACCCTGACAGCCTTCACAGTCCAAGCTGGGCTGGGCTAGGGGTTGGTCAGGTTGAGAGCATCCCAGAGGAGAGGGAGTGGCTGGGATCCCAGCTGAGGAGCTGAGATCTCATTGGAGACCCCAGTGGGCTGGGCCAGGTTCCCTCTTTTATGTTTGCGCTGGGCCCAGCCCATTTGGGTTGGTTCCTCTGAGCCAAGAGCTCCCTGCAAGCAGAGATGGGCTGGTGCCGTCTGGGTCTGCCCCGTGGCTAGCGCTTGCTCATCCTGCTGACAATACTATGCACCCCGCAAGGACTTCCGTGTGGCCAGCCTTGTAGAAGCCTTTTATCTGGTTAATTTCATTTAGTCCCCAGCACAAGTGACTTAGCAAATGTCTGTAGAACGAATGAGTGAGTGAAAAAACAAGAGAGAAAGGAAGGAAGGACACCTTGGAAGTATGCACAGTCATGAATGTGCCAGCTGCTCAAGTGAGACATCACCACCAGGCTTGAGGCCCAAGCCATCGCCTGCCCCCACCCCCACCAAGCTTTGGAGGCCCTCACTCCCTTGTCCCCAGGGAATACAGTTTTAGGAGTGTCTGGGGGCAGACAGCTGCTTGTGCTGCCCCTTCCAGCAGGCTGGGGATTTTTTCAGCCCCAAAGACTTTTTGGGTAGCTGTTCCCAGCCTCACCCGGGCTTCCAAATCAACGTCCACTCAACCTGCGGCTCTGTGACCTCAGCTCGCATTCCCTGCATGGTTGCCGTGGCTGGGCGTGCCAGGCACTGACGCCAGCCGCGCCTGCTGCTCAGAGCTGGGCCTCCTGCAGGGACAGCCGTGCTGAAAAGGGCTTGGCCCCAGTCACTGCCTTTCCGTAGGGGGCTGGGTGCTGCTGGGACTGGGGACAGCGTCACTCATCATGTGGCTAATGGCAGGAGATGATGCCCACAGAATGCCAGTAATCCCTTCTCTGCTGTTGTAACCACATGGCTCCCTGTGCACACATGTACACGAATGGGTGTGTGTGCGCACACACACGTGAACACAGAGTGGGGGTCAGGGAAGAAGGCTGCCCTTCTGGGAGTCCATGGGCTCCTGCCTTCCGTTTATTTCCAGGTTACAACGACGGTAGCCGTGTACCATGTGTTAGGACTTGGACCCTCCATCGCTTGTATGTGCCTCGTCGAAGAAGCCCTAGATGCAGTGTTCTAGAAGACTTGTGACTGCCTTCCCGAAACCTCCCGTTTCCCCAGGAGGGTAGAGGACTTTGAGTCAGGCAGATCCAGGACTGATGGCTCGTTTGCCCAGAGCACGGCCACTCTCCTCATCTCCCCAGCTTGCAGAGCCTCGGGGTCAGCATGGGATGCACCTTGTGCTGGCTGCGCCTGTGAAGGGTAATGGAGGACAAAGGTGACAGCTCTGTCGCTGAATACAGGTCAGCCCCCTCCAGGCCTTGGAACCTACACACCCGGGTCCTTTGACCCCAATCTGTTATCCTCTGAGGAACACACAATCAGCTTTGGGACCACAGAAAGAGGTTTAGGTGGGGCTCAGGGACCTCTAATCCCAAGCTCCGTCCTTGGGCGGCTTAGGATCACCCAAGCAGCTTCAAAGGAGAGGCTGTGTGGTAGGGTGGGGACAGCATGGCGAAGGGTGATGTATAAGAGCACCCGGGGGGCGGGGGCCTCCCAGGAGCACAATGTCTGAGGAGGAGGATTTCTACCTGTTCAAGAATCTCTCCTCTGTGGCGCCGTGGGATGGACCTCAGTACCACATTGCTCCCGTCTGGGCCTTCCACCTCCAGGCAGCCTTCATGGGCCTCGTCTTCTTTGCAGGGACTCCGCTCAATGCAGTAGTGCTGGTGGCCACGCTGCGTTACAAAAAGCTGCGGCAACCACTCAACTACATCCTGGTCAATATCTCGCTGGCGGGCTTCCTCGCCTGCATCTTCTCTGTCTTCAACGTCTTCATCTCCAGCTGCTATGGCTACTTTGTCCTTGGCCGCTTTGTCTGTAGTTTGGAGGCCTTCACGGGTTCTGCTACAGGTACTGCAGGTGTAGGGGTGAGTGGAGGGGAGGCTGAGGATGCTCCTCCAGGATTGCAACCAGAACTTTTGGGTGGGAGGGAGTCCCTAACAGGAGCCTAGCTGAGGTGGGGGAAGGAGCTGGTGTGCCCTTGAAGGCTGGGGTACCAAGCGGCCCACACTTGCACCATACCGGCGACGTTTGGATTTCCAACCTCATCCCCTATGCTCTATCCGCCAGCTGGGTAAGGGCCCCACTACTACCATTACCCCCGCATTTCACCGCAGGACTGGTGACAGGCTGGTCACTGGCCTTCCTGGCCTTTGAGCGCTACATTGTCATCTGTAAGCCCTTCGGCAACTTCCGCTTCAGCTCCAAGCACGCACTGGTGGTAGTCCTGGCGACCTGGGTCATTGGTGTCGGTGTCTCCATCCCGCCCTTCTTTGGTTGGAGCCGGTGAGAGCGCGGGGTGGCGGGCCTGGCTTGGCTGGAAGCTCAGGGTGAGAGCGCGGGGTGGCGGGCCTGGCTTGGCCGGAGGCTCAGGGTAATGGGTGGAGAGCAAGCCTGGGTTCTAGAGAAGCCTTGTAGTCTTCGACTTCAACTTGCTCAAGAGTTGGTGGGGTAGGTGAGGCGAGAGGCCTGTGGGAAATGAGGCCCCTGTCCACTCTGCAGCTCCAACTGTGGCCTCCTCCCCACGCTCCCAGCTCTGCCAGAAGCCTTGGAGGGGCACCTTTTGGGCTCTAAGTAGAGAACATGACTCACGTGCAGGGCCTGGGGTGGGGGCGAGGCGGGGAACACAGAGCTTCTGTCCTGAGTGCGTGGTCCCTGGCAGGTTCCTCCCCGAGGGCCTGCAGTGCTCCTGTGGCCCCGACTGGTACACCGTGGGCACCAAATACCGCAGCGAGTACTACACCTGGTTCCTCTTCATCTTCTGCTTCATCATCCCTCTTTCCCTCATCTGCTTCTCTTATGCTCAGCTGCTGGGGACCCTCCGAGCTGTGAGTGGGGGTCAGAGACCGGGTGGAGGTGGGGTGGCTCCAGGCAACAGCCAGGATGAAAACCTTCACTGCTTAGGGGAGCTAGCAACAGAGAGGGGAGCGGAGGCAGGGGTAATAAGACCGAATGCAGACAGAGGCTGTCAGCCCGACCTCTAAGAAGTTCATTGAGCCCAGAACTGCCTCCACTCTGCCTTCCCTCAAAGGAAAGCCCAAGAATCAGGCCAGGAGCTGGGAGATGTCCCCCAATTACAACGGGTCCAAAGACCCGGAAACTGGGGCCTGGGCTGCAGAGGGATGTGACGCTCCGTGTTCCGCCGCAGGTCGCTGCTCAGCAGCAGGAGTCGGCGACCACACAGAAGGCTGAGCGGGAAGTGAGCCGCATGGTGGTGGTGATGGTGGGGTCGTTCTGTGTGTGCTATGTGCCCTACGCCTCCCTGGCCATGTACATAGTCAACAACCGCAACCACGGGCTGGATTTACGGTTTGTCACCATTCCTGCCTTCTTCTCCAAGAGCGCCTGCGTCTACAACCCCATCATCTATTGCTTCATGAACAAGCAGGTAAAGCTGCCTCCCATGGGCCTCTGAGCGCCTGCTTTCTAAGCTCCATTCTCGCCCCACCAATGACTTTGAACCTGGGAGTTCACCTGGTCTCTACTCAGGACTCCCAGGAGTGGACAGGATCCCCAAGGCCGCCTGGTAGGAAGGGGCAGACACTGACAACTAACAAACCCCACAGAGGATAAGGCTTGGGCCAGAAAAACCAAGTTCCTCCAGATCGGGATGAAATGTGCTGGAAAAAGAGATGCCCTTGCATTTTAGGAGTTCCTACCCCTTTTCCTCCAAATGTCTTGTGGCGTGTGGCAATCTGAGCTATGGCGGGAGAGGGCTCCTACAGCTAAACCCACCTCAGACCAACCTAGGAGAGTTCCCGTCTTGGAAAGTCCTACTTTCACAATGACTTTGTTTCCTTCAAACATTGAGACAGACTCAAAACTGCCTTGAAACTCCCCAGCAGGAAGAGAATTCATAACCCTTCCCAGCCGGGAGCATCTTCAAGCAATGGCAGGGTGGGGCAGACTAATTCTGACACTCTTATGAAGCAGGCTGGTGCCTAAGTCTTGGGAGAGTGAAGTTATAGGTTCAGGCAGAGTGTCCAGGGACTTCTACTGTGGACCCAGGGAAGCAAGCAGATCCAGACTGGATTTTGGCCGCTTTTCAACATGGGAAAGATAGCATTTCAAACCTGTTGAAAACCTAGGTACTGGGGTACTTAGAATGCCCTTTCCAACACCCATGGGCATTATCCTGCCCTGTGCTCCTCCGTCAAGGGGCACCTCCTCTTCTGCCTTTCCCTCCAGTTCCGAGCCTGCATCATGGAAATGCTGTGCGGGAGGCCCATGACTGACGATTCTGAGCTGTCCAGCAGTCAGAGGACGGAAGTTTCCACTGTGTCTTCCAGCAAAGTTGGTCCCAGCTAAGGACCACTATGCTGGCCTACTTACATTTAAGTAAGTTTCTGCTGTGGCTACCAGAACCACACAAGCCGTGGAGACATGCGGCAAGGGGTGGGACAAGGGCAGGTGGGGGGCCAAGTTCTCACTGTCCTGCTGCTCTCTTCCTGTTTACCATGCTGGTGTTCCTCAGGTTGGGTCTACTTCAGTCCAGCCAGAGGCCATTTGCAAACAGAAGCGCTGCTCACTGTATTGGGAGAACTGAATTCTAGACACAAGGGGGACTCCAAAATGTGTGTGGAGAGATGAAATTAAAAGATCAAGTTTAAGTTGAAATCCATGCATTGTTTTCATGTGTGCGTCCCATGAATATTCTGAACATTCCTTGTACAGGGCAACTCTACTCACGGTTGATTCCTCAGTGCATGGCTAACGGTGACTTTTCCTTTTTTTGGCATCTGTCCTCTCCCCCAGCTCCACTGGGGGTCTGATCTGAGGACTTATTTCGAGTTAGAACAAACTTAAGGGAGCACCATGGGTTGAGGGTGGGGTCGGGGGAGAAGCAGCCTAAGCTCCAGCCAGCCCATGCACAGTTTAGAAGACCTCTATGGCAGCACTGTCACAGTGCTGGCAGGAGGGCCACTGCCACGGCCCGGATGACTTATTCCACCAGCCCCCCTTGGGATAAACCTAAATGTGTTATGCTGCGTATTTGTTAAAGTCAGTAGTTTAATTCTCTCGATGTCTCAAAGAGTTTGCAGGTCTTAATCCCATTCAACAAACAAAAATACCAATCAAGATAACTCAGCGTGCCATGCCATCAGATAATGATGTCCTGAGCGGCTGGGCTTGGCTCCAGCTCCACTGACAAAGGCACGCTGTCTCAGAAACAGGAGTGACCAATTTTGGAGAAGCAGGGCCAGGAAGGAGATGGCAAGCCTCCTAGCAGAGTTCCTTTTCTGTGACGTGTTACAGCCTCCCAGGTCCGAGCCAGTGGCCTGTCCCATTCCTAGAGAACAAAGGACACATACCCCCACAGTGAATGTCAACAGTTTTATTTAGAAACAGATAGGTACCTGTTTGCATTACAGAATATAAAACTTGGTTTACACTCTATAAAAAATAACCAATATCCAAATTCAAGAGAGCTAGCATTCACAGGACGCATGATGGGGGTGTGTCGTTTCTGTTCAACAGCCTCACGCTCGACTTAAACAGCAACAATCCGATGGATCAGACGAGGGTACAGTGGTTGTTGCTGGGTCCCCAGCACCCAGAAGCCACCATCCTGGCAGGCCATGGCTTACCTCCTGGGCAACTAAGCTTTGCTTTCTAAGCGCATGATTTCAACATTAGGCCTGAGTGTGCGGTGAGGCTCCGTGGCCTCAAGGCTGGCCACCAGGGCTGGTGGCATCAGTGATTCTCTGGTTGATTTATCAGAAATGGAGCAGGAGGGTGGGGATTCCATTACCTTCTACTGGAGTTAAACTTAGTGTATTCATTATCAAGAGCTCAATGTGAAGGCTGGGGTGAAGTTACATCAGACCTGGCTTTTTACCATACCAAGTAGCTCAACATGATTGCGGAAGACCAAAGGAGATACTTATGTTCAGATTAATTAATAACCACCCAGCACCACCTGAATGTGTTATCCAGAAATATACAGGAAATAATAAAGGTTATATACACATATATTTATCTTAGTAACCTGAGGGCTAAAAACTTGGAATACAAGAATTCTTCTTAAAAGAGGCCCATCTGTAAGAAACGGACCCAAATGGACAGAGTTCATATTACATACAATATAGGTAAAGTGGAGTTGGGAACAGAGTGGGGTTTGTCAGCTCCTTCTACAACGCCCCTGGCTTAGGTGAGGATTGGCAACCTGCTGATTCACAATCTACCTTTCAGTTCCTGCTGGTGGCACGGAAGTGGGGAGATGAGGAACGGGGCGATGGTCCTCACACCCAAGGGGCCTCCCTCGCCTCCGAGCAGACATGGAGAGAGGCCCGACAGGAAGTGGTTTGCACTGTGAGGTATGAGGATCCCTGGGAAATTCAGCAGCACGTGGTTTTTGAAACCAGCACACGAGAACAGAACACTGCAGCCAAGCATGTAACTAATACTGTTGTTTAACTACTGTTCAGGAGAGGGAAAGGAAAGGAAAGGAAAAAATGCCCACATTGGGAGGCCCTTAAGCTTCCCAGGAGGCAGTCCAGGTCATCGCATGTCAGTTTCGTAGGCGGATTTCCGGTCCGAGATAGTTTCTCTCATAAAGGCACTTTCGATGATGATGACGTGATTGGAAAGGAGTGAATTTTAATTATGGAGAAACCAAGATTCACTCCTTGGCACACCTGGGGAAGAGGCACCACATGTGGCACTTAGCGTGATTTCAACAGGCGAAACATTATGCTGTAAGCACTTTAACAGATGCACACCCGGAACACAACGTCCGCCTGAATACGCTAGGATTCTTCCTTTAATCTTCTAGCTGTTTGGGCCGGAAGCAACCCTGTGAGGCTTACTACGTGAGCCTAACCCTTCCCCACCACAGCTGTGTTTGACAAAACCAGCAAGAAGCTGGTCCCATGGTGTGTGTGTGTGTGTGTAAGTAGATGGAGCTGAGCTCTCTCGCAGCATGGGCCTGTCCTTGCCCATGTGTGTGTGTAAGCAGGTGGAGCCGCAGCATGGTGTGTGTGTGTGTGCATGTGTGTAAGCAGGTAGAGCCGCAGCATGGTGTGTGTGTGTGTGTGTGTAAGTAGATGGAGCTGGGCTCTCTCGCAGCATGGGCCTGTCCTTGCCCGTGTGTGTGTGTAAGCAGGTAGAGCCGCAGCATGGGGTGTGTGTGTGTGTGTGTGTAAGCAGGTGGAGCTGCAGCATGGTGTCTGTGTGTGTCTGTGCATGTGTGTAAGCAGGTGGAGCCGGGCTCTCTCGCAGGGCGGGCCTGTCCTCGCATGGGGAATGGAACCACACGAGTGTGTAGCACACGCCCCCATTGCCTTCTCAGCAGGCAGGAAGAGAAGTACACTTGTTACATACAAATGGCGGGGATAGCTTTTTCCTTTTCTCTCTCCTGAACGTTTCTTATTGATCTTAGGCTTAAAAAACAAAGACAAAAACAAAAAAACCCCAAAAAACGAGTTAAGTGAGAATTATAAAAATTGTCAGGGAAGGGCTTGGGGAGAAGTACAAGGCTGGTGCTTGCCTCCAGATGTGGGCCAAGGCGCTGACCCTTCTTATCCTCCTCCCAACTAGAGAACAAAGACAAAAACAAACACACCATGGTATACACAGCACAAAGCGTCATCCTACAGACACAAGTGCACTCTCAGAGCTGTTCCTCGGACGCATGACTGCCCTCCAGGCCCTCGGAGACAGGAGGGACGGGGACGGGGTGGTTTTCATTGTTCCGTGACGCTGCTGCACGTCCTGAAAAGTTTGTACTAACAGTCTCAGTAGCGCAAACAATTTCATGTGAAACCAGAAGCTGTAAAAATAAATTACTTTTGAAGTGATGCAAGCTCCTCCGGCGCAGGCTCAAAACTCATCGTGCCGGACTAAGGCCTCCCCGAAATCTGTGGCCTGGCTGCCCACGAACAAATCATACTTGTCGACGATCTCCTCCTTGGTCAGCTTGCCATCCTGCTCAGGGAAAGCAAGAGGTGAGGCAGGAAGCACTCCCACTCCACGCCCGGAAACACGGCTACAGGAAGACTCCAGTTACTCCACTAACTGTCCCTTTCCTCCACTGGGAAGCAAACAGCAATCAATGTGTCTATTACAAGAAAGCTTAAAGTGGAAGGATGTCAGTAATAGACAACTCAATGCCCGAGATGGGTTGGCTCCCTAGGAGGAAGGTCCCGTCACAGCAGAATAGTGGGGCACCTGCAGGCCACGGTCAAGAACTGGGCAAGCACTTCAAAGTGAACCACTCATCACTGGACAACAATGAAGAACCTGCCACTAAACCTCAGCCGCACCTTGGCTTTGCCCTGGCCAGGAACCAGGTTAGACAACCCAAATCAAGGCTCAGGCACACATTTCCCAAGGATGTCTACTTGAGGGCCCAGCATGGTGGTAGCCTAGCAGGGATTCCCATATGGGCAACGGTTTTAATCCTGGTGGACCTGCTTCCCATTCAGCTCCCTGCTTGTGGCCTTGGAAAGCAGTTAAGGCCCAAAGCCTCGGGACCCTGCAACCACTTGGAAGACCCAAAGAGGCTCCTGGCTTCAGATCGGCGCAGCTCTGGCCATTACAGCTACTTGGGGAGTGAATCAACGGATGGAAGATCTTCCTCTCTGTCTCTCTTTCTCTCTATATCTGCTTTTCCAAAAAACCAAACCAAAACAAAAAATAGTAAAGTAAATCTTAAAAAAGAAAAAGGATGTCTGCTTGCATTTCTGTTCCCTGCGTACCTTAGGACAATGTACTTGGCAACTGGAGCAAGAACTCGAGACAAACCAACCCTTAGGAAGGCTCCAAGATGAGAAAATGCATTTGAAACGGAAGCTTAGCTCAGCTAGAAGGATTTCCAGAGCACTAAAATCCCCATATTTAGATCCACGTTTACTTTCAGTTTCAGCAGACTATTCAAGTTGATGGGGCTTAGCAGAAACACCACAGTCAATGGACTGAATGCCTCAGCTAATTCATCCAGGGCAACCTGAGCAGTTTCAGGGCAAAGATATTTACTAACTGTTACAAAGGACTGAATTTTTAAAAGTACACATTTAAGGAGCAAATTACTAGCTTTCAATGGGCAGAGTAAGCCCATTAAGGTAAAAGAACAAAAGAAACAACAACAACAACAAAAAGACAAGCAAAGATCCTGGGGCCTCAGGGAGCAGAGAGGGTGCTGTGTGCTGGGCTCAGGCTGAGGGACACAGGCCACTCAGCAGCTGTGGCCTCCAGGTTCTCAAGGCCACACCTGCCTCCTCTGCAGACTCAGACTCTCAGTCTTTGGCCTTGACAGAAATTCTGCAGGCGATGCCCTCGGCACCAGACTTGGACCCCTGCTAGCTGACCCACCTTGTTCTGGTCTGACTCATAGACGAGGTGCCTGGCTTCTGCCTCTGCGTGGTCATAGTCCGACGGCAGGATCCAGTCTTTGGTTTCTTCCTTGTCCATCTTCCCATCACGGTTCTTATCTCGGAACTCAACAAACTGCTCTCGCTCTGTCTTCACCCACTCTGGCTCATCAGCGTTTCCATCGTGGCTATACATGTCACCTGTGCAGACACAGAAATGTACTTGTCTTCTTCCAGACCGACTCACGTCATCTCTTTGGATGACTATGGCTAGGCACTGCCTGTCCATCTCCTTAGAACCTAACAGCACTAGGGAAGGTTTGTTACACCACAGCGACTGCCTAGCAGGGTATTTTCCTGGAGCTTAATTACTTTCTTTTTTTTTTTTTTTTTGCAGAAGAATATTCCCACCTGCTGGTTTTGAGTAAATAAGAGCTTCTTTATACCTTAAAAAAGGCAGATAAGACATTGAATGGCATCGAGAAAGGTAAAGACCAGCTGTGCCCTATGTCATTTCTCCTCAGTGTGCCTAAGTCAACTGGACCACTGCTTTCAGAAAGGTGCAGTTTTCAATTCTCAGGGAAACTTGACCAAGTGTAGAATGCTGCAAACCCAAACTGTCTCCCACCCGATCACTATACACAGCACACACACCACTGTCCTCAGCACTGCAGTGGGGTGGGCACAGCCGCAGGGCACACATGCTCTAGCTTGAGTCCTGGCCACCCTGCTTCCCAGCCAGCTATCTGTAAGCAGACCTGTAAAAGATCAATCTCTATCCTCAGAATTACTAGAGTGTAAAAAGGTGATTAAAAAATCTTTCCCTTAAAAATTTTTGTTGATTTTTAAAAAAACTTATTTTATTAGAAAGTCAGATCAGATTTACACAGAGAAGGAGAGACAGAGAGGAAGATCTTCCATCCACTGGTTTACTCCCCAAGTGGCTGTAATGGCCAGAGCTGAGCTGATCTAAAGCCAGGAACCAGGAGCTTCCTCCAGGTCTCCCATGTGGGTGCAGGGTCCCAAGGCTCTGGACAGTCCTCGACTGCCTTCCCAGGCCACAAGCAGGGGCTGGATGGGAAGTGGAGTAGTTGGGACAAAAACTGGTGCCCATATGGGATGCCAGGGCTTTCAAGGTAAGGATATAGCCATTGCTCCAGGTCCTTTCTTCCTTTCTGTAACTCCAACTTTTAAGTAAAATAAAGAACTCTTTTCTTAAAAATAATTCTTGGCCAGGCACAGTAGCCTAGTCCCTGCCTTGCATGTGCCGGGATCCCATATGGGTGCTGGTTCGTGTCCCGGCTGCCCCATTTCCCATTTGGCTCCCTGCTCGAGCCCTGAGAAAGCAGTTGAGGACAGGCCAAAGCCTTGGGACCCTGCACCTGCATGGGAGACCTGAAGAAGCCCCTGGCTCCTGGCTTCGGGTCAGCTCAGCTCTGGCCATTGCAGCCACTTGGAGAGTGAATCAACAGATGGAAGTTTCTTGCCTTCTCTCTGTAAATCTGCCAATAACAAAAAGTAACAAAAATTAAATCTTTAATAAGTAGATAAAATTATTTTTTATGACAGGCCATATGATTTTTGGCATGTAATACAAAAAGAGTTCTAAGAGCTAAATGACATTACTGTAACAAGTACCACTTGCACTAACTCGTTACACTTTAAATATAAACAAAACCTTTTCTGTCATTTTGTTCAAATGTGTATTAATAACTCTAACAGTAACTTAACTTGGAAGGTTTTGAAAATACCTGTCAGCCCTTTCACAGAGAACAACCATGCTGCCGTGCACACACCACTGTACCACGGGCAGAACGTCTGTGGGGTGAGGAGGGCCAGGGGCAGCACAAAGATGCCACTTGGTACTCCCTCCTCCCATGCTGCAGTGCCCTGGGAAACGGGATGGTCCCTGCCAGGACATGGGAAATGTGCACTAGGTGTTCTGCCCCTTGCCTCTGGTCTAGACGTGAGCCGTGGGAGAGTGAAGCAGCGGATGGAAAATTTCTGTGTCTGAGTACAACAAAAACAAACATTAGAAATCTAAAAACAAACCAGCTTGTATGAAACACAGAGCCAGTGGTGTAAGTTAATATGAACAAAAGAAAGAATACAAAATACCTGCTGGAGAACCGAGAAATAAATCCAGATATCTACATTCAACTGATATTTGACCTCAAACATATACTGGAGAAAAAGACAGCCTCTTCAATACATGCTGCTGGGGAAACTGGCTGACCGCATGCAGGGGGCGGAATGACACCCCTGCCTCACTGCACAGAGGAAACCCCACTCCAAGTGCATAAGACCCAAACAGAGAATCTGAAACAGCGGGCAGCAGAATGGTGGCAGGTGGCCCCCCAAGCTCCCTGCTGCTGGGCCTGAGAAGGCACTGGAAGGTGATCCGTGAGATCGGGATGAAGTCCTGGCTTCCGCACAGTGCAGGCAACAATCAAGAGTAAAGGGATAACCCACACAGGAAACCACACGCCAGCTGTTGTCACACGGGCTAATAGCAACCAAACCAACAGCAAAGTGCACCAAGGGTCAACCAACAACTTCTCAGGAGAGATGACTGCCTAACAAGTATGTGAACAAATACCCAACATCACTCCAATGTTAGTGAGCACTCAGTATCACTAAATATTAGGGAAAGACACATCAAAACCACCAGGATCCATCTTCTCCAAGTAAGAATGGATACTCTAAACAAGGCAAAAAACAACAAATGCTAGTGCTGAGGTAAAGCAAAGGAAATAGTTTTAGCTACATTTTATTTGTTTGAGATACAAGGAAAGTGCAAGTCAAGTGAACAGAGAGCTCCCAGTGCTGGCTCCCTCCCCACCCGCCCTCAGTGGCCAGGCCCATTCCAGGAACCAAACTCATCTCTCCAGTGTGGGTGGTGAGGCTCTGCTGCCTCCCACACTGTGCACGTGCAGAAAGCTGAAACCGGGAGGCAACTGGCTGAGCAGTCCAACACGACAGCCCCTCCTGGAAGGCAGTGCCACCTGGGATCCTAGCTGCCTACAAAAGGGTACTCAGAGATACTGCTCTCGTAATAAAGCCAACTGGAAGCCCCTCCCACAAAACTGAACCTACCAGGATTCAGTCACCCCACTACTTGGCATTTATTCAAAGGAAGTCACATCAGCACATCAAGAACTGCACCCCCATGTTTACCAAGTCTGGGGGCCAGAGGTGTCTGCTGCTGTACAGATGAAGAACATCTGGTGCATTACACTACAGAATATCAGTCATAAATATAATACTGTCATTTTCAGCAACACGAATGGAACTTCAACACTATTAAAGTGAAATACGCCAGGCACAGAGATAAGTACTGCATGTTGTTGCTCATATGTGGAAGCTGAAAGTGCTGACCTGGCAGCCAGTGTTGTGTGTTAAGCCCCCACCTTAACCCTGGCATCCCTCATGCGCACTGGTTTCAGCTCCAGCTACTCTACTTGTGATTCAGCTCCTCGTGATGCTCTTGGAAAAGCCCAGATGCTTGGGTCCCTGCCGTGACCTGGGAGACCTGGATGGAGTTTGAGGTTCCTTCCTTTGGCCTGTCTCAGCCCTAAACATTGCAGCCATTTAGGGAGTAAACCAGCAGCCATCTTTCTCCTGTCACTATCTTTTTACTGTTCTTTTCCTCTTTTCTTTTCTCTCTTAAGATGGCTACAAAGTCAGAAGCCAGGACCTTCTTCCAGGTCTCCACGCGAGCTGCAGGGATCCAAACACGTGGACTATCTTTCACTGCTTTTCCCAGGCACACTGTAGAGAGTTGGATCAGAAGTACAGCAGCCGCGACATGAACCAGAGCCCATATGGGACACCAATGTCAAAGACGACAGCTTTCCTGCTCCGCCACGACGCCAGCCACTCATTCTGCTATTTGAATACTTATTTATTCCCGGGTTCCCTGCAGTTCTTTACTATGAATTAGCATGCCACATGGGGCACACTACAGCTATGTATCTATCCACATGGTCCAATGTGGCTACTGAGAGCTGAACATGTAGCTGGGTCAAAGTGGGATGTGCTCCACTAGCAAATGCCTAGGTGAGGCGGGTCATGCCAGACTGGGCCTCAGTGCTAGTAGGAACCAGGGAGGGAGGGGGTAAAGCTGGTAAGAGGAATTTGGAGGGCCCCCCTGCTGGAGCACCTCATCCACTGGAGAGCATGAGTTGGGATGGTGGCAGGGCTACAACACCTGTGGGCCTCAAGCAAGCCAGATCAGGGAAGAGCCAGGCTTGGTTGACTGTCCCTGCAGGTGCAAACATGGAGCAGAATGGGTGAGGGTTGGTTGGGCTTTGCCGCAGCATCAGATGGCAGATGCTGGCACCAGTGGCTGGTCTGTCAAGGTAAACTACAGAACCATGTGGAAAGTGAGTGATCCGGGAATGGGAGTGGCCTAGGAGGGGAATAGTGGGCAACTCCCTCATAGGTTACCACTCCCACTGGAGAGCATGAAAACAAGGACTGGGTCAGGGGTGGCTGGACAGAACAGCACCCACCAGCATGTGTGTGGGCTGCACAGTGGAGCTGATTGGGTTGAACTAGGCTACAATCCATACTGACATGTATGAGAGCTGAATGGGATGTGGGACAGACTGGACTAGTCTGCTGTATATATTGGCGAGCAGGGGAACAAGGGCAGGGGGCGGGCCTGGTGGGGGTTATTGTGGGTCACTCCAATGAGGCTGCAGCTCCCACTGGTTTATGTGAGGGCCGAGTATGCGCTGGGCAGAACCAGGCTGGACTGCAACACCCATTGGTTCAAGTGGAAGACAGGGCTGGAAACAGAACCAACCGACCCAGCAATAGCAACCACCAGCTGATTGGGGCAATGGACAGTGCCAGGCCCTGTACTTGCAAGTACACACAAGAATTGGTCTGGGATCACCTCAGACAAAGTTTCTTTTGGGATCTCCCCAATCGAACTGCCAGTCTCAGAACCCATGATCTGCCACGGAGTATAAAGTGCCAGAGCCGAGCCTCCTCAGAGGCTCAGACGGAGAGGTTGAAAGCATAACCAGGTGCACATGGAGGATATGGCAGTCTATTGGAACCTGCAGAGGATACCTGGCACCACAACAGAGGACAAAACAAATAGATCAACGACCCCAGCCATGTGTTGGCAGTTAAAATCTGGGCAAACGGAGACTTTAAGTGGACTATGTTAATTAGTGGATTCTGCAACGACTTTATCATGCTTGGAATGGCGAGACTGGCAGCGATTCAGAACTGCTGAACTATCAAAAACCACTTGAGCAAGACCCTAGGAACATGCCCCACATTGGGGACCTGGAATGGGTGCGGCTTCTCCTTTATCTCCCCCTTTACCCCAGATACAGAAAAAAAAATGTGGTAATAATAGTCTTACCCACTTTCCTGTAGCCCATGAAACTTAGTGCCCTAATTAACTATGTAAAGATTGTCAAAAAATGAAAATTAAAAAACTGAAAAACCCACCCACACAAAGTGGGATGTGCTATGTATGACCATTTAAAAAATCAATAAATTATGCTGGTAGTGGAAATTATAGCATTTTAATTGGATAGTGCCACTGTGGATACTTTATTATCACACTGGCCTGGCTTAATGATCAGGTAAGAGCTGACCCACAGAGCAAATTGCTTCCAAAAGTCTTTTTTTTAGCTTCTTCTAAAAACACCACTAGAAACAGACTTACCAATATACTCTTCTAGATCAATGAAACCATCAGCATTCTTATCTATATCCTCCATTGTTTCCTAAGCAGGAAAGAACAAAAAGCCATTTTAGTTGGTCTCTGAATGAATCTGCCAAGAGAGAATACAGCACTCTCTCTCTCATTCTCTATTTCTCACAGACCCTGTAGAATTAAAGCAATGGGAAACTGGTGTTTTCCTAACTGGAAAATGGTAAACAAGTTTCTTCAGGGAGAATATGGGCAGTGCAGTACACTGCTGAAGTCCTGGAGCTGAGCGATGCCGCAGGCAGCTCCGGACAGCCCGTGCTGTCCCCAGCTGCCTTCTGCGGGAATTCTGGTATTACTGTACTACTATTCAGTGAGACCACTCATCATGAGATATTTTAAAAAACAGGATTCCCCCCTTTGTACTTTATATGAAGCTACTAATGAAAAAGCCAATTGTCTGATGGAAAGTATTAAACAGAAAGCCTAAAGTACTTAAAAAATGTACGGGGTCCAGCAGGACAGCTCAACAGGCAAATCTTCCACCTCCAAGCATGGCATCCCATATGAGGGCCAGTTCGTTTGCCAGCTGCTACACTTTCTATCCGGCTCCATTTATGGCTAGGGAAAGCAATGGAGATGGCCCGATGCCTTGGGGGAGCTATGTGGGAGACCTGAAAGAAGCTCCTGGCTCCAGATTGGCTCAGCTCCGGCCAATGTGGCCATTTCTGTCTCCATGTAAATCTGCTTTTCCAATAAAAGTAACAAAAAGAAAAGTGGTGACAGATCCTGGACCATGAATTGGACCAGTACTTGTGTATGTACATGGGAAAAGCTGAAGATGATGACAATGGCAGCAGAAAGACAGGCTGAGCCCTGTTCCCGCACCTGCACCACTATGTCTTTCATGTAGTCATATTCCTCGGGGTGCAGGAAGGCTGTGAACTCCTCCTTCGTGGCGATGAGGTCTCCATCCTTGTCTGCCATTTTAAATCTCCGCTCATCTCTAACCATCATCTGTTTATAGTTAAAACCATCATCAGGGTCTGGGTCATCTAGAAAACAAAAATTCAAGTCAAATCTTAAAGGCTCCTTATACAAACAAAAAATGCCTTGGATGAGGAAATCAATTTCCAAGAAAGAGTAAGCAAAGAAGAAATAACTCTTGATTATATAGGTAAAATTGTAGCAGTATAAAGACAGTTCATCTAGGGTTAAAATCCTGGTAATCAGACCTCAGAATTAAGTCCAAGTTGAGTGTAAATGGTTACCATTCAACACGGAACCCGGGCTCTTGGAAGACATAACCAAACATGGAATATGTCACTATTATTGGGATGACACAGCTGACATTTGCAGTTATGTCTGGGATGCAGTGCTGGCCCACGGTCACACCATATGGGTTTGAACTCCACTGCTCCCTCACAGTGTGAACGTAGGCAAGTGCATTAACTGTCTCCAAGATGGACATAAATGTGGTACCCGCCTCACAGGGTACCTAAGCATTTCATGAGAAAGTCAGTCTAGGTGGAGTTCTTGGACTAAGACCTGACATGGCTAGCTTTCAATAAATGTCAGCTCTTGCAGCTCTTTTACGTAAACACAGGGCTCTCATCATGAAGCTGAATGCCAAAGGACTTCTAGCCCATTTCCAGGACACTTGGATTCAAGTAAAGCAATGTCAGAACATCACCACTTTGAAAAATCACAGTTGATGCGTGTGTGTGCTTGGCCAACCAGGATATCTAAGCCAGAAGTTACAGGTGCTGCTCACCCTTCCTTACATGGATGCAATTTCTAGAAAGTACGAACTATTCCAGAGTTACAGAAAGCAGAGTACTGCTTGCTTAGGAGAAAAGACATGGGCAGAGTGAGAACTAAAGGAACACAAGGACGTCTCGGGGTGAGAGGTAAGCCCACTGTCTGGACTGTCCCCAGTTTCCCTGGCATATATATTGGTCAGAACTTAACAACTGTGCATTTAAGTACCCCCATTTCACCATAGGTCAATTACTCTGATAAAGTTAGTTTATTAAAAGAAACATCCTATTACAATCAAATTGATTTTAGACCTGTTCATCTGGTACAGTGTGGCAGTGCACAGGCAGCAGTTAGTGTCATATACAGGACGGAAAGAAATTTGGTTTCTTTAGGCTGAAAAAGCGTGAAGGCTTTAACTTAACTGCAGAAAAGAGAGAAAAACGTCAAACTGCTGTGTGAACCAATGCAGACAACAAATTTGAGAACACTTTGAAAGACAATAAATTTTTATTCTTGTAACATACCGAATAGTTTTGTAAAACGATCCACAGGGCCTTTTAAATAATAACACCAATTCTGTTGATCTTTGATATTCTGGCTCAACCTTTCCACACTTGAAGCATAAGAGAAAACAAGAGCCAGTGTTGTTATAGTGTGTAAAGCTGCCACCTGCACTGCTGGCATCCAAAATGGATGGCGTTTCGTGCCCAGCTGATGCACTTCCTATGCAGCTCTCTGCAAAGGCAGAACATGGTCTAAATGCTTAGGCCCCTGCCACCCACGTGGGAGACCTGGAAGAGGCTTGGGCTCCTGGCTTCAGCCTGGCTCAGTCCTGGTTGTTGCAACCATCTGGGGAATGAACCAGCAGATGGAAGATCTCCAAGCTCTTTCTCAGTAACTCTGATTTTCAAATAAATAAATGAAGACATCTTGAGACAAAACTGTTTTGAGAGGTGATCAGCTCAAAGTTTCATTCTTTATAGCTTGTAAAAAAAATTCAGTCAGCATATTGAATCATCATAGATGTATACTCCAAGCTGTCACCTTTCTCTGATATAAAGTCATCTCTTCTAACCAAACACAAAGTTTCAGCACCAGTGGTGTTACATGACAAACACAGCTCCCACTTTCACACTAGATCCTTACTCACAGCCCTCCTCTTACCCCTGGGGTAGACCATGGTGAGCAGTCCAAGAAGCATGACAGCAACATGGCATGCATGAGGAAGAAACTTTAGGTGACAAACCTCGGGCCTACAGCCCTGTCGGGGCCCAGGCCTTGCCTAAGAGCTCGTGTGTACTTCTGACTGGCCGACACAGCTCTGGAGAGGCTCCTGATTTCATTTGGGAACAGGCACAGTGGACCTTAGGATACCATCTTTCATTTGTGGCAGAGAAGGGTGTTAACATCCCTTCTGAGAGCAGTGGATTCATGAAGACACATTTTACCTAAGAGCTAAGATGATTCCTATGTGAACGCAAAAGTGAATCAAACACCAATGAGCAGGCAAACTCCTCGTCACACCCGGAGTGCTGTCAGCCCCGCACGCCTCTGGGGAAAGACACCTTATAAAGGCATAGCTACTTCAGCCAGCACTCCAGCTTATGTATAGTCTCCGGCAGTAGAAATACCCATCACATTGAATCATCTGCCTTGTGAGGCCATGGGCTCTCAACAGATTTTTATGCAAACAATCATCCGGAGTTTTATTCTGGGCAGGGCAGCGGGTGAGTGCTTAAGTCCAAGCTGATTTATTAACACAGCATTTCGTGTGGCTCACCAACAGCCTACCCTCCGCTTCACAATCCCTGCCAAGGAAACTGGGAGAATGTCGAGCCAGAGAGCAAAAAGCATCACCTCCCACCTGCACTGACTCTTCTGTACACATGTTCTTAACACGGTGCAGGATCTGCTTGATCTTGGCTAAGCATCGGAGCGGAGACAGTGCCAGCTCAGTCTGGGAAATGAGAACACGCTTGACACAGAAATAAGTCTCTTCCCCAGAAATGCATGCAGTTGTGTAACTACCGTGGACAGCTGGCTCGCAGCGGACAGTGACCATTACACTGCTGGCCAGTCGGAGGGACACTTGCTCCCAAATTCCCCCGCCTCAACTGTAGCCGTAGGCAACAAAGGACTCACAATTAAAACACCTTAGGGCAGCAACTCGGGAAGACTGTCACTGAATATTCAGCAGAAGCAAAGTGGAACAAGCAACAAAATTACTTACAGGTGGCCCCCCACACAAATCAACCGAAAGCAGTCAAAATAACATTCATTTGCCTTGAAGCACTTGCAAAGCAGGCTGAAAAACCCATGCGCCAGAGGAAACAAATGGGAAATTTTCATTTCTAAACTTAGTAAGCAGTATAGTTAAATTTTTTAATTGAGGAAGCTATTTTGTTTGAATTTTATTTTACCAAGAGAAGACAGTGCATTTTACCAGATGTCCGCCAGTTAGAAAGGAATCTAATTTGGTTTGAATTTCAGGCCCAACATTTGAAAGGGACAATGTCAAGAGACATCTCCAGGTCTCGCTTGGCGTTGCTGGAACAGACACAGTCTCTTCAGTAGAATCTACTCTGAACATCATCCAAGAAGGAAATACAATCAAACAGATTTGCAATGCTCAAGTTGTGGAAGACGCCAAACTTCAGAACAAAATCAAACCAATAATACATAGCACACAGAGTTCAAACAGAACCAAAGGGCCATCAGCTCAGGTGGGACGACTTGGGCTAGGCACCATTCTTCTTTTTACTGTGTGACCCATTTGTTTCTTTGACTCAGGACCATGGTCTCCAAGGGCCGACACCTTGCCCCTTACCCAGGTATGTGCCATAGGCCACGTTTCTGTACTCATCCCAGGAGATTAAGCCGTCTTGATTCATATCAAATTCCTGCCACTGGCTTTCAACATTGCCATATATGTATTTCTTCTGGGCGTGCTTAATCCAGGCTTTCAGCTCCCCCTCCGTCACAAACCCATCTTTATCCGCGTCTACTTTATCTACAATCACTCTACAAGACAAAACAGTTACATTTCAAGGTGCCGGCTCCACGAGGCTTTCCCCCGACGGTAGGGACCTACCTAGGACGTAGCCGTAGGTGGCATTTTTATACTCCTCCCAGGAAACGAGGCCGTCCTCATTGAGGTCATGCCCCTTCCACTGTCGCTCTACATCCTCGTAAATCCAGCGTTTTTGTGCAAACTTAATCCAGTCTTTGAGCTCATCCACAGTGACAAACCCGTCCTTGTCGCCATCTATTTTACTTACAATCTTTCTGTAGAAAATGCAGAGAAATCCAGCAAGAGGTTAAAAGGACACCAGGCCCTGGACATGGCCAGCTTGTGTGCTGTGACCACAGGTGTCGCTCAAGGCTAATGCATGGAAAAGTCTCCAAAACCAAACATTACACAGGCATGCCTGGTTTCCCTCAGAAGGGACTCATTTCTGATCATAATAAGCCATTCAGGGTAAATGTTATTATTTATTTATTTATTTATTTATTTATTTATTTATTTACAGTCCATGGCTGTTGCACTTACACCCCAAAGCCAAACCATTCTGTCAGCACTCAGGAGCAAATGCCCATGCCTGTTTGGGTTCTCCATGCTTACTGCTTTGAGGAAACCGAGAGAACCCTCATTTCCTGGCCACAACCATTGATAATGGTTTACTACAAATGCAAGATATTCCAATAATTTAGTCCATTCAACATAAAGATATGTAATTTTTATGAGGGGGATGCTTATCTAAAAAAGGGCAGCAACTCTTGTTATGCTGAGTTGGACTTCTACATGTCATCAGGAAAACAGAGAACTCTGGCAAAATATCTTAAGCATGCGGATCGTGGCGAGAATGTTAATAAGGTGACAAGGTTAGTGTGCAGATTACAAAGCAAAACACCAAAACTGGTCAATGATCACACCATCTTTCCGACTGGCCATCTGAACTGAAGTCTATGTGCATGGCAGGTAAACTCTGTTTTAAAGATTCAACCACCTACTTATAGAGACCGAGGCAACTTAGGTAAAGCTACACATGAAAGCAGCCCAGCGTGCAGCAGCAACTTCCAGCATGAGGAAGGCAGCGTGGGAAGACAGTTAAGGCCATTGGGATGCTGCCTTCCCAACACATCTGAGGGGCAGCAAGTGATGGTCCCAGAAAGTAGCTGGGCTCCTCCCATCCACATGGGAGATGTGAATGCAGTCCCTGGCGTCAGCTAGGCCGAGCTCTGGTAGTTGAGGGCATTTAGGGGATAAGACAGCAGACAATAGCTCTCTGTTGTTTACCCCTCAAATAAATCTTAAAAAAAAAAAAAAAAGGCAGGACTTGGCACTATGGCATAGTGAGCTGCCACCAGTAGTGAAGGCAACCCATATGCGTGGCAGTTCAAGTCCGGCTGCTCCTTGCTAATGTGCCTGGGAAAGTAGCAGAAGTCAGCCCAAGTCCTTGGGACCCTGCACCCATGTAGGAGACCCAAAAAAGGCTCCTAGTTTCAATCTGGCTCAGCCGTAGCCATTTGAGGAGTAAAAATCTCGCTTTTTTCTGTAGTTCTGTCCTCTTTCAAATAAATATCTTTTTGAAAAGATTTATTTATTTTTGGGTCCGGCACGATAGCGTAATGGCTCAGTGCTAAAGCTTTGCATGCACTGGGATCCCATACGGGTGCTGGTTCATGTTCCAGCTTGTGGCCTGGGAAAGCAGTGGAGGACTCTGCACATGAGTGGGAAACCCGGAAGAGGTTCCAGGCTCCTGGCTTCGGATCTGTGCAGTTCTGGTCGTTGCGGCCAATTATTAGAGAATAAACCCGTGGACAGCAGATCTCTGCCCCTCCTTCTCTGTAAATCTGCCTTTCCAATAAAAATAAATCAATTTTAAAGCAAAACATACCTTCTCTCTATATGGACGTAAGGACAAAACTGTTTAAGACTGTAGAATTTTAACAATATTAAGCTATACCAGTATTGAAACTTCTCTACTGATCTACAATGACCCAGTGTGTGCCTAAACAGCACCACCTCACTGTTCCACTAAGGAAAAAAAGGACAAGGTAGCAGAGCCCCTCCCAACCCCAAAAGATATTTTTAAGTTACTATAAATAATCTGAAGAGAGGGATTACCCAGATAAAAATGGCACATGATTGCTCAAGACGAGCTTTTCTTAATGAAGCTGGCTGGACAGAATCTTCAAACGATTCAATCCTGCAGTTGGCTACCTTTCTTTTGAAAACAGACAGAGTAAATATTTTTGACTTGGTCTCATAAACAATCTGCCATATTCATGCACATATAAAAACATTGCAATCCTCTAAAAATGTAAAAGGCAGCCTGCAGGCAGCTGCAAAATGCACTGTAAGCAGGCACACAGTTGGGTATGCACCATTTCAGGCCTGACATTCTAACTTGGACTTTTAATACTTTGAACAAATTTATGACACTAATGGTGTTAAGAAATAGTTCTGTGACAATGGACAACCCCATGGATGCAGTTATGATGACACTAGCCAAATACTGACTCCAGAACAAACACAGTGCATTTAATGGCCTTCAGGGTACTTTTCTGAAGAGGTAGCATACGAATCTACAGCTCAAATAACAAAGTAACCTTTTGGTTCCTTTAAGAACTTGAGGGTGGGGGTGGGTGCCACATTGCAGCAGTGTAGTAAGGGAGTCACATGGGACACTCGGAGCCCATGACTGCTAGTTCCAGTTCCAGCTGCTCTGCTTCCGCTTCAGATTCCTGCTAATGCACCTAGGAGACAGTATGTGATGGCCAGGAGCTCGGACCCACGCCACCTGTGGGAAGACCTGGGTGGAATTCTGGGCTCCTGGCTTTAGCCTGCCCCAGCCCCTGCTGTTGGGAGTCATTCAATGGAAGATTTCTCTCTGCCTTCTAAGTAAACAAATAAATCTGGGTCAATAAGAGGACTCAAAAGGGCCCATAATATTAATAATTTCAACACACAAAGGTTTCTATAATAGTATGTGTGCATTTTCTAAGAAAGAGATTAGTTTCCATTAAAGTGTCTATAATTTCACAAAAGGATGAGGAACCACTTTTACCCATTTCTAGAGCAAATGCACCAAAGCTAAGAACTCCACCAAGTATTTCAAAAACAGCAGTGAGCCTCTATAACTATGATTTCCCTCTTAATAATTACTTGCTTTACATAGACAAATGAAGAAAAGGGGCAATGTTATTCCCAATTTCTAGTGTGCAATCATCTACCAAAATGGCATCTACATATGCCATAGAAAATAAGCCAAAAAAGAATTAACCTGGGCTTTGTTTTCAATGGTGTATCTGTGCCTAGGGTTAGTGCCAAAATTTAGAAGCAAGCACGACTTATCTCATTCAGTCAACCTGACTTTATCATCTCGGTCTAACAGAACACTGCAGCTGCTGATGTGTTCAATCTCTGATAATATCCACTTGATGATGTAAAAGTCTTTTTCCCTACTGAAAACAGGGCCAGCAGAGCTATTCTGTTACCTGGGAAAAGCCAGAACAGCCTCGGTCAAGTACACCAAGATAAGGGTGCTTCCTGTGGAGCAAGTTGGGAAAGAGGTGTGTGCAGGCTGAACAGGGGAGGGATGTACGTAGTATTAACAGGTGTGACGTTAACACTGGGATCTTCTTTGTGCAACTCCATTTTTGGTCTGGAATGTTAGTGCAGTTATGGGATTAACACAAAGTGAGCACAATCTCTCCGAGTTAGAAAAGCAACTCACAGTGGGAGGAGACGGATGTATGCTTTCCATATCTACTCCCAAACGTTTTGGAAGATTGGTCATTCTACGCAGCAAAATCTTTTGATTACTTCTGCTAGTGCTGAGGAATAAAATACTGCATTTTTTGGTCCGCAGATAATCCAGTGAAAGACTAAATTTATTCTGTGGTATTTCCAAATGCAAACCTATAATAACATTTTATAGTGCCACCCATGCTGGTAAAACATTTTTTTTTGGAAAGCACTGTCTACAACTTTCACACACACCTGCTGGATACAGATCAGAAAGCCGTCCCAGCACCCTTGTTGCAGAGACAACCCGCATCTTTTTAAAAAGCAAGGCTCTGGGAGAACCAGGAGGTCTCAGAACTCCAGGTAGAAACAGTCCGCTGGAACCCTGGCACTGAACTCCTAGGGAGGGTTGCCTGTTGAGGGCGCCAGAGAGCCCAAGAGCCGAGCTCGGCCCAGGTACCATGGTGACATTGAGATCACTGATCGCGCTCAGTCGGTTTGGGTCTCATTTTTTTAATTAAGCAAATATCTGAGACTGAAGGACATCCTGGGAAATCATAAACTTTACAGAAAATACTCCAGGGGTCCAATGTGCAGTTTACTAGCCACTCTAAAATGTGGATGGGCAACTGTGAACAAATGGTCCAGATTAAAACAAAAAAACCGAACCACCAGCAGAGGTCCCCACATATGTTCTCCTAGGACCAGCAGGATGCAGCAGGAGCCCTCAGCACATCTGACGCAAAATGACTTTGCCTTGTAGAATGTGATCACACTCCATGGAGTAACCTAGGCAAGCAGGCACTAATTCTATTTCAGGGGCAGCAATTGCGTGGTTAGCTTCAGAAGATGCAGTTCAACATAGCTTTACTGCTGCCATAAACGGGGGAGGACATACAAAGCATGGCATTACCCTAATTGGTCCCCAGAGAAGGCACCTTACCCCAGCCTCTCCTTGCTCTCTTCCGGTGTCAGCTGATCAAAGGTCTTTGCTTCCTCAGCACCCAGGAAGGCATCATGATCGTAATCAAAGCTCTCAGTGTCGTCATGAACTTTGTCGCTAAGTTGAGGCTCATGATGCACGCGGTCCTTCTTCTCCGTGGGCTTGCTCAAGGCCAAGGCTGTGCACAGGGACAGGCACACGAGAAGCTGACGCAGCTCCATGACAACCAGATCCTAAAGAAAATGAAAGGCAGTTAATCTGGAGACGGTACAGGTCACGACAAGCAAGAAAGCAGTGCCCTAGTAACATTAGTAATGACACACCAATCTGCAAGTCACTTACACTACCCACATATCACTGCTTCCTCCATGAAATAAATGCAATGGATTATCAGACTTTCCAATTAACATGCTGGGACAGGTGCACCAGTTTTCTTCATCTAACTGTAGGTTCATAAGAAGACTACCAAATCATTATTTTAATCCTTCTCCCCAAGTTCACAAGCATTAATAAAAGCAGAAGAATCAAGATTTAACTTCTCACTTAATCTCTTACTTGTGTGTCTTCAAACCTGGTGTGTTATTAAAATCAATCATAAAGTTTCCTCAATTTATTTAAAATCTGTGAAGCCGATTTCAATTACTCAGTTTTAAATAATTGGTTTGGCCCTGCTAAGCCAATAACAGCCCAAGACTTGAAATGCAATAAATCCATAGAAGGCTGATCACACACACACACACACACACTCACTCAGTTTTATTTATTTGAAAGGCAGAGCTTTGGGGGAGAGGAAGGAGAGGGGTTTGAGCAACAGTAAGATCCACCTTTCACCTGTTGGTTCATTCCCCAAAGGGCAAAAAAAGCAGGGGATGCTTGCAATGTAGGTGGGCTGTAACCTGCCATCTTGTAACACCAGGCCCCAGCAGGCCGATTTTTAAAAAGATTTACTTTTTGTTATTTGAAAGGCATATTTATAGAAAGGAGAAAGTCTTACACCTACTGGCTCACTTTCCAAATGGCAACAAAGGCCAGAGCTGAACTGATAATGAATCCAAGAGCCTGAACCTTAGAGGTGTCCCGCATGGGTGTTGGTCCCAAGGCTCTGGCCACAGGCAGGAATGTGGAGCAGCTGGATGGGAAGTGGAGCAGCTGGGATGCTAGCGCTTGCAGGTGGAGGATTAGCAGTGGAGCCATCATACTGGCCCCTAGCAAGGCGATCTCTGAGTTGGTAACTGTGCTCGACGAGTGAGCTTAGAAGGATTCAATGGCGCTTAGCAGCAAGGTCCCAGGATCACTGGTTTAGGAACCAATCAACTACTCAGGAGTTCCCCTAGTCCACTCAACTCTGAGCTGCCCTTACTCGCCCAGGCATACGAACCTGGAGTACTGTTTGGAGTAGAAATTTCCAGGTCCTACCTGCTTTTGCACTCTGAGTGCAAAACTTCAAACCAAGTGAAGGTTCTATGCAGGCTAAAGCAATCTGTCACCACACAATAATATCCTGAATATAATATCCACTTCAGTGTGATTAACCACATCACATTATCTCTCTCTCATCTCTCTTTATGCCTAAACCCTACTACCTTGGGACTATGATCGTGACCTTATCTGGAAATAAGGTCTTTGAGGATGCAATCAAGTTAAAATGAGGCCATGCTGGATTAGGGTGGGCCCTGATGCAGTGATTTGTATCTCGTAAAAACAGAAATGTGGACTCAGACACAGGGTGCAGAATGCCTTCCCAGGCATCAGGGAACCCCAGGGAGGGCAGGCAGGAAGAGACAGGGGTGGATTTTTTCAGGACCATCCAAGAGCATGGTCTTGCAGTCACCTTGTTTGCAAATCTTTAGCCTCCAGACCTATGAGAATACATCTTCCTCCTCCTTTTTTTTTTTTTTTAAAGATTTATTTTTTTGGGTCCAGCACAGTAGCTAAAGCCCTCACCTTGCATGCGCCGGGATCCCATATGGGCACCAGTTCGTATCCCGGTGGCCCACCTTCCCATCCAGCTCCCTGAACTGGGAAAGCAGTCGAGGATGGATTAAAGCCTTAGGACCCTGCACCAGCCGCAGGTTTCAATTTCCATAGAATGTCTCCAGCAGAAGTAGCTAATCTAGATCATATATGCAAATGATCACAAATGTAAGAAAACCCATTTAGCCGAGCTTGTAACTCCGAGCATCTGTACCCAGACTGCACTTCAGAATCATCCGAGACTCCTGAACTCCTCCTCTAATCAAACAAAAATACCTGCGATGTAGCCTGGCTTGTGCTGCATCATGAGGCGCTGTCACGTGCAGTGACATGGTACCCCATATCGGAATGCCCCCCTAGTTCTAGCTGTTCTGTTCCCATCCAGTTCCCTGCTGATGCACCTGAGAACACAGTGCAAGCTGGCCTAGGAGCTTGGGCACAGGTTCACGTCCTGTTTGCTCTGCTCCTGATCCAGTTCCCTGTTAATGTGCCTGGGAAAGTAGGAGGATGACCCAAGTCTAGGGCCCTACAACCACGTGGGGCCTAGAAGAAGTGAGATCCTGGCTCCTGGCTTCAGTTCAGCCCAGACCCAGCTATCACAGCCATCAGGGGAGCAAACCCCAGGATGGAAGACAGTGCTCTGTCTCCTTGTGTCCCTCTCTCTGTAATTCTCTAAAAAAAAAAAAAAAGTCCTCTATTAAAACAAATGCTCTTTGTGCCACACATAACAAGTTCTTTTACAAACTTTAACAAAAGACTCCTGTTTTATGAAGACACTAAAAAACTCCGAACCAACTGTGCAAGACTTATCTAAATCCATATGCACATAAAAGTAGAACAAAGCTGGGAGTAGGAACAAAGAATATTCCCCCAAGATAAAGGATATTTTATGTGTGAAAAGTGAAAACAGTATAACACAACTTTTTATACAAGACAGGTGAAGAACTAAATTAGCACAGTTCATTTCTGAAACATCTTTTTCATTTCACCCAAACAACCCAAATGAAAGAAAACTAAATGACCCTTTTCATTTGCCTCACTATTCAACACAACCACACATCAGCAACTAACAAACAATCACAAAAGCTACAGGAGCCGCAGCTATTTGCCCGGGCAGTGAAGAAGCCAGACAGAAAAGCCAGTGCCATTTTCAGAGCAGCTGGCCTCAACCTTGGTGCTGAAGCCGTGAAGGCACGCTGTGGGAGGCGGCAGTGACGGCTCGTGCAGACTGCTGCCACCCCAGCGCAGGACCCACACTGTGTCCCCCCGCCTCCTGGGCCGCTCCCCACCACTGCAGGGGATCACACCAGCTTCACGCAGGAGCTGCATGACAAGCACACAAACTGGTACCTAAATGGGATGCCAGCATTGTAGGCAGTGGCAGCTTTACCCAACCCACCACAAGGTCGGGGCCTACATTTTTAAAAATTAAGATGTTTATTTGAAAGGCAGGATGACAGATTTTTCCATCGACTGGTTCACCACTCAAATACCTGTAACACAGGTGGGCGGGGCCAGACAAAGCAAGGAGCCAGGAGGACTTGAGTCCCAGGCCGTCTTCCATTCCTTTCCCAGGTATGTTAACAGGGAGCTAGACCCGAAGCAAAGCAGCCACAACTCAGACTGGCCAGTGTTATAGGCAATGGGTTTAACTTACTACACCCGTAACACCAGTCCCACACACCAGTCCCTCTTACATCAAGGAGGGAAAAAAAAAAATCCAGACCTGCACTGCCTAGCACAGTGGCTACTGCACATGTGTCTACTGAGCACTTGAAAATGTGGTGATTTTTGGCCCAGCGAGATAGCCTAGTGGCTAAAGTTCTCAGCTTGCATGTACCAGGATCCCATATGGACGCTGTTTCTAATCCCGGCAGCTCCACTTCCCATCCAGCTCTCTGCTTGTGGCCTGGGAAAGCATTTGAGGACGACCCAAAGCTTTGAGACCCTGCACCTGTGTGGGAGACCTGGAAGAGACTCCGTGCTCCTGGCTTCAGACTGGCATAGCTGCTGCTGTAGCAGCCACGTGGGGAGTGACTCAACAGACAGAAGATCTTTCTCTCTGTATATCTGCCTTTCCAATTAAAAAAAATAAATCTTAAAAAAATAAATAAAACAGAGCAACTGTCTTATAAAACATGAATCTCAACCATTGGGTTCACCTGGATACACACATTCACTGCATAGTGTGCAATGCCATTTAATAAAAAGCAGGCGGGGTGGGCATTAAAAAAAAGTGGTTATTCTGACTTCAGGTGTGGCACGCGTGTAACGTTTTACATAGAAAAATGGCATTTTGTAACGTGTTGCATTAAATAAAACACATTATTAACTTGTCTTACATTTTCATTTGTGTTATACGTGGGTCATATTCTATTTCTACTGGACAGCATCACATCAGGCATAAATTCAAGGACTGGGTCAGAAAAGACAACGAGTACATCATCTTGTTGCATTTCACCAGTAACACTACCTTCTATGGAATCACCTTCATAAACTGCCTCAGTAAGTTATAAGGAGAAACGGCTAAGGTGTAGGAGTTCAACAACAGTGAGTTTCTAGCACTCAGACTCACTTGAAAACTCTAAATTACCATTCTCTGCCACTTTCCTGGTCCTTCCTGCAACTTCTGATAAAAACCCACGGATCAGGCTCGGCGCGTTAGCACAGTGGTTAAGGTCCTTGCCTTGCATGCCCGGGATCCCATATGGGCACAGGTTCTAATCCCAGCGGCACCGCTTCCCTTTCAGCTCCCTGCCTGTGGCCCGGGAAAGCAGCCGAGGACGGCCCAAAGCTTTGGGACCCTGCACCCGCGTGGGAGACCCGGAAGAGGCTCCTGGCTTTGGATCGGCATAGTATCGGCTGTTGCGCTCACTTGGGGAGTGAATCATCGGACGGAAGATCTTCCTCTCTGTCTCTCCTCTCTGTATATCCGCCTTTCCAATAAAAAAATAATAAAAATAAATCTTAAAAAAAAACCCACGGATCACAGAACATCTAAAGTAAATTGCTTCAGAGAAATTTAGATGTAATATTATCAAGAATATGAATGTTCAGTGATGCCACAATTACTCTGCTTGAACAAAGACGCATTGCTCAACAAATGGGAGAAGAGGGCGTGGTGACACATTCCGGTCCTCTGAGCTGGCCGCTCGGCAGGAGAGCCATTCTTCCTGCAGCAGCATCTCACTGCTTCCCAGCACCCTGCGCCTGGGGCACCCAGGCAGAGCCAGGCAGCACTCCATCCATAAGGCCCAGCTTACGGAATCCAGAAACTACATCCATCTTATTCTCCACCTGACATTTCACTTGCAAACGTTAATACAAGTACTACCAATGGACTGCCAATAAAGTAACGGCATCCTTCCTGACGTGACAGAAGTCACATCAACAGACATCACATCAGTTCCTTAGCAAATGTCAATTATCTGTGACGGTGGATGTTGGCAAGTAAGCGGAGTATAAAACAGTACAAATTTGTAATGAAAAGCTCTGGGAACGAAACTGTGACTTGTGTCTCATCATTTCTACGACCAAGCCACCTCCAGCAAAGATCTGATTTTGTTTCTGGCTGCAGAACCAAAAACCACTGTTGTTTACATACAACTAATTGTCACAGGAGTGGTATACTAAACATAGGGTCAAGAGCTTTGTTTTCTAACTGTAATGTTGCTGGCCATGTGTAATATACCTGAGATGCTTGAAAATTTGGTAGCTATTTTAAGTTCAACTCTCCTTCATTGCCAAAGAGTCTAGATGAAAAAAAAAAGTTACCATGATCATTCATGTTGGCGGTGATCTTTAAACTTTAGGCAACTTGTCTGTGCTGCCCCATGCAATAACCATGTTTTTCTTTTTTTTTTTTAAGAGGCAGTGAGAGAAAAGAGGTGCCACCCACAGCTTCAGTCCCCAAATGCCTGCAGCCTAAGGGAAGCCAGGAATTCAATCCAGATCTCCCACAAGGCTAGCAGGAGCCACCACTGCCTCTGAGGATCCTCACTGGCAGGCAGTCAAGAGCCAGGGACAACCAGCCTCACACCCAGGCTCCTGAGGCAAGATCCCACTGCCCTAACACACCTACAAGATCCCACTGCCCTAACACACCTACAAGATCCCACTGCCCTAACACACCTACAAGATACTTTTAAGGTCTTTTCAGCTACTTGCTACATTTCTGGGACAACTGCTACAATCGCCTATATTATTCACCCTCTGCAGTCCCCAGTGCACTGTCTCCCACCAGAAGTGACTGAACTGCGAGGTACCCGCGGTAAGGAGCAGCCTGCCTGTGCCCCCCCACCCCTGCTTCCATTTACCAGATGTGACTGTCCACCAGCCGAGGCAACAACGGTATCCCACTGTCCCAACTCTCACCCATAAACCACAGCATCAGCAAGCGCACACTGAAGACTTCAGCAAGATACCTACTGCTGTATGGCCTAGCACGCATTTCTCTTTTTTAAAAAAGATTTACTTTTACTGGAAAGGCATATTTTGCAGAGAGGAGGAGAGAAAGAGAAAAATCCACCATCTGCCAAAGCCGGGAGTCTCCTCTGGGTCTCCCACACAGGTGTAGGGTCCCAAGGACTTGGACCATCCTCTGTTGCTTCCCCAGGCCGTAAACAGGGAGCTGGTTGGGGGGAGGGAACAGCTGGGACCTAACTGGCACACATCTGGGATGCTGGTGCTCTTGCAAGTGGAGGATCAGTCAACCACTACGCCAGGCCCCCTAGCAAGCACTGCTAACTCAATACCCTGGACCTACTGACATCCAGGGCTAACTCAAGTTACAGGAACTCTGTTAATACCAAAAAGTACTGAGCTGGACTGGTGCTGTGTATATAAGGGGCTTATTTCTTCACATGCCACTGGATACATGGAAGCAAACTGGCACTAAGCAGAGTGAGGATGCGGAGCTGGACTCAAAAGCTGTAATGAGCACCATCTGCTCACTGCCAGTTTTCTGAGTGCCTGGTTCTCGTAACTGTTCAAAGAATGCCACCTGAGCACCCTGAACCACAGTTAAGTTGGCTCGGGCTGACTTACCTCTTCCAAACAGACACGATCTACAGGTTGTCTCTGAAACCGCCTTTGGCCCACACCACAGAGATTGCGAAAGATGCTTATCAGCTGATTGCTAAAGTCGACTGGATCAAGTCAAACAGGTACCTATCTGGGGTCAAGTTCCCATCTACAGCTAAGACGAACTTCTCGGGAGTTTCCAAGGTTCTCTGGCTCCAAGCTGAGTACAAACCGCTCTAACTACAAACAAAGCAGAAGCAATGGGAGTCCTGATTCAGGAACACCAACTTTATGGTCCATGACAGGAAGGGGATGCAATTCAACTGGGCCTTTACACACCGAGGGACTCAGATCAAAGACCCACCAGTTTGCACCTTGATACAAAAGCAGCCTGGACACCCGCAAACCAGCAGCTGGAGGGACTTAAATCTGCTTCTGAACCCAGCAGGCCAAAAAGCAGCATTAGGGGCTGGAAGGAACAGAGCTTAAGGGGGAAGATGCATTTCCCTAATAAACTACTCTCCTTCGTAAACACAGTCACCTTACAGTTACAAAAGATGCCTCTGAACCCTCACATGCTACTCCCACCCGTTCTTTCTTCCCCTTGGTTCCCGCACATTTGAAGTAAGCGAACACGACTTTCTTGGCACCTGCACCCCGACCTGGGCTGGGCTGGGCTGGGCTGGGCTGGGCTGGGGCGGGGCGGCCAGATACAGACAGCCCGGCGAGCGCAAAGCTGCAGTCTAGCTGCCCTCTGACCTGCGGGAGGCAAACACAAAGTGTCGCCCGAGGCCGAGGCAGTGGCCGGCGTTGGCCCAGCGGAGGACCACGACGCGCGGCTGGCCATGCACAGACCACCCCCCAAGCAGGGCACACAGCCTCAGGGCCCCAGCCTCCCGCCCAGAGCGCGCGGACAACCGCACGGCGGGCTCGCCGGTCCAGGATCCCGCGCGCCAGGCCCGGGATGGGCGAGCAGGCTCAGGCCCAGGAGCCCGGCGCCGGCCCCGAAGGAGCTGGGCGCGCGTCGCTCGCGGAGCGCGGCCCGGAAGCAAACAGAAAGCGAAGCAGGGCGCGACGGTGGGACGGGGAGCGCGCGCCTCGGCACCTACCCTCCCTGTCCTCGTCGCTCCCGCCGCTCGGGCTGCAGCGGCCGCCGCTCTCCCACCGGCTCGGCTCACGCGCGCAAGCACCGCCCCGCCGGAAGCAGCCCCGCGCCCCGCCTCGCCGCCGGCTTTCCGACCAGTCCTGCACAGCCCCGCTGCTGACGCGCAGCTCACTTGGGCCGCCATTGGTCCCACGGTGGCGTGGCCGGGATTGGCTGGAAAGCGCCACGTCCCCACGAGCGCGCCGAGCTGCGTGGGTCGGCTTCCCGCCCAGGCCTGGCCCCGGGGCTGTGGGGATAGTTGGTGGGCCCAGCGCGGCGCGGCCTGTGGGCGCGGCTGTCTGCCCGCCACGTCCCCGCTCTCAGCGCTTGGCTCTGCCTCTGCCTCCCGGGCGGCCGTAACTCGGTCGCGGACTGTCGTGAACGGGTCTGTTCCTTGCTGCCCTGCCGTCGGACGCGGTGTCTCCCGGAGGCTTTTTACTCTTCACCTACAGTAGCGTGTAGTTCTGCTCCTAGACGGCCATGTTGGCGTCCCCCGAGGGCCTTTCCTTTCACTTGTCGAGGTTTTGTGTCCGCGCAGCGGTGCCTTGCCGGTTCTCTGTCTTGGGAAGGCCAATAGACGTCCCAGTTCAAAGGTTAGCTCTGGCAAGGCTTTGCTGAACCGGCTAAGCATAGCAGTTCCCGCCTTTGTTGCAGGGCACTGGACATCTTGAGTGCGAAGTCAGACTTTTCCTCTGGCAGCTCCTCCAGGGTTGGGATCGGCCTTGCTGCTCCCCTCCCAGTCCCCGGCCAAAGTCAGAATCTGTGTTTTACATGAAGTGAATGAAGTGGAACCCAGGCTCGTCCGTGATTTAAAAGGAACAAGGGAAACCATTACTCATTTTCAAGTCCTGAAATTAAAACAAGTATTAAAAATGAAGGCTACAATATTTTCGAACTCAAGTGGAGTATTAATCGGTTCTTAACATGCAGAATCTCTGTTGAAAAGTCGGTTTCGACAATTACTAACCCCATGGAAGAATTAACTGCAATATTGTTAGTCTGCTTTTTAAGATGTTTTATTGTTATTTGAAAGACAGAGAAACAGAAACTCTTTTATCTACTGGCTCACTCCTCAAGTGCGGCCTGAAACGCCATATAGGGTGACAGGCACCCAAGCAGCTGTCATCTGCTGCCTCCCAGAATGTGTGAGCAGGAGGCTGGATCGGAAGCCGAGTAACTGGTATTGAACCAGCAGTTGGTAGGGGGAGAGGACATCACCAAGCCGCCCATCCGGCTGGGCAGCTGCCAGGCTCTTCCCTCCACTCCCTTTAAGTGTCAAGAGGGAAGGTTGACAACTAATGCTTCATGCATTCGGACAGTACGGTGACTGGCCTCAGCGGTAGCCGAAGAAGGCTTCTCGGGCGGGCGTGATTCAGGCTGGACTAAGGAAATCCCACGGCGGTATTGAGCAAGAGGAGAAGCAGCAGGGTCAAGGGTAAGTGTGAGGCAGAGGAGAGGCAAATTCTCAGGGCAGGTAATGAACGAGAAATGTTAAAAAAAAAAAAGATGATGATGATGAAGGAGCCATGCAGGGAGAGCTTTGGTGATAAACTGTGAAGGGTGGTGGGAAGGCATGCCAGTCGGAGCTGATGGCAGTGGGGTCCGGGGGTCTCCTGGCAGATTTGTGCGCATGTGCTTTAGTTGGGGGTGCATGAAATGGAATGTGTTCTTCGGGGGATGCACATCTGCTAACGGGGATGAACTCTCAGCAGGAGTGACTTCAATAGCTGTCCTGAACAAGCTTCTTGGAAGTCAGGTATTGTGCTGGGTCCGGACAGCGTCCCTGTCCTCCCCTTAGTAAGAGAGCTGTCCATCCCAGATACGTCCTAGTGAGGATGGACAGAGAGTATGACTGTCAGAGATGGGGCCTGCTACCTTGATGTTCCCTGAGGGACAGGGCCTAACCTAGCAAGGGAAAGGCCCATGGAAGTGAACCCTTGTGTACAGGAGGGATCTGAAATGCAGAAGTAACAGGTCCTGGACCTTGTAAGCACCTGGATGAAGAGAATGAAGGGGGCCCACTCAAAAATTATGATTCTTATTTTAATTTTATTTTTTAAAATACTGTTTACATAGCTGAGAAGGATGCATAGGGTGGGGAGGGTAGAGGTATGGAGAAAGGTGGGTGGGACAAATGTTTCTGTTCTTTTTTTTTCCTGTATCTGCGGGAAGGAGGGAGAAGGGGCCACTCAGCTGTCAAGCTACACCAGCACTCAGGGCTGTGGGATGGTCATTTGGTCACAGCTAGACACCTCGATGTGGGGAAGACTGTGCCGAAGGTGATTCAAGTGGTTCTGATAGTTCTGATAAACATTGCTGGCTTTATCACACCAAGGTCTGTCGGCTGACTAAGTCCACCTCGCACATCCAGAGACCCAGACACTTGCTGCAAAGCTCAGCCAGGAGAAACATCCAACCTGTTCTGCCTTCCGTCCTCTGATGAGCTACCTGACCTCTTCTTGCTGGCCCAGACGAGCTGGCCTTCATGTCCCCTAGTGCATCCGGGTGTGCTGTCCACCGTACAGGTTTCAGCAACTGAGGAGACCTCATCCCGATACGTGCACGGCAAGTCAGACCACAGAGCATCTCGTGCCTTTTCCTGTGGTCGGGGTCTGAGTTCAGCAGTCCAGTTGGGGAGTTCCCAGGAAACCTCACCTAGGGTAACGTCGGGCAGTCTTGTGTGCACCAGCTAGTGCAGGGTCAGGTTCAGTCTGTCATCTGCACCAGCCAATGCATAAACCAGTGGATGCAGCTGTCTGGCTAATTCTGCCCCCAGCCCCATCAACCACACAAACTAATAGGTGCTGTAGCCTATACCAGCCCAGCCTGCCACAAGCCCAGTCACACACAGTAGCAGGTACTGTGGGCTAGTTGGAGTGACCTCCAATGATCCCCACAAGCCTCACCCCAAGTCGTGGTTTTTGAGTGTGCTGGCATGTGCTGCAGCCTAACCCTGCCCATCCTGTGTCCCATCTGGCTCTGTGAATACCCAAAGGTGCTGCAGTTTAGCTCTGCCCTATTTGCCTCCAGGCCTGGCTGATATCTATGCTGATGGGTATTGCCACCTTGTCCAACCTTGCCAGCCCTTAGCCCTGGCTCTTGTGCTCACCAGTGGGAGCTGCAGCTTAGCACAGGAGCACCCACAGTTCCCCTACGAGGCCAGCTCCCAGCCCAGGATCTGGAGCTTGCCAGGGGGTACTCTGGTCCATCCTGACATGTCTCGCACCCACTCCCAGCACTTGCCAGTGGGTGCAGCAGCCTAATCCAGGATCTGATCCCCAGACCCTGTCCACACATATACCAACATGTGTTGCAGCCTTGCCAAGCAGCCCAACTTCTAGGACCACGAAAGAATCTTGTTTTTTTCTTTTTTATTGAAAGGGCAGATTTACGGGAAGAAAGAAAAAGATTTTCTATCCATTGGTTGACTTCCCAAATTGCCATAACAGTCAGAACTGAGCCTATCCAAAACCAGAAGCCAGCAGTTTCCTCCAGGTCTTCCATGAGAGTACAAGGTCCCATGGCTTTGGGCCATCCACTGCTTTCCCACAGGCAGGGAGCTGGATGGGAAGTGGAGCCGCTGGAACAATAACTGGTGCCCATATGGGATCCTGGCATGTTCAGGGTGAAGATTTTAGCCACTGAGTCATCACATCAGGCCCAACAAACAAGATTATTAGCACAGTGCTTAGGGTGAGAGGTGGTGATAGATGCCAAGGAGGCCAGTGAAGGCAGCAGGAGAACAGTGTCAGGACTGACAAGAGTGGCGCTGCCATCTTAGAAATGGTTGCCAAGGAAGGCCTCAGGGTGATGCTTTGGGAAACATTCCAGGAGAAAGGAACAGCAGGGCCAAGGCCCTGGGCATACTGGGAGTGTGTGTGAAGTGGCCGGAAGTGGTGGGTGGAGCGCAGTAGTGAGCTGGTGAGGAGCTGGTGAGGACCTGAGGTCAGAGATGTAGCAGTAGGGGATGAGGGAAGGGGCAGGCCCTTCAGGGCAGTGCAAGGATGACGGGGCCATGAGTCAGACACTGTGGGAGAGATGGGCTGTTTTCCAAACTGTTTCCTCTGCAACCTGTGCGTCTGGCTGACGACATTTCTGTGGGGCTGAGTTTTGGCCCCAGGGAGCAGGGGAGCGGTCCTATACTTTGCTTCTTCCTGGAGCTGTTCACTTAGCAGACACTAAGGAACCCTGTCAGCATCTCAGGGTGATAGCAGACACGGGAGAGGTCAAGACAGCGTTTGGAGGGATCAGGGAATCGCCAGCATACCAGGCCTGAACATGAAAGGTCATGCTGCTTTGCCTCACTATCACCATGGGGACCCTCCTCAGCCTTAGACCCGAAACTCCATACAGGACACCAGGGGGACAAGCAAATCCAAATTAAAGAGTAGGCTGGGGAAGGTCTAATGCTTGGATAACACGTAATGGCTTAGGGGCTGGCACAGTGACTCAACTGGGCAATCCTCTGCCTGCAAGCACCACCATCCAATATGGGCACAGGTTCGTGTCTCAGCCGCTCCACTTCCCATCCAGCTCCCTGCTTGTGGTCTGGGAAAGCAGTAGAGAATGGTCCAACCCCATGGGACCCTGCACATTGTGTGGGCGTCCCCAAGGAGGCTCCTGGCTTCCACTCAGCTCAGCTTTAGCTATTGTGGTCACTTATAGGGAGTGAACTAGCTGATGGAAGTTCTTCTCTTTGTCTCTTCTCTCTGCATATATGCCTTTCCAGTAAAAATTAAAAAAAAAATTTTTTTAAGTGATGGCTTAGCAAGAAAAAAGTTGGCATGAGGAGATGGTGAGAGGGCCCTCAAGGGGGCAGAGAGGGTTGAGTGGAGAAGACACATTTCCTATTGCAGTTGTTGGCACCCTGGTTAAGGTGTCTCTTGGAGCACCTACCACCCCACGGAGGAGTGTTTGACTGCAGGCTCCCTTCTGAGTCCAGCTTCCTGCAGATGATGCAGTGCCTGCATCGTGCCACCCCCACCTCACCCTCCATGAGAGCTCCAGGTGCCCAGGTTCCTCCCTAGCCTAGTCCTGGCCTCCGTGAGCATTCGGGGAGTGAACCAACAGATGTCTCTTTGCCTTTCTAATGATAATAAATTAAAAAAAAACATAGATTTAGAAAGACAATCATGTTTCTTTTCTTGGGTTTATGGTCTTACTCTCAAGTTTAAATTAGATAAATAGATGCTTGGTGAGGCCTCTTTTAGGATGGATTCTGTCTCTTGTCCTCTTCGTGCCTCCCAAGTCTCTGCTCTTCCTTCGGTTCCGGTTTCTCTTTGGACTTCTCGGACTCCCTCCCATCACGTGGTTCCTCTGGTCCCTGCCAGAGCATGGTCCGTACCTGCTCCAGAGGTGCCAGTGCTGTGGGGGAGTGTGGGAGGGAAGGGGGAGGGCTGTGCTCACTTGAGGTGGTGAGGAGGTGGTGAGGAGCTGGAGGGCCAGGGTGACTACACGCATGCTGCAGGAAAAGGCCCTGCTGCCCCCGGAGGCAATTCCAGCATTCCCCGAGCTGTGGCCTTGTCCTCCGCTCCAGCCATCCAGGGTCCCTCAGAAGGTGGAACACTGCAGCAGGATGGCATCAGCGAGGGCTGCACAGACTCTCTGTGGCTCAAATGGAACTTCCTGGGAGAACAGGAGAGAAATGCATATCAAGCTCTTTTCTGGGCACACAGAACCCCCTGCGCCCCACCTTGTCCATGAAGGATGAGACCTTCCATGGAAACCTGGAGCTATAGATAGTGCAAGTGGACATATGTTTTTTCATTCTGTGCTTGTATGCCTATGATAAAGGCATGGGAGGGGATTAACATATAGCTAAACAGAACAGTCATGTGAATCTGTGGCAGTACATCCTGGGTGAGTGTGGTCGCCTTTCCATTCAGTGTTTTTGGTTGGTGGCTGACCACAGGTAGCTGAAATAAGGAGAGTCACACTGCAGGTAAGGGAGGACTCCTATCCTTAGCTTAAATTACCAACCACCAATAACAGATATATTCCAGAGTCAGGGATGTGTTCCTAATATTTCACTCTGGAAAACCTGACTTGCCTCTAACTTCTGTAGTAATCTCTTTGCAGTCAGAGGCCGACAAGCAGAATTTCAGTATAGTTGTCAGATAGATGGAGTGATAAGAGTTGTGTGGGATAGGAATGTCTGGCACCCTGCATAGAAGCTGGAACCCCAGAGAAGCTGAAACTCCACCCCAGCTTTCCTCTGGCTCTCTAAACCCCAAACCAGGTAAGAAGATCCCTGGAGGGGCTGGCATTGTAGTGTCACAAGTTAAGTTGCCACCTGCAACAATGGCATCCCCTCCCTATGAGTACCTGTCTTAGGCCAGCTGCTCCACTTCCCACCCAGCTCCCTGCTAATGAGCCTGGGAGTGGATGATGGCCCAAGTGCTTCCTTGTGGAAGAGAAGACTCAGATGAGCTTTGGTCTGGCCAGTACACCTCTCCAATCCCAGTCATTGGGACTATTTGATTAGTGAACCAGTGGCTGGAAGATCCCTTTTATCTTTCTCTTTCTCCCTTCACTCTGTAATTCTGCTTTTCAAATAAATAAATACATCTCTGAGAAGAAAAGCTGTATCCCCAAGAGATACAGAGAAGAAAAAGAAGGGACAAGCCACAGCTAGCACCCCAAATCCCCTTGTCTCCCCCCAGCAAAGAGAGTGTAGCTCCTTGCTGCAGGTACAGCATGCCAGCCTCTCCCGCTACGTGGCCACCTGCAGCAGCTGGGGGCCCTTCAGGTGACATACCTCCAGATTCTACTCAGCCCCATTGGAGTGAGAAGGGGGCAATTAAAAAAAAAAAGAGGACTCGTGTTGCCATGTATGGCGCCTCCTATTCCTACTCCACAGGGTTCTGCAATCTCCCTCAGGATCCCATGCCCTGGAGCTGACCTGCACGGCTGCCCCATGAAGATAACCAGCTTGTCTCCCTCACCTTGCTACCCCCATTACCGTACCTGTGGGTGGGCCCAGCTGGGGCCAGGTGGAGGCTGCTAGGGTGCTGAGGAGCGAGAGGGGCTGTGGCCCGGAGGGGTTCTCTCTTTCCCACTCTCCGTAAGTCAGTGACTCCCTCCAGCTGAGGTCTCGGGTGCAAGGAATGCTGTCTTCATAGGAAGTGTCTTTCTCTATAGGACGGGAAAGCAATACAGTGGTCCGTGCTCCGGTTTACGAGGCTCTGGAAGACCACTGCCAACCTCGTGTGTGTGTGTGTGTGTGTGGGTGGGTGGGCGTGTTGGGGAGGGTTGCTCATTAAGGACTAGGCTGGGGGCAGGGCTGCCATGATCTCATTTCATAGAGGAGGAATGTGAGGCCTGGAGAGGTGAAGAAACTTCTAAGTGTCCATGTAGCGAGGAGGCAGAGTCAGAATTCACAGCCAGGCTCCTAAGCCCATGCTCTCACCACTGTATCACACGAACAAGGCAGTACTAGACAAAGGAACAGACTGCTTTGTTTTGCCATGCTGGCTGTGTGAGGCTTCTCAAGAGATGCAGATAGCTGAATAGATGATGGCTAATGGCGTTGAACCCACAGGGCTAAGCCAGAAGCTCTTCTTGGTCCACTGGGGCCTGGCTACACAAAAGGATGGCCAAAAGCCCAGTAGCTTCAGCGGTAGCTAACTAGCTCTGATGTGTACCTTCTTATTCCCAGCCAGACTGAGTGAACTTGAATCTGAAACAAGATCCCCCAGGCTCTGCTCCTGTGATGAAAGTGATGGAAGGGCCAGTGCTGTGGGGAAGCACGTTAGACCTCTGCCTGTAATGCCAGCATCTCATGAGTGCCAGTTTAAATCCCGGCTGCTCCACTACCAACCCATCTCCCTGCTAATGCGACTGAGAAAACAGCATAGAGTGGCCCAAGTACCTGGGCTCCTGGCTTCAGCTCAGCCATGCCCTGGCCATCATGGCCATTTGGGAAGTGAACCAGTGGATGGAAGATCTTTTTTTCTTTCCTCTCCCCTTCTCTCAGTCACTCTGCCTTTCAAATTAATTTTAAAAAGAAAAGAAAAGAAAAGAAAAGAAAAGAAAAGAAAAGAAAAGAAAAGAAAAGAAAAGAAAAGAAAAGAAAAGAAAAGAAAAGAAAAGAAAAGAAAAGAAAGTGAAGTGTGGGAAGCACCCCTCCATAACCATGGGAAGTTGTGTGGATAAGTTCAGCCCTCTCTTTTTCCCTCTAGATGTTCCAAGAGGCTATGATGGAACTGTCCCTCTGAACTGAGAGGGTTCAGAGGTCATCCTAGGGGGATTCATTAAAATAAACCTAGGATGGGGCTTACATCATGGCATAGTAGGCTAAGCCTCCATCCTGCAGTGCCAGCATCCAATACAGGTACCAGTTTTATGTCCTGGCTGCTCCACTTCCAGCTCTCTGCATATGATCTGGGAAAGCAATGGAAGATGACCTAAGCTCTTGGGACCCTGCACCCACATGGGAGACCCAGAAGAATCTCCTGGCTCTCAGCTTTGGATCAGCTGAGTTCTGGCCATTGAGGTCATTTAGGGAGTGAACCAGTAGATGGAGGATCTCTCTTTCTCTATAACTCTTCAAATAAAAATAAAGCCTTAATATATATAGACAGACACATAGATGCAGCAAACCTAGGTGTGTTTTTTTTAAGGATTTTATTTATATTTATTGGAAAGGCAGATATATAGAGAAGGAGAGACAGAGAGGAAGATCTTCCGTCCAATGATTCACTCCCCAAGTGAGCGCAACGGCCGATGCTATGCCAATCCGAAGCCAAGCCAGGAGCCTCTTCCAGGTCTCCCACGTGGGTGCAGGATCCCAAAGCTTTGGGCTGTCCTCAACTGCTTTCCCGGGCCACAGGCAGGGAGCTGGATGGGAAGCGGGGCCACCAGGATTAGAACCAGCGTCCATATGGGATCCCGGGCGTGCAAGGCGAGGACCTTAACCACTGTGCCATCGCGCCAGGCCTGCCTAAGTGTGTTTTGGGCATGCTGGCCTCCGTAATACTGGAATCACTGAGAGTCCAGTTGCACTCTTAAATTCTAGCCATGAGTTACAGTATTCGGCATCTCCCTCACCCCTGACCTCATGGAGTTATAGCTCTGCTGGCTGTAGGACTGGGTGGATTTGGATGGATGTGTGAAAACAGATACAAGTCCCTGTGGTGTCCTCTGGAGACAGCAGCCACAGCCCAGGATGGCCTGCGGGATGGCGGAGGGCCGCAGCGGCTCTGCCCACCATTTAATCAGTGCTTGAGGGACTGGCAGCCCCCACAGACTATATGGTGCACTACAGCAAAGTGTGGCTCTCCCACTAAATGCTAGTCTTTCCTGGGCTTGATTTTTTTTTCCCCATTACATGTCAGTAGTATATCTCATAAAAACCAGGATTGGGAGCTTCTCTTGAAAGAAAGCAAGCTTTTCTTGAAAGAAAATCAGAGTATCTGATGGTTCCAGGTCACTACTAATGGAAATCTCAGTTGAAACCTTCACTCCCTCCTCTCTACCATATCTGTCACTCCCTGTTGCCTCCTCGACGCTGAAACCAGCTGCTGTTTCCCTTGAAGCATTCAGAGAAAGACTAATTGCTGTGTCTGTCTATGTCACCCAGACTTTTAACTGTTTATACCACCTGCAGGTGCATGGGTTTGTAGTTCCTCAGTTGGGTAAAAATAATATCAGCTCCCTTGAAACCCTCATCTTCCTCTGCCTCCCAAGTGCCTTAGGGTATCATATTCCATCTCTTGAGGCGAGGTGGAGGAACACTCGACCAGTGTCAGGTCTGTGGGTACGTGCTGAACTACCATCGTGTCTGGGCAAGATGTTGTGAAGTGGAGGGTTTAGAAGGCTAGGGAAGGCTTTAGAATGGAGAAGAGAGAGCAGAGTGGATGAGTGAGGAATGGAAGAGGAGAGTTGAAGGCCTACAGAGAGGAAGGTCAAGGCTGCAGTACTGAAGAGGCAGAGGGCTCCCATCAGAGGAGGCAGGGAGTGACTGGGCAGATGGGGGAGGGGTTACAGGGCCACGTTGGCCATAAGGCAGGGAGCCTTCTGGAACCGGGAAATAGAGACCCAGCCGCCATACCTGAAATACACACTGCTCCCTCATGCGTACCCTGACTCATCTACTTTGTCCAGCTCCCAGCCACTTCCAGGCCAGCTTCCTGGGAGGAGCCCAGCACCCCATCCTTTGTGTTCCCTTGGGGCCCTCAGGCGGGAGCCCTGACTGTCGGCTGCCAAGAAGAGCTTTGATCATTCTGGACTTGCCCACCTGATTTCCCCAAATAGGCATGATGTCTTTTGACCCCAAAGCCTGTCAGATGGGTTGCACTTAGTGAGTGCTCAAAGCCTGCTGTTAAGGAACAAATGGCTGACTGAATCAGCAGACAATTACTGCAGACTGAAGGTGAGAAGGAGTGGAGCCTGGGAATAGAGATGAAGAACATTAAAAACAACAACAACAACAAACTGGGGAGCCCAGCACAACGGCTCAATGGCTAAATCCTCATCTTGCAGGCACTGGGATCCTATATGGGTGCTGTTTCATGACCCAGCTGCTCCCATCCAGCTCCCTGCTTGTGGCCTGGGAAAGCAATAGATGGCCCAGAGCCTTGGAACCGTGTACCCACATGGCAGACCTGGAGGAAGCTCCTGGCTCCTGGCTTCAGATCAGCTCAGCTCTGGCCGTTTTGGCTATTTGGGGAGTGAACCAGTGGATAGAAGATCTTTATGTCTGCTATGTAAATCTGCCTTGATGCTGCACCTGCAGAGAGGAATGTTCCCAAAGGTGGGACACCTTGTGCTCCCCATTACCTGAGGCATCCTTTTTGGTCTCCACTTTTTTGCTGCTCCTGGGACTCCGATCATTTCAGGATTGAGGAGATAAAGGTCAAAATAAAGAGAGGACAGCATTAGACTTGGATTTCACATCTTGTTCCCAATTCATTTTTCCTAATGCCAAAGCTTTTAGAGGCAGCTATAAATATGAAGACGCAAGCTGTGGCTATGTTGGCGAGTGTGACATGCATTAATGTCGTAGGAGAAAAACTCGGCTGGGGAGGAGGTGGGTTGGGGTGGGAGGTGTGGCCTGGAGCCCGAGCTGTTGATTCTGCCACAGAGGAGGGGGCCCGTGCCTCCATCTGCTGAACCCTGGGTCTCAGCCAATTATTTTATGGACTAATAAGTTGCCTGTTGCTACTGACGTGCAAAAACTGGTCCTGATGGCAACCAGACTAGAATCTGCCAGCCTTCCTTCCAGGGAACTGAAGAGAAAGAAGCTAAATGTCAGGGCAGGGCAATCTGATGACAGCGGAGCCAGAGCTCATTTGCTCTGGTGCCTGCATTCCTCCGCCCTGCTTCCTGCGTGTTTCCCAGAGGAGAATTCCGCACCTCTTTCCTCTCTCCCTTCAAATCAACTGTGGCAGCCGCTGCTAGCCTGACCTTTTCAGAATGTAAATTGTATGACATCATCTCCCTATTTGCAAAGCCGTGGAGGTGGCCATTGCACTTCAGCTCTCAATTTCTTGGTTTCTCAGGCAGGCCCAGACTGGCCAGGCCCCCGCCCACTCCTGCTTATTGTACTTTCCACTGGCTTTCCATACCAAGTTCCCCCATCCCTTCCAGGTGAAAACGCCACCTGGCACCCAATCTATTCTCACCTCTACCTGCTTAAGTCTTCTCAACCCTTTATCTGATTCTTGCCTGTTTTTCCTCCAAGTGTTAGTTTCCTTCGAATCCTCTGACTGGGGGTGGGAGTTGTGACCCGGCAGGTTAAGCGGTCACTTGGGATGCCTGTACTTCATATCAGAGAGCCTCAGGTTGAGTTCCCTCTCCACTTCTAATCCAGCTTCCTGCTCCTGTGTCTCCTGGGAGGCAGGAGGTGATGACTCAAGTACCTGCTATCGACAGGAGAGGCCTAGATGGAGTTCTTGGCTTTTTACCTAACCCAAATGTGTGTGTCGGAGATTTCTAGGAGGCCCCTGGTGACCCTGCCTGCCTGCTTCTCTTGCTCCTTGAGGCAGAGCTCCTGATCACACAGAATGGAGAATGCATTTCCCAACCTACCTTGCAGCTAGATGTGATCATGAGATTGAGTTGTAGCCAATAAAATATAAGTAGAAGCTAACCTTTATATGGCAATTTGAGGGAAAGCAGTCGAGGGGGGCCCAAAGCCTTGGGACCTGCACCCACGTGGGAGACCTCCTGGAGAAGGTTCCTGGCTGTGGCTTAGCCCTGACCTGGCTGTCGTGGTCATTTGGGGAGTGAACTGAAGATGGAAAGTTCTCCCTCTCTCTCAAACACATCTTGTAGAAAGTGTTGCTTTTGTACATTTTGCTCTCCTGGTTCCCAGCATGCTGTACTTCAGCACACGCCATACCACGCAGAAATCCCTCGACTATGGATCTATGTGTAATAGATTACAGTCTCTAGGATATATCCTTTACTTCTGGACAACGGGCTAGCTCTTGTCCTATTCATGCTTTTCTACCTCCCGTCGAAGTTAGGGTTAGTGGCACAGGTTCATAGGGACCGAGGTTTGATTCTGTGCAGAAGAATGTGACAAGAGCTCGATTTACATGTGCTCATGCAATCCTGGCCATGTCTGGGTGAGGCTGGTACAGCCTCACCTTTCCACCTTACACATCCAGGAAATGAGGCCCAGAAAAGTTAGCCCATGAAGTCTCAACATTTGAATGCTGCAACTATTTCAGCAAAGTTGAGACTGGTGTATTAGAATTGATTGGAAATCACAATATAGAGCTTAACTACCCTTTATTACCGTTAAGGATAAAAAATTGTCATATAAATTAGGCACTGGGGCAGTCTCCTTTCATATATTGTTCAGTATGCAAAGCAAGCAGCTCTCATGAGCTGTTCAATAATTATTTTTGATAAAAAGGAGCAAAACACTTCAAAGGGATACGTTACATTGTCGACAACAAGCTGTCGGATTCTCGGTATCAGCCCATGTTGGCGTTGTCCTTGTCCTTGCCATGTGAGAGGAATATTGCCTCTGGTTTCACATCTGCCACCATGTTGGAGAGTAGCAGGGCCAGCGGAATTACACTGAGGAAACCTCATGTTTCTCATTGCATCACTCCAAATATGATAACAGAAATCCAACACATTTATGAAATATTTCTGTGCTTGCTTGTCAGTTTGTAAATAAACCATACACAGTGAGACACATATACATTGTTTGAGTAAACATAAGTCACTACTATTTTTTTTTAACCTTTAGTAGAAGTGGGATATTTGGAAACCAAACAGTTGCAGTTCTCCACACTGCCGTTGAAGCTGTTGGGGCCGCAACTTTGGTACACTGGCTCGACTCTGCTTCAGTCTTCCCTTGTTGAACTTTGGTAGGTATTCACAGTGTATCACAGCTCATTGCAACAATGCTGTATTTACTATCTAACTATTTTACAATGAGCGTTCCTTGTCTAAAGTCTGTCCTCATAGCCCCTCTGGTTTGTTTTTTCCACCACCTTGCCAGCTTCCAAGGACGCTGTTTCCTCCCTGTTCTCTCACAGTGCCTGTAGCCTGGGATCCAATATTTCAGAGATGTACCAAAAAGTCATAACCAGTGACTAGTTTGACAAACCAGCCAACCAACAGGATGTGATTATACAGTCCCTAGCACTCCAGCCACATGTAGAACTTCCTTAACTCTGGGCACATCGGTCACAGCTTGCCAACAAACAACCCTGACCAAGAGCAGGTGAGAGTCTGTCATGCAGCAGTGTGGCACTGTATCCTACTCTGCGGTGTGCTGTCCCAGGGCAGTATTTAAAGAATGGCTACTCTCAAGCATCCATTGTTTGAAAATATAGTACCTTCCCGGGAAGAAAACAGCAACATGTTTTCACAACATGTTTTTAAGGGTGCATTTTCTATCTTACATATCAGTTATTGTTTAGGCGAACACTTAGAAAAAGTAACTTTTGCAATCCAGTTTATGTCATTTTTCAACAGTGAACTTTAAAACATTTTAAAATTCTGTAATCATTTACTTGTCCCTTTTTCTGTAAAGAATTTTAAACGTATAAATCTCTGTTACTGTAAGTGGTATGCTTATTGTCTAAAAATTGTTATAGCTGTCTCACATATGGACGGTGGGACTGATGGGTAAGCAGTGTACTGGGTCTAGGTCTGCGGGGACTCTGAATTCTCTTGCTCTGCCTGCCTTCAGCTCCCCTTGTTCTCCCTTTATTTCCTCTGTCAGAGCTGCTAGTCCTGCTGGTTCTTGGTTCTCAAAAATCTGACGCTTTCCTCTCTGGCTAATATTTGGTTATTTCTCTTTGCTCTTCCTTTTTTTAATATGATTAATTACATTGCATTATGTGACAGTGTTATGGGCTCTCTTCCTTTTTTTCTTTTGAACCTCTATCTTAGAGGAAGTGTTTGTGTATGTGTGTGTTCAAAACTACAGGCATGCTCCCTTACTCCCCCAGTGCCAGCAGTGGCTTGCACTGCTCTGGGCTGAAGTCAGGAGCCAGTAACTCAATCCTGGTCTGCACTGTTGGTGGCAGGAACTCAGCTGCTGCCTCCCAGTGTGAAAATGGGAATGGGGCCTGGAGGAACACTGTACTGTGATGTGGGATGCAGGGATCCCGAGCAGGATTAGACTGTGCCAAATGCCAGCTCCTCTCTTTTCCACCACAAATAACCTGCACCAGAACTCGAGCTCCCACTGTCGTCCTTGCACTAAGTATCTTCTACTTGTACTTTCTCTCATACCAGCCAGTCTTAAACTCAACACCAAGTCCTTTCGCAGGGACAATCCCTCAAACGCAGGGAGAATGGGTTGAAACCATGGAGCTTTCCAGAACAGACGGTACATTTAGAAAACCACCAGAGAAGCCCCATTTAGTGCAGACAGAAGCCAGGCAGGTGAATGAACTTAATAAGCCGCGTGATGTTTTAAATGATGTTTCTCTGCAGGGCTTGGGACCTGAAGGGAAAGCAGGTCTCATTCTCCACTTGCGTTACTAATTGAGGGAGAGCTACTTTTTCACTTCCCTCTGAAACCTTCCTGCCATTCTTGCTAAGTGGGGACACAGGAAAAGGCAAAGAGTTGCGGGGAAAGGTCGCCCTGTATTGAGGCAGCTCAAGGGGAGGGGACAGTGATTTCACAGCCCTGGGGCTCATTCACCATAAATTACTCCATTTCTGGCCCTCAGGGCCCAGATCATCCGGGCTACTGGGGGGTGTGCCAGAGGTCAACCTGATTCAAGTCCAGTACCTGAACTGGTTCTGCTGGTGCAAGTCGGCAAAAATCTGAGAGAGGGCCTCACTCTCGGCCTTGGCCATCAGCTGCAGCAGGCTCTCGCTGGGCTGGGACACTTGGAGTTCCTTCTGTGTTAAAAGAGAGAAAAGGAAAAGCAAAGCTAGGCCTTCACCCCTGTGCACTCCCCTGACTGTGGTCCAGATTCCTAAGTGTTGGAACTCAAAGCCCTGGACCAGGTGAGCACGTTAGCTGCCCGCAGGGGTGAGTCTGAGTCCTCACCTGTTGTCTGCTGTCCCTGTGCTGGTGTAAATAGCCTTTTGTGCCTTGAGAGCATTGCCTGCATCACGTTTCTGTCAGCATAGTTTAGCTTAGCCCTGGCCGTGTGCTCGTGTGGGGAGTGAGCACGTTGATAGAAGATCACTCTCCTTTTTCTGTGACTCTAATTTTCACATAAATAAATAACTTTAAGATTTTTTATTTTATTTTGAAAAATTTGAAATTTGGAAAGCCAGGTTTTTTTCCCCACAATATGCGTTTTCCATGAACTTTTTGAATATCCCTCTTATATAGGGATTTCAAATTTTTTTGCACCAAAATAAACTTAACATTTTCCACAATGTGTTTTTTTAAGTTCAAAGGAATAGAGAATGGCTACAGGCGACCAACAGAGAAAGAAGCACTCTAGTGCTGGCTTGCTGGGCCGTTGGCCCAACCTACACATCTACTGAAAGGATTGAACCTTGCGCTTACCAAGGGTGACTTGAATACCATTCATGACACTTCCGTAAAGCTGGAGACCAAGTAGGCCCTGCTGGGTGCTTGCCCTCCCCCGCCGCCCTCGCTCTGGCCCTAACCTTAGCTCTTGCTCCCTAACCTTAGCGTCTCCGGAGGAGCCACAATTGTTCTTGGGTACCAAGCAGTGAGTAACAGGAATCCTAGGGTCCTTGGTGGTGATGGACAGGCCCTCCTGCAGAATCTGAAGCAGTCGGATCCAGAAGTGGAAGACGGTCTCAGGGTGATCGGGGTGGAGCTTCAGGTAGTAGATCTTCTCAGTGACCGTCCTCAGCCTTAGGATGCGTTGCAGGCGGTCACAGACCTGCAGCTCCACAAACTTCAGGGGAAGGATCCTGTGGGCACCAGGCGAGCAGACACACATCCCATCAGCATCCCGTCAGCACCCCGTCCAGTCCTCTCTGAGCCCCCTTTCGTGAGCACAGAAGCATCACCTGGAAGACTGCGGCTGTGGGAGTGGGGGAGCATGGTGCTCCAACTTTGGGGAAGTCATACACACACACACACACATGCACACCTGGAAGTTGGTTTGAAATGCACAGCCCATCAGTCCTGTGTCAGAATGCCTGGAGTTCAAGTCTAGTTCCAGTATTGCTTCCAGCTCCCTGCTAATGTTCACTCCTGGGAGCCGTGCATTAAGTAACTGAGTTCCTGCCACCTGTGTGGGAGGCCCTGACTGAGTTCTGAGCTCCAGCCTGGGCCAGGGCCAGCTCTGGCTGCTGTTGGCATCTGAGAAAGTTAACCCGCAGATGACAATATCTCTTTGTCTCGGTCTATCTGCCTTTTAAATAAATTAAAAGCAGTTATCTCTTGCTCTTTTAGGAAAAAAAAAAAAGCATTATTTAGTTATTCCAAAGGCAGAATGACAGAGAGAGAGTGAAAGAGAGAGAATGACAATTTTGTATCCATTGGTTCCTCAAATGTTTGCTGCACCTAGGACTGGGCCAGGCTGAAAATAGGAGCCAGGAACTTCATCCTGGTCTCCCATGTGGGTGTTAGAAGCCCAAGTAATTGAGCCATCTTTTGCTGCTTTTACAAACACATTAGCAGGCAACTGGATGAAAAATGAAGAAGCCAGGACTTGAACCAACATTGTGATATGGGATGCCAGCACCATAAGCTGCAGACAACACTGGTCTCAGAAGTCATCTCTTTAAAAAAAAAAATGTGGCTGGCATTGTGCTATAGTGGGTTAAACTACATCTGCAATGGTGGCATTCCGTATGTGCACTTGTTCAGGCTGCTCCACTTCCGATCCACCTCCCTGCTAACGCACCTGGGAAAGCAGTGGGAGACAGCCCAGGTATTTGGTCCTTTGTCACTCGTGTGAGAGACCTCGAGGAGGCTCCTGGCTTCGCTCTGGCTCGGCCCAGCTATTGTGGTCACTTGGGAAGTAAACTAGCGAGTGGAAGATTTCTCTTCTCTCTCCTCTCTTTCTCTGCCTTTGAAATAAATGAATGAATCTTTCTTAAAAATAAAAAAGTAAAATGTGACATCTGTAAAATGGCCGCCTGTGGGCCAGCTTCATCAGGCCTGGGTATGATCTAAGGGTGTGTATTTTAGCCTTTACCCACTAAGCTGTGGTGCTCCCTGCACCTGATCTTAGAGACGCCCAGGAGGAGGAGGGCTGGGCATGCAGGGTTTTGCAGTGTCTTTCTTGTTTTAATTTAATTTAACTTGAAAGTTGGAGTTACAGAGAGAGGGAGAGAGAACTTTCTTTCTTGACAGCCATTGGGGAGCTGGCCACATACTCGGTTTGCCCACTCCTCGACGTCAGGCCCGGGGGGGCGGCTGTTCTGGCCATAGGTAACTAAGCCCACCACAGGGAGCTTTATCATGAGGGAGCCTGGAGAAGTGCCAGGCAGCTGGGAAGAACTGAGGGTCCGTGTCATCCCTCAGGATACTTCAGGAAGCTCAACCACCAAAAAAGGGCTGTTGCATCTCAGGCAGGCATGATGTCACGGTGAGGACAACTGAGACACAGTGAGTGGCGTGTGACTCACAAATTATGAGTTGAGTGAGTTGCATTCCAGAAACTTCCCAGCAGGCCCACATCTGACAGACATCTCTGGCTTCCTGGCCCTTGGCCAAGGACTAGGAGGCCTCCTGGGAGCACAATGAGCCAAGGGCTGCAGGAAGGGAGCGAGCTTGCCCTTGGCCCTCCCCTGCTGTTTAAATTCACACTCCCTTTAACTCCACTGGGCTTGTGCCCTACCCGTGTACCCCCTATCTGTTGCTCCCCACCCCCTGACCTGAGTGTGGGCACTCAGCAGCTTCTACCCTGGACATACCCCTGTCTCCCAATCCCTCCTCCCTGAGTTCCACCTGTGGCAGCACTTACCTCTTCAGCATGATGTTTGGTACTTTTGATGGTCTGTTCCAAGTCTGGCTCTGCCCCTGGTGCCACTTGACACTAGCCATAAGTAGGATGTTGGGGAGGGGCAAGCAGGGCACAGAGGAGGTCACCCCCAGGGCCATGGTATTGCAGGCTTTGTAGATGTCTGTCCAGCTCCTGCCCCTTTTGACCTGCAAGGCAGCCCCCAGGCTCAGCCTGAGCACTTGGCAGAAGTAGCAGCACGGTTTTAGCCCAGGGCTTCTCAGTCCCGGCTCTGCTAAGGTCGTCGTATGGGGATGGAGGGCTGTTCTGGGCTTTGTTGGGAAGCTTAGTAGTGTCTGGGCTCTGTCCTCTCAGTACTGGTAGCAACCTACTCTCGTCTCCTCAGGCTGTGTCCCCCCACAGCATCTTCACACATTGCCACATTTCCCCTGGTAGCAGGTGGCGGGAGGTGGGGAGCCCTACTCACTGCTTGTGGGGACTCACTGCTTTAACCCAAGCAACAGTTCCCTATGAACAACCACCTGCAAAAAAACAGAAGTTCTCTGGCATCTATCACATGGCTGTCAATCCTCCCTGCCCTTGTTCCTGGGTTTTCTTTGATCAGTGTGTCATCTTGGCCCTTCATGGGACCCTCTTACCTCCTGCTTCCTTCCCTACACAGGCATGTCCTATCTAGTCCCTTCTAATCCATGCTTGTTCCATTCCACTTAGTCTTGGTTCTCAGGGGCCTAGGGAAAGCCCAGGCACAGAAGCAGAAATGCACGGCAGTGCACCTGGTAGACCAGGCCCTTGGCAGCTGCGGGCAAAGCAGCCCTTGTGCAGCGGGAGACTGGGGTCACCTGTACAATAGAGCCTCCCCACAGCACAGCCAAGTACTTCAATCTGAGTCCAACCTCCTCTGCTTCACTGCCCCCACACTCCTGCTGCTTCCTGATTCAGCATTTCCCGTCTCAGCCCCTTAAAGGGCCTCCTCCTCCAGCTGCTCCCTGGCGACAGCCTGGACGGGGAAGTCAACTGGGGAATCCGAGTACCTGGGAGCACAGAGCTGCTCACTTCAGTCCCAGGGGACAAGAGTCACCAGGAGAAGCCCTGTGTGGGGATCAGCAAAGCCTGGCCAGTGTGAGGAAGAAGGGTGGGGCATCCTGGCTCTTCAGGTCTAGTGCCCCTGCAGGGACGGGCTGCCTGGTTGATGCTTGGGAACAGGTGTTGGAGAACAAAGGGGCTGATGGGAGCCATCAGGTGTACCTGGACAAAGTTGCTTTCGAACATCACTGAGTCTGGAAACAGGTTGAACTCTGGAGAGTGAATCATTTGGCAGAGCAGCCCCTCCTCCACGCCCATGCTCACGCCAGGGTTCGGTTCCCCTTCTGCAGTCAAGAGGCCCCTGGGTTCTTCCCAGGAATTCAGGACGGGGAAGGTTGGATAGGATCTTGTGACTTGGACTAGCTTCTTTGGTTTCCACCAAGGCGTTCTGTGTGGAACTGATGACAACATTTCTGCACATGCTCAGGGGCCTGCTGCACGTTTGTCCTGGGATTCCTCTCTTCCCTGCTGGCCTTGGGCTGCTGGCCAAGCGCAGGGGGATGGCCAATCAGCTCACAATGATGAATGGATGACATCATGCAAAAAACCAGGGCAGGCCTGTAGGAAGGGAAGTACACAGGAGCCTCCCTCTTCCTCCCCAAGCACTTTTTTCCCCTGATGTTTAAATGTTTCCCAGACTTGCTTGGAACCCCAGGACACAGATCTCCCAGAATCTACTGAAAATTCTGGCAGAATTTTCTGGAGAATTCTGGAAGAATTCAAGGAAGCAAGGAAGTTCCAGCAGCAGCTCAGAGAAACATCTCCTCCCACCCTTCCCCAGTCTCTCTCCCTCCTAATGCAACTCAGCCCCCACTGTTTGAAGGGCTTTAAGCCCCACCTCCCCTAGCCATGCAAGCTGTGAGATTCTCTGTAGCTTTCTAGGCTCCAGCTGCTTGCTCTGCTGTGGCTGCTGGTCACCATTGTCAGGTGTCTTGCGTTTGGGAGGTTCAGCTCAAGGGTGATCTGTTTCTTACCCTCCTCCACTGCCCCAGAGGCTATCCTTGTGTGCGTGCCAGTTGGGAGGGCCAGAACCCTGATGAACCCTCCAGCTTGTTTCCCAGTGTACCTCATCTCCAGGCCAGACCCAGAGAGAGCCCTGCTCCGGGTAGGATGGTGGGCAGAGCCAGAGCAAGGGCAAAGAGCCAAGGGGCTGACCACCAGCCAAGGCCCTGTCAGGGAGAGATTACGTCCTAATTGGGACAAAATTCATTGCAGGATTTCTTAAACAATGCATTTAGCTGACCAGGTCAAAAGAGAGTCATTTAGAAAAACAGTTGGACAGCCCACAAAGTGCAAGCTCTAGGGGTTGGAGCCGGCATTGCCTGGGAAAGTCAGGGAGAAAGCATGGAAGGGTGCTAGGCCCTCAGCCCCCTCCCCTGACCATGCAGTCCCCTCCCCGCCACAGCGCCTCTGACAGCTCTCAGCTGGACTCACTGGCCTGGCTTCTGCTCGTTGTTGGCCACTTGGGAAAAAGTCCTCCATGGCAACGCTCGCTGAGGGTGTGGCAGAAACCGTGGCCTGTGGGCTACATAGCCCTGGGAACAGCCTGGAAAATGAACACACAGGGCAGAAGCAACATTATTTGCACTAACAATGCATTGCTTTTCACACTTGCAGCTGAGCCACACTCAACAGCAGTGGCTGGGCCTGTATGCCCAGTTTGTGTGCATTCGGCCTTGGAGACATTCAAAGGTGATGAAGAAGATGTCTTTTATTAAATTTTTTTCTCTTGTTCCTGCAGGGCTGCTAAGCCCACTTTGTAGTAGCGATTATGCAAGGAGGCACTCACACCTTGTCTAGAGAGCTAACGGAAGAAGCTAGCTTTCAGTTCCACAAAAGATGTTAAGCAGGTGCGTGAATAGCACCTGAAGATGTTGACTTTTTCCTCCCTGGCCCCATCAAGCCTCAGAAGCTTTAAAGATCTTTTAATCAGCCATGGGACTGGGGCTATGTTGTGGTGCAAAGTGCTAACTCACTGCCTGGGACTCCAGCACCCACATGAACACAGGTTCAAGTCCTGGCAGCTCCACTTCCCATCCAGCTCCCTGCTTGTGGCCTGGGAAAGCATCAGAGGACAGCCCGAAGCCTTGGGACCCTGCACCCGCGTGGGAGACCCAGAAGAAGCTCCTGGCTCCTGGCTTTTTAGATCAGTCCAGATCTAGCCATTGTGGTCATTTGGGGAGTGAACCAGCAGATGGAGGACCTCTTTCTGTGTGTCTCCTTCCTTCTCTGTCACTCGGCCTTGTAAATAAATACATAGATCTTTTAAAAGCATGAACTGTACGATCGCCGTGTCATCCCCAGTACCCATTATTTCCATTTCTTTTTTAAAGGTTTATTTTTATTGGAAAAGTAGATTCACAGAGTGAAAGAGAGATAGAAAGATCTTCCATCCACTGATTTACTCCCGAAGTGGCTACAATAGCTGGAATTGAGCCAGCACAAAGCCAAAAGCCAGGAGCTTCTTCTGGGTCTCCCATGCAGGGTCCCAAGGCTTTGGGCTGTCCTTGACTGCTTTCTCAGGCCACAAGCAGGGAGCTGGATGGGAAGTGCAGTAGCTAGGACCAGCACTGGCACCCACCTGGCATTCTGGCGCTTGTAGGCAGAGAATTAGCCCATTGAACCATAACAGGAGCCCTTCCATTTCTTCAGTAATAGAGCACCTACATTTTTGGAGACACAAGATTTTCTAGAATATTTCCTGGCCTCCTTTACCATGAGGTATGACAACTTAAATAAATTCTGGCAAAAGGGGTGTGAGCTTAAGTGTGAAATACCACTTTAAAAAAAATCTTTTTAAGATTTATTTTATTTTGGGCCCGATGTGGTAGCCTAGTGGCTAAAGTCCTTGCTTTGCATGTGCCAGGATCCCATATGGGTCGGTTCATGTCCCAGATACTCTACTTCCCATCCAGCTTTTTGCTTATTTTGTTTTATTGTATTGTATTGTATTGTATTGTATTGTATTGTATTGTATTGTATTGTATTTGAAAGGTAGAATTAGAGAGGAAAAGAGAGAGATATGGATCTTCCATCTACTGATTCACTTGTCAAATAGCTCCAGTGACCAGAGCTGGATCAGTTCAAAGCCAGGAACCGGAAGCCTCCTCCAGGTCTCTAATGTGAGTTCAGGGGCCCCAGGACTTGAGCCATTCTTTGCTGCTTTCCCAGGCTGTAAGCTAGGAGCTGGATCAGAAGTAGAGCAGCTGGGGCCCAAACCGGTGGCCATGTAGGACACCAACACCACAGGCAGAAGTTTAGCTACTGTGCTACAGCGCCTGCCCCAGTACTACTTTGTAAAGGAATCATTGGGCCCTTCTCTCAGCCCTTCTCGGCTGCTGTACACCTTAAAATAGTTATAACATACTATTCAGCTGTCTCGTGTCTATTTTCATTATATATTTAGCTTAAAGTATTCAAGCATGATTTCTACTGAGCTACGTGAATTTTAGGATAGCCCAAATAGGCTTATACCTCAAACAAGCCATATGTTAACAATTGAGGAGCAGAACAGTGTTAGGAGGGCTGTGCAGAGAAATCTTCAATGTCTTAGTGAGGGGTAACTAATCTATGTGTCCTACCTAGTATAGTATATGGGAGTCCACACTGACTGTTTCCTGTCTGTTCTAAGCTTTCACTGGTTCCCTTCTTCAATAGTAGCAATGGCCAGAGCTGAGCCCATCCAAAGCCAGGAGCATCTTCTGGGTCTCCCACGTGGGTGCAGGGTCCCAAAGCTTTAGTCCATCCTCTCTTACTCAACTACCATCCAACAGCATTCTAGTGCTTATGGGAAGAGGATTAGCCAGCTGAGCCATTGTGCCAGCCCTCAAAATAAATACTTCTAAATATTTTGTTAAAATTCATTCTAGTGGGTCCAATGCAGTATCCTAGTGGCTAAAGTCCTTGACTTGCATGTGCCAAGATCCCATATGGGTATTGGTTCACATCCTGGCTGCTCTACTTCCCTTCCAGCTCCCAGCTTGTGGCCTGGGAAAGCAGTGGAGGATGGCCCAAAGTCATGGGATCCTGCATCCGCGTGGGAGACCTGGAAGAGTTCCCGGCTCCTGGTGTCAGGCTCCCTAGGGCTATTGTTGCCAACTGGGGAGAGAACCAGCAAATGGAAGATCTCTGTCCCTCCTTCTCTTTGTAGCTCTGACTTTCCAATAGAAAAAAAATCTTAAAAAAAATCTTGAAAAACTAATTCTAGTGTAACAGTAGCAAAATTATCCTTAAAGTGATAAGAACCCTAAAGTAAGTTAATCCAGCAGATAATTCTTTAAAGCAATTAGGTGAATCGTAGCCAACAGTTCAGTTTATCAAAAATTCGGCAGCACAGTAGCCTAGTGGTTAAAGTCCTTGCCTTGAACACGCTGGGATCCCATATGGGCACCAGTTCTAATACTGGCAACCCTGCTTCCCATCCAGCTCCCTGCTTGTGGCCTGGAAAAGCAGTAGTGGATGGCTCAAAGCCTTGGGACCCTGTACCCACATGGGAGACCTGGAGGAGGCTCCTGGCTCCTGGCTTCTGATCGGCTCAGCTGCAGCCATTGCAGCCACTTTGAAGTAAATCAATGGATGGAAGATCTTCCTTTCTGTCTCTCCTCCTCTCTGTATGTCTGACTGTCTAATAAAAATAAATCTTTGAAAAATATTATGGACAGTAGGGACTGGCATTGCAAGGTCGCCGGTAAAGCTGTTGCCTGAAACATTGGTTCATGACCTGGCCATTCCGCTTCTGATGCAGCTTCCTGCTCATGACCCAGTAACAGTGGAAGACAGCCCAAATGTTTGGGCTCCTGCTGCCCATCTAGAAGATTTTTATGGCTTTAGTCTGGTCTGTGTTGACTTACAGCCACCTGGAGCATGGACAGATGGACTATGTCTGTCTCTCTCTTTCTGTAACTGACTTTCAAAGTAAATATATACTTTTTAAAAATGTGCTCACTAGATACAAATTTGAAATAAGAAAACATCAATACATACAAATAAAGAGGTTTAAAAGACAGTGGCAGGAAGCTCTGTTAGTTAGGATATATTCCAGGTAGTCAAAGACATCAAAGTATAGTAACTTAAACGAAACAGAATTGTGTTATTCTCTTACATAGCAGCTCAGAGGTAGCCAGTCCAGAGCTGGGACAGTATCTCTGAGGCTCTCAGAAGGCGGCTCCGTGTCAGGGCTTCAAGGTGGCTGCTCTAGCTCCTGCCATCACATTTGTATGCTGGCCAGTGGGAAGGGGAAAAGGAAAGGGGCGTGTACGCTCATTCCTTTTAAGGGCATGACCTAGAAATGTCATAATCATTTTGCTCACATCCTATTGGTCAGAATTCAGCAGGTGCCAGTTGCTTGCCAAGGATCAGGAGGGACAGCGGGACGCCCAGCCAGTGTTGTTGAACCCAATGAGCAGTCCAGA